GGTTGGCTTTTAGGTTGAGAAGAGGGAAGAGGTAGAGAAGGAGAACAAGGATGACAGTTATTTTCCATTCCGAAAAAATATCTTCTTCAGAATCCTCAAATTCATCACCACAATATAGGTTTGCGTACTCCAAAGAAGGCACCTCACTTTGAAGAGACTCAACACTAACTTGGTTTTCACTGTATAGTTTTGATTCTTGTTAGACATTTTAAAATTTCATTGAATGCATGTTTTGGGTTTATTATACCTGATTCTGGAGTTATTCTCCCTCTCAACAACAGAAGCCTTATTTCTTGCTCTATTATTTCTGTGCTTGTGTGTTTCGAAGAGCAATAGACCGGCTGCCCAGGAATGCTGACATATTTGAAGAGGAAAGCCATGAGTAGCTGCATTGCTTTCAAGCTTAAATGTGTATTTTGTGATTAGAGCAGAAGACACTTCAGACCATAAAGGCAACACAGCTGCTTTGTCATTCTTCTTCAAAGCTTTCAGCAGCTCGAACTCCATTTCATCGTGGGTTTTTCTTGCGGTCGTTTTGAGGATTCCCTAGTCATTCTCATTCGCTTTGTCATCAATTAAAAGATCAGTGATATTTCTTTCTTTCTTAAATAAGTTGACCAGGGCAAGCAAACGCAACCGTGGCGTAACATATCTATGTTTTCCGTGAGAGCCAAATGCTTTTGTTGCTTCCTCAAGTACTCTAAGAATGTCTCGGAAGCCTATCAAGTTTGGATTAAGAGATTTGGCAATGCCGCCTTCTCTTGCTGCATTTTCCAAAAAAATAAAAGTTTATACATATTTTAGAGAAATAGCTTGTTTTTTACTTTATTGAGCTGCTTCAAGAACTTCACAGTTGATCTCATTACTATCACTTTGAGCAAAAGAAAGTGCTGATAGATGCATCAATCCCTTAAGTATTTAAGTCTGTGATTCGATTTTTTGTTCGAGTTGGGAAACTTGTTCTTGCATTTGAGTGATTTTGTAAATAGTCGTTTGGTTCATATTTGTAAGACAGAAAGACAATTGCAAGAAAAACCAAAAAGCTATTTTTTGTTAAAAAAAAACCCTAAACAATTACTAAATATTCAACATAACTCAATATACTCTTTTTAGATGAGTCTCATGTCAAACTCTTAGGAGTGCATCAACGTATTGCATTGTGCAAACCTTTTTTTTTTGTTTTTTATAAGAAACATTATTAGTATTATTGTACTTGTAAAAAAACAAATAAGTAATTTTTCTTGCTCATAAAGCTACTATTATTGTCGCAGTACTTGTCGCCTCATAACTTTTATTGTTGACAAAACGAACAAGTTTGTTCCCCACAAACAATAAAATTAATGATTTTGAATGATATGACTTGCTTTTTAGAAAAATAAAATAAAAGTTGTTGACATTTCGAACAACATTAGCAAAAAAGTTACTTTTTCTGGTTTGTTTTGCGAACAATATTAGTAAAGTCAAACAACTAATTCGCCATAGTGAACATTACTCAGCACTCTGTTGGCAGTTTTGAGATATGTCTCAAGAAAGAGCCGCTCTAATAAACTTTTAGGCAGGATGCCTATCCAAATTAAATTGTCTGATTTTTTTTTTTCAATTTCAACCCTGTAATTTATATACTAGATGTTAAAGACAAGGGTAAAATTGTAAACCATATGTGGCAAATTAACCTCGTGGGGCCTACAAGATATAATGATATTGTTGGTCTCTTATGGAATCAATTATATCGTAAGACATAAAGCGAACAGTTTATTGAAGGCTTATTTCAACAGGTTTTCTTGAAACATACACCAAACGGAAAAATTATTCGCGCATTTCTGAAAAAAAGATGTGCGTACTTTTAAAAAAATAAATCGCACAGAAAAAAAGAAAATTTAGCGTAGTATTTGAAAAAAAATCAGCATATTCAACAGAAAAAAAATGGCGTAGTTTTCCAGCTCTTTTTTTCAACATTTTATTACGAAAATGAATAACATTATTTTTGAAGACGGGTTAGGAAACCAACATGACATTGAAGGAAACGAAGTTGTAGAGTTTGAAATGGAAATTGACAACGAGATGTATCCAGTCGAAAGCGTAACAGACTACGATAGATACACAGATTTAAAGCCTCCCGAGAGAGGGATCGAAAAGAAAGCTGAGTTACCTGCAGAGCTGAAGCAAACACCTGCGAGAACAAAAGCATATAAGCACTACAAGGATGCTGAAAAAGAAAAGCTTTTTTTTCTTTTCGAAGAAAAAGGGATGAGTGTTCGTGCTGCTGCCTTGGCCCTCAACATTAATGTTCGAACAGCACAAGGCTGGGTAGCCAAGAACAACAAAGATCCTCAGGAGTATATCCAAAGGGCTACAGGCAGTGGAAGACCTGTAGGCAGACCGCCCATTTTAACTGATGAGCACAGAGATTTCATGATCGAATGGGCAGACGAGAACACAAATTCCGTTACATTGGACGACATGCTTGACGTATTGACAGAAAAATTTGGCAAACTCGATATCAGCAAAAGCGGTTTCAACAAGTTTGTCAAGGATAAGTGTAAGATTACCTTCAAGCAGGCTCGTTTCCAAGCTTTCGAGAGAAACAGCTCTGAAAAAATCGAAGAGCGCTATCAGTGGGTGAAGAGATGGATGAAAACAGATATGGACTTCACTAGCAACTGTGTGTTCATTGACGAAGCTGCTTTCCATATCAACCTTAAGAGAAATTTTTCTTGGTCCAAAGAAGGCGAGCGTGCGATCGTGAAAGTGCCCAAAACAAGAGCAAAAACTACTACCATTTTGGGTGCCATCTCGCCTTTTGGTGTTGTTAACATTAGTGTAAGAAGACCAAGAGCATTACCCTCATCAAAGAAAAGAAAAGCAGCAGGAGGTTCGAATGCAAAAGTGGTCAGTAACAATGGTACAGTTACTGGACATTACTTCAATTTCATCAGTAGTGTTTTGGATGTCATGGATCGTCATGAGGAATTCCGTGGCCATTATTTGATCATGGACAATGCTCCTATTCATAAGCATCAAGATATTCAGAATCTCATTGAGGGCCGAGGCTATAAGTGCGTGTACCTCCCCCCTTACTCGCCTGAGCTTAATCCCATTGAGCAATTCTGGTCGGTTTGCAAAAGCAAACTCAAGAGGGAACAGCTTTTGGAAGAGGAGACATTGACTTCGAGAATTGCAGATGCTTGCAATAGAATTTTGTACAGTGATCTTAAAGGCTTCTGTAGATACTCTGCTGCCAAATTTGAAGATTGCCTTCAACGCAGACCTATTTAATAAACTCACGCATTTTGCGCATACACAAGCATGCTAATTTTTTTTCAAATACTACGCTAAATTTTCTTTTTTTTCTGTGCGATTTATTTTTTTAAAAGTACGCACATCTTTTTTTCAGAAATGCGCGAATAATTTTTCCGTTTGGTGTAAGGTGGTTCTCATTCCATTTAAAGGATAATGTTTTTGGTCTTTAGTCACTCAACACTCTTGTGCCAATGTTTGAAGCACTTGGTCTTTTGATCATAAAGTATTTTTGGACGAAAGCAAATTGCTAGATGAGTAAAAGACTTAATTTTTCATTTTCATTAAAATTATAAAAAAGGAGAACTTCCCAACGGCAAGGCAACAGTGGGCGTTATTTGTATCGGAAAAACGGTTCTTTGCTGAAGAGCAAAGGAAGGCGCTTTCCCACAGGGATAACGGTGTGCTGCACGCTCCCTCAGTAACAGTGGGCGTTATTTGTATCGGGAAAACGGTGCTTTGCTGAAGAGCAAAGGAAGGCGCTTTCCCACAGGGATAACGGTTTGCTACTTTAAGAGAAGCTGAAGAGAAGTTGCGTTTTAATAAGAAAAAAAAATTCGTCCTTTTATAGTTTTTTTTTTCAGCGGGGGTATGAGCAGCCAATGAAAATACTTCTATGTTGGTCTTTTTTTTCACCTGGTACACACGATTACAATATCCGCTAAGCGGGTCATTAGGGATTAATTTGGTCCTTTTGTCAGACTATAAAAAAAAAAGTTCTTAACCCCCTATTTTAATACTTTTGCTGTGCAAAACAACGCGATCGTTTCGTGTTGGCTTTTTCAAGTTGCTGCGGAAGCCTTAGATAATTATAACACCGATTCCTGGAGAGGTGATGTCATGGCTTCGCGACAAAACGTACTACGTTTTTGTGACAGTATGGCTAATTTGAACTTCAGATCCATTTTTATTGAGGTTAGAGTAGCTGCTGTGTAACTACGCAGAAACTACAAAACAATACAAACGTTCAGCCCAGTCTTAAACTGCGGTGATTATACTGTGTACTGCACAAAAAAAAAAAAAGCGAGAAACGAAAGGAGCTTTTTCTCTTATTTCGCAGTTGAAACTGTTGTTTTACTACATGACAACAATAGACAAAGTTGAACACAGTGCTTGTAAAATCTACATTTCCACACGTACAATATTTTTGGTACTAAACGTTTAATCATAGTTATTTACAAGTGCCTAGAAGAATGTGTCAATAATAAGACCGTAATGTTCTCTGATTTTGTAGTAGCTGCATCTGATGAAATAATAAAAACACGCTCCACTGACTCTATAAGATTACTCAAGCTCATAGACAAGATGGGTTTCAATCGTGGCTAAACAAATGAACATAACTGTCGACTACAAGTATCAAAACTGGCACATCATCGAAAAACGTCTACGGCTAGAAAAATTGCCAACTATCACGTCCACCCCCTCATCAGATGAAATCATATCTGCACCATCGTCATCAAACAATATTATTTCAAGCAGATCAAGCAAGTCAACGCTTGGCATCCCACTTTCGGACGATGATAAGATCGAAATATTAGGATTGTATGATCGTTTGGAGAATTTGCTGATGTGGTGTTTATCCTCTGGTAGATGTGTAGAGAAAGTGATGAGAGACTTTAGCGAGAAGTCCAACTATTTACAGCAAGTACACGAAACACGAAAAAAGCTTTTATCATTGGTAATAAATATGACTTGGTATTAGCCCAGCAAACTCGATGGTGCTTGATCTTGAAGACGATCATTGGTCAAAATGGTTCACAGAACTAGAATTACAAGAGATAAATGCAGCGACAGAACGTCAAAAGAAACACCTGCCTCAAGAAATGAAAAGTTACCTTGATGCTTTACCGGAATCTGACGATATCAACGTACTTTTCAACTACTTAAACGAACAGCAAATAAACCCTAGTGATCATCGTGGGCTTTATTTTCTAAAAACAACACTATTGTACAGTCTTGATTTGTTCAGGATATCCTACTTGCCATTAACTGACCAAGGAGAAAGTGACATAATGCGTAGGATTTGGGTGATAATTGACTGGGCATTTGACGGAAGCAACTTAAAAGTAAGAAGTGAAAAAGGCAGTTTCGCTTCCAAATCGGATAAAAATAAAAAAAGGAAGATTGCGGCTGTCACATCTATGACTAGGCAACGGCCATCTGACATACCTGATCTGCTGATCCATTACGATCGGTATGAATTTTGTTCAGTTGAAGCCTGAAAGATGGAAAGTAACATTACTAAACAAAAGAATGATTCTAGCAAATTAGCAGTGAACTGCAAACAAATGCTTTTGAATTTATCGTATCATGCACCATCGTTGCAACAAGACATATCAATTATTGGAATGGGCATCAGTGGAATGAGATTGACAATATATGAACTTAGTAATCCAAAAGGCATGGTCTGTGTAAACAAAAAGACTGATGAATTGTATTTTCTGGTTCACATAATCGAGTGGAGAAACAAGATGATTAAATTATGTGAGAAATTATGGATAGTTCGATTGGAAACTGAAGAAAGGTTTCGAGCTGTGTGCACTTCGAGTGGAGGATCGGCTCCTTGTACTTTGACACCTTGCTTTCAAAAAGTCAAATAACCACTTTATTTACCAGCTCTATGATATTCCCTGTTTGATAGTTTATATGTATATAACACCATATATGCCATACTCCAACATTATCATCATTTATCGAACTTTTAAAGAAATAATAATAAAACATGTGTATAGATACTTACAGTCTGTCCAGAGAAGATTGTAGTTTTGTGAAAATCAAATGGATTATATTTTAAAAGGGTTCTTTATTATAACATTTAATCATTTGACGCTTGGAATGACTAATAAAACCAACCTAGTCGCTTACACGAACTTAATCACAAGCTTCAGCAATTCTATTGCTTGGCGTTTCATTCTCCAAAAGCTTTGCCTTCTTGCGTGTATGTTTGACTAAATATTGAAACTGCTCTATGAATTTAGTTCTGGAGAATAGGGTGGTAAATATATACATTTATATCCACGAATTTCGATCTTTCGTTGCATAGGAAGTGATTCTTGTATTGTAGCATTATCCATTACCCAGTAATATTCTTTCATTGTTTCATCTCGATCCATAACATCAAATAATTCATTTATAAACTTGATGTAATGTGCTGTCGTTATGCCTTTGGGAGGAGCTTCTACTTCCTCATCTAAATCCATTTCATTTACATCCCGTTTCTAACCTTTGTTTGTTTTACGATTTTTTGTCGTCGATTTACTTCTTGATTTAGGTGGGGGAGGCTTTCTTAATGCAACATGCATCACACCAACAGCTGCGATTGCGCCGATAATGATGTGGGTTGTTGCTCCTTTTTCTGCCCATGCCCAGTTATTTTTCATGTTGATATGAAAGCTGGCTTTATCGATAAAAACGCAGTTCTTCAAGAAATCAAGATCTGTTTTCGCATAAATCTGATACCATTCAAACCGTTTTTCCAAATTCTCAGTATCATTTCGAGCAACTGACTCAAATGTTGCATATTTCACCGTCAAATTGAGAGTTATTTTCATATGATAATGAAGTTGGCTTCTGGAAATGGTCAAACCCTCGAATTGCTTTGTTAAACTCTCTAATACATCATTTACTGTAGCTTAAGGGTTTTCTTCTACGATTTGCGCAACGAATTTACAATGTTCTTCTGTGACCTTGCTTTTTCTATCTAATAACTTACAAGTTTCAGGGCTTACAGGGAGCTCGTTTGTTTCTGTGTACTTTTTCCACCATCTTTGAGCTGTCCTTTCATTGATTCCCATTTCATGTGCAATTTTTGCAGTTTCTCTACTGTTGGTAGACTGCTTCTCGCTATAGCTGTTGTAGGTAGATAATCTAGCGCTATCTTTATTTTTTTTTAGGTTTTACTGCTTTAACTTCAATAGCTGGTTCTGATGATTGCTTTTCGAGGTACTGTTTTTTCGGTGGTTAAACTTCTAAAACAATATTCCTCCTCTCTCATTGAAGACATTGTTTTGTCTATCTTCGTAGAAAAACATGTAATTCATCTTCTTAATGTTAATTAGTAATATCTTTTTAAATTTTAAATGTTATGCGATTTACTTACCAACTCCGAATCATTGCGGTCCGAAACCTCTAGTTCGGTTCGGCTAATGAAGAGGATCAATGATCAACTTTCAAAATGAACTTTGGTCTCCATCAAAAATGGTGTTGATTTGTCCACAAAAAAGGGGTCTCTTAGCAAGTAAGAAGAAAAGTGCTTGTATTTTGAATAGAATATATTGAGGCATCGATATATTCCTCTAATTATGCTAAGACATATATACTCCTGAGAAATTAAATTCTAGATTCTCTACGCCTATTGTTGTGAAGTGCATTACTCGATCAACACTTGACTTCAGCTCTTGAGACCAGAAGAAGATCATAGTTATGATGCTTATTTGATGGAAAAAAATCAATAATGAGTATGACCGCCTTTGGCATCAATCACAACTTGGTATTGGTCGATCATATCGTCGATTACGTATGTAGTAGTAAATGCAATGATTGGAAGCAATTACATAATTGACAAGATAGCGACATTCAACTATCTCCTTGTATCCGAGTAATTACTCTACATAGACTGGTTAATATATATTATTAATTTACTTTTCTTTTATCTCCCTTCTATTCTCTGCTCTTTCTTATAACCTAATGTAAGCATTACTTATGTATCTCATGATCTGCTTAATTTCTAGAATTTAATGTTTTATCTTTTCCACTACGAAACTTTTTTCAATAAATGTATACTATTGTGAAAAGAAATGAAGTGCATAGTTTCGTTTGCATAATTCTAACCTCTAATTGAACATCCGATCATCTTCGATTGTGAGACCCCAATAACGCGATTTATTCTCTTGACTAAGCAAAAAACAATCTCTTTTTTTTTTATCAGAATGTCTTCTTTTCTCTCTCGTACTCTTCTTGTAACTCACCATTTAAATTCTCGGTCTTTTTCTACCATGACTACTGAAAAAGCAACTTTTGCAGCTGGCTGTTTCTGGTAACTATATTATTCTAATGATGCGCAGTGATTAACATAATTAAGGGGTGTTGAACACATCTACAATAAGCATTTCAAACAACTCGATATCAAATGTAAAGTAGGCTACATAGGTGGCGATTTAGAGAATCCTAGCTATCGCCAAGTCTGCTCGGGGAAAACCAACCATGCAGAAGCAGTCCAGATTGATTTCGATCCTAATAAGGTCTCATATGCTTCTCTTGTCGAATTCTTTTACAGAATGCATGGTAATGTCCTGATTGTGTCAACAAGAAAAAAAAATAATAAGCTTATTGTGCATTATAGATCCCACACAAATCAATGCTCAAGGCCCTGATAAAGGCACTCAATACAGATCAGCCATTTTCTATCATTCGCCTGAACAAAAGACAGTGGCTGAACAAGTGACAGTTGAGGTTCAAGAAAAGCATTTCAAGGGTAAGAAGATTGTTACTGAGCTAGTGCCTGCTGGTATCTTTTACGATGCCGAGGACTACCACCAGGTAAGACATAGGACAGTATCAATAAGATAACTGACAGTGTACAGAAATACTTGGAAAAGAACCCTAGTGGCTATGAATGTCCCACTCATTTCTTGCACTGGTAATTGAGTCACATTGTTGAATAAACGTTTCTTTTTTTTTTCTGTACATATAATGAGAACCATCTCTCTTGTCAAGAGACTCAAATGGTCGTTTTCAGGCAATATGAATCCTCATGCTCTTGTTGTGGGCGACATTGATGATGATAATGTAAATGCATAGTCTGATAAAGACAAAGACCAACACGTCTATAGGAAAACGAGTTTGTGATTGGCAATCTCAATGGCGATCTAGCCATGTTCAAAGGACAGTGTGAAGACGGCTTTCCTTCCTATGTCTGTCGAGGACTAGGCACTGTAAGTGAGTTTTACTGAGTTGAGCTATGGGCTAAAAAATGTTGTCTGTAGATCACATGCATAGCTATAGGCAATGTGAGAAACAACGGCAAGGTAGACAACACGGCGTTTGCTGTAGACTAAAGAGTGTTAGAATTCTGTTGTAGTAATCAATGCAGAAGGACATGCTCATATCTTTGATATACCAACAAAACAGAAGGTCAATACAGACCAGCATATCTCTGTAGATGATTATTTGCGAGGAGGACGACGTTCATCCGACACAGCCAGTGTACAAGCGTTTCGGCGGATGATGACAACCGGCAATGTGTCTATGCACACAGAAGATCCTCGGTCTCAACAAGACGCTAAATCAAGCTCACCTATCCATGATCTTGGAAAGCCAAACTTGACACTCAAAGTACCAGTCAATGTGAACAAAATACTGATTGCAGACATAGACAATGATGGACTGAACGAGTTGATTTTAGCCAGAACAGATCGCATATTGCATGCATTTCAACTGCTGCCTTCAGGTACCACGACAGGACACATATACAAAGGAGTCAAGACACCATCTTCTTTGTCTCCTTCTGCATCTTCAGTCAATCTGCAGACAAAGAAGACCAAGGAAGACAGTTTACTGGATAAAAACATGTGGATATTTGATGGTCAAATCAGTAGTTTGTGCGCCACTACACATCCTCATCATCTCAATGAGCCCTTGCTGCTAGTAGCACAACCAGGTAATACGTTTACTATGATCGATAAGGACGGCAAACGGTACAATAGGGACTTTACACCACAAAAGAGCCGCACATTAGCCCAACAGATCTCTCCTCCACCTTCTTCCATCCAAGACGAATACATTGTGTCAAAGCAAGAAGGCCAGGAAATCATAGAGGATCCTTCTATAAATGATGATGGTAGAGAATTGAACTTTAAGAGATCGAATTATGTAGTCAGAAACTGGCCTGCGCATGTTGCACACCATAACGACGAGGAAGCAGTAGAGAGTGGTGCAGTAGCTACAGAGATTGTGATGGGCAAAAGACACTTGTTAGGAGATACGTATTCCAGTAGCGAAGTCGGAATGCTTAGTATGGATGGTGAGTACCTTGCTGTGTTGATGATAGATACTGAATGGCCTTCTAGGCAAATTCTCTATTTATGATCTCAAGACAGAGACTATCTCTCAAAAAGACTTGTATGTCACCCATAAACTGTTTAGTTTGGCGACTTTGGACGTTTCTTCATTACCACAGCAAGTTAATTATACTAAGCCTAGTGGAATACAAACACCTATGAGCAGTACTTCTCATTTACGCTTTTCTACAACACCACACAAAGGATCCCTCAATTCTAGGTCATCTTCATTTACAGGTTCTAGACGCAACAGCAAGCACGTAGAAGAGCATACCTCAGAAGAAGAGGAAGAAGAAGATAGTGACTATGAAAGTGAAGCATGGAGTGAAAACGGCAGTGAGTTAGAAGATGAGCCAGGTTGTGATTTGTTTGTTGCCTGTGCCTGGAATGGAGTGACTTATCTGATTGACTGGAGCAAAAAAGAAGAAGAAAAGATCAAGTATCAATTGGTCAAGTTTGCATTTGAAGGACGCGTTTGTGCATTTACTGCTGGTCTTTATTCTGTTGAAAACTATGTTAATGTGCCGTGTTTGTTCTATGTAGATTTTGAGGATCAGATCTATGTCTATTACGATGTCCGTATTACTCCAGGACCAGTGACAGGGTTTATTGATACTATTGATGATGATGTAGAAGAAGCACTGGATAGAATCATAGGCATTGAAAGTGGTATTGAAGCACTTTTAGAGCAAAAACAGCAACAACAACATCCTCATGAAAAGATAGACTTGGGTGATGGATGGCAAGGCATTGCTGAAGAAGAAGAAGAAGAAGAAGAAGAAGAAGAAGAAGAAGAAAAAGAAGAAGAAGAAGGTTATGAAGCGTCCCAGTTTACTACAGACAGAGAAGGTGATATCTCAGATACAGATCCTCTTAGTAAGTATAGCATGATGTATGTGTGTGTGTGTGTGTGTGTGTGTGTGTGTGTGTGTGTGTGTGTGTGTGTGTGTGTGATAACTGACTGGTGTATCAAGATCTTGCAGAGTTCATTCACGAGTGCTTATATGGATTCCATGACATGAAAGAGAGAATGGAAAGCGAAATACTCAAGGTGAAAAAAAAAATAGCTTTTTGTGGTGATGATAGCTTATACTTTGTTACATAGTTTGAACAAGATCATCTTTCAAACAGGCTTCCACCAGGAGGAGATGTAAGACGCCTATCAGATTTGAACATCAGCCTAGAACCACCTTCATTAGACGAAGACATACTGTTAGACATTGGTTCAGGCATATTGAATAGAGACAAAATACACCAAGCAGAGGAGGAAGAAGAAGAAGAAGAAGAAGAAGAGGAAGAAAGTCATCGTCTGTATCCAGTCAATAGTCAGATTAGCGAAGAATCCTCTGAAAGCTATGACAATGATACGCACATTGTGTCATGGATTGAAGGTTCGCTTATGAATTCATCAATGTTTAATAAAGAAGGCAATGAGAATGACAATCATTCATTGTCTAGTGATTTTTGATACATAATCGTGTAGCACTGAGCGGATATTTCACTCCACGATGAAGCATTTTGACACTGAATGGTAACACAAATGGACCCGTATACCTCGGCTGGTATTTGCGATCGCGTGGTGTCATACAGCTGTTAGTTTAATTTCCGATAGAGCGCTTTAAAAATACAATTGATTTACTCATCTTTACGCTCTATTTGTTTGATAAACTATGCTGAATTGTTCAAAAGAAACTAAACGAGAATTTCAAAAGTGCGGCCTTTGTTTATAAAAATAACAAAGTGTAACCGCGGCTTCCGTTTTATTTTTATTGGTGGATTAACTCACATTGTTGGTCAATACATTGAATTGTTATACTGCATAGAGTAAAACAACTTCGCCTATTTTCGGATTGTAATTGTAGAAAGAAAATTCCGAGAATATAGCATCTCCTTTTTATGTAATGTGTCTCCGAAATAATAAAGAAGTCTTTAAATTCCTGATAAATAGAGACTTCTAGAGTCTTTACAATCTATTTTTTTCTTTTACGTAATGCAAAGGACAAGTATATAAAAAGATAGACAGATTTCAATTCCTTTTGCTTTTTTTCTTTTCTTTTCTCCAATTCCACGGAAAAATAAAATGAAATCTCTTACTTTTATTGCCGTTGCAGTCCTGACTGCAGTCAATGCTGCTACATTTAAGCTAATTGCACCTGATGCTGCTAAGGATGTTCATGTTAGCATTTCAGGTCAATTGACTGCTTTGTCTGCTCAAGATCCTGATGTTCCTTACTTTATTGGTGAAGCTGATATTGAAGAAGGTGGAACTTATCAGGTAAATCGATGATTTGTATGGTAAAATAAAAATAACATCTTTTGTAGTATGTGGTGGACGGAAAAACTGAAGAATTTAATCGTACTTTTGATAATGGAAATTCTACTCTCAACGAATTCTTTGAGCGTGAAGTAACTTATGCTACAGACATTCCAGAATTACCTACCATTCTTACTGAAGGTGCTTGGGATAAAGGATCAACAAGTCATCCTATCTGGGACAGCAATTACATTCCTACTATCTTCATCAATGGTGTTGAGGAAGAAATGAACGATTTGATTGAAAACATTCCCAAGTCTACTTATAAAGTCAAGATTACCTTTATCAGTCCTAAAGATGTTACTACCATTGAAGTAAGTTTCTAAAAAATATAGTGTATGTTTATTGATCTCATACACATTAGAACTGTACACTTGGCCTGCACAAACCTGGTAAAAAAAACAACGACGCTAAACAGTCCTGGGTCTGGACACTTCCTGAAGGTGAATTCTATGCTGACCGTAACTGGTTCAAGATCAGACATCAAGAAGAAGATCCTACTCAACTTCGTGAAAAGCTTTATGCTGATCTTGCTCGTCAAATGGGTACTTATGCCAACATGGCTAATTTGGTACGTTTCTTTATCAATGGAGAGGCTATGGGTACATTCAACTTGCTTGATGATGTGATCATGTACTCTTACATTAATGCCATGTTCTATAATGGTAATCCTCCTAAGCAAATGGGTGGTCTTCTTGATGGTGCCTCTGGTGCTGACTTCAATCCTCAATCTGGCTACGATAATTTCATTCCTAATGTCGAGTCCCCTCTTCATCAAGATGCCATTAGTCCCTTTGCTGAAGCATTTGCAGATGTTGATTTCACCAATGACGAACAAGTGAAAGCTATTGGAGAATACTTTGACTACGATCAATTCCTTCGTTTCATGGTGATCGAATTCCTTACAGCTGATTGGGATGGTTACTGGATGGAACAGACCAATGATGGTGCTTATGTCGATCTAAACAACAACAAATTGTATTATCTTGCTCAAGACTTTGACGGTACTTTTGGTGTCAATATTGGTTATGGTAGAGAGTTTGTCAATGTGTCTTACAAGGAATATCCCCAACGATTCCCTCAAGGTTACTTGATCAATAAGTTCCTCACAAACCCTACTATGCAAGCCACTTTTGAAAGCTATTTGAAGGAAGCTACCACTACACTCTTTAGTACAGCTGTTCTTCTCCCCTATGTTACTGCTCGCCACAGATTCATGTATCCTGATCTTGTTTGGGATCGTTCTATTGTACAAAGATCACCTGGGAGAATCTTTGGTTGGACTGCTGAACAAACAACCCAAAACTTATATGAGCGTGTTACTGCTTCTGGTGAGCATTCCGGTGGTGCTGATTGGGGTCTTTTACAATGGGTTGCTACTAAAGAACAAGCTGTTGCTCAAGACCTTGGTTTTACTGCTAACAGTGTTCCAGTTGAAGAACAAAATGTGGTGGACGAACTCAACAAAAAGCCTGAGCCCAAGAAGGTGGAACAAAGTGTGGCTAGTCAATCTGCTGCTGCTGATAAGCCTGCAGCATCCTCTAGTACCAACAAGGAAATCAAGCAAGACGATAGAATTCATGCTGCTTCGATAGATAAGATTAAAGAAGCTTCTGTCCAAGAAGAAGCTATCAACAATACATCAGATGCCACCTTAGGAAAAACTTTGCCTCAAATTCTATCTATGGTTGCTATTGTTGGTACTATTTTTGCTCTTTTCTAGATTCATTATTCCATTAATTATTACTTTACAACCAAATTATATTTATACATTAACTTCCCCCTCTTCTCCTTCCTATAAAATAAATCATTCTCTTTGGTTTGTATAAATAACAAAACAATTCTAGTTCAAACTATTGTGCTAACAGTTCAACTCATTCCAATCTATCATGCCTTTCTTGCCTGTGCATCTCATTCCAGTTATCACCTGATAATTGAAGAAGAATGTTATTCCTCAAGTAGCATATAAATCATTATTCGAGAAAAAAACTTATGCATTGAATGATAAATGGTCTATACATGAAAGAAGAAACACAAAATAAAAGGGATAGATGTACTCTATCTCTTATGTTGAAAGATTTTCAATTGGCTGATCGATAAACTGTTGTGACTCAACCTTGCAGTAACATTTAGCCGTTTCACCTGTCAATTGAAAAAAAATAAGCACAGGCAGTGAATTGTTTGTATTGATTGTTTGTATTGATTGTCGATATTTCATTGGAGTTACAAGGTCTTCTATTAATTTAATACAACAGCAGACATAGTCTGTTATAATTATATAGATGTTTTTTGATAAAAAAAGAACAAGGAGGATGCCGTATCAGCGAATTCTCTGCTGACTTCCTAATTTGGACTCCGGGATACGAATGTCAGTTTAAAAAAATCTTTCTTTCGAGATTAGTGCTTCTTCTTTCTTTTCATTAGGTCAGCATGCAAAAGCATTACATTAACCAACTGAACGAGAAATCGAATCAGCTGAAAGATACAGCACAAAAAATGCTACGAGAACAGGTGTATTACGTCAAAACCTTACCTAGTATAAAGCAAGACATGATTCGCTGGACTGCCAATGTGTTATATTTTGGTATCGGACTCATGTACAATTGGGCAGTCTACGCTGTTCTTCAACAAATGCCGCATATGCAAAAGTTTCCATCTAATGTGGCTGGCATGATTGTTCTGTTTTTTTTACTCATGTGTGCAAATACAGTCTCGCCTCGACTGACGGATAGATTCGTGCAATTTCTAGATCCATATTCATCATTTGCTTTGCGAAGTATGAATATCATGTTTGTGCCTGCCTTTGTTGGTATTGTAAGCAATCCTCCAGTGAGCGGGCCTGAACTGGGAAGAATGATATGTGTCTTTAGTACGTTGATTTTTTTTTGATTTAGACATGTAGTTAATCTTTTTTTTTTTTTGAAATAGTTGTTGGTTATCTTGTCGCTTTCTTTTTATGCACTTTTCTAGTACGATTTTTTCGTTTAATTTTGTTCTTTCCATTGCAAAAAACACTCTTGTTTGCGTCAAATGAAAAGACGAAAATACATCATAATCAAAGTTTAGCCGAAGAAGAAGTAGCCATTGAGACCAGTATGATACATCAACAACAATCCATCATTGCTATTCCTTCTGCAGCTCGTCATTCAGATGATATAGACAGAGCTTCCTGTTCTCGAACTTTGACTGGCGAGCCTTTGCAAGGCATTGTACACAACGCAAGCAACGCCAACAGTATTTTTGAAGACTCAGGTGAACAAAGATACGGGCCATTACATCACTTTGCCATTTGGTGTATGGAACAGTCTTGCTTTGATGATTTGACGTTTTTCATCCTCTTTTGTATCTGTGCCTTCATCTTTTTACCTCTTCCTTACGATAGCCCAGCAATGCCCTTCTTTCGCCTCTTTTTGTATTTCTTTATGACCATTCTATTATTTTCTCTTTCTTGTCGATTGCCTAGCAAAGTTCGGATGGTTATTCACCCAATTATATTGACTTCTGCTTGCGTTATGGCTGGTATTGCTTATTTTGAGCGGACCAAAGGTTTTGATATAAGACATGGTGTGTATTTGTACAAGGCAGGCATCACATTTGTCTCACTTGTTGAAAAGACAAATGTTGGTTGGCCTGGAGGTGGTGATATATTATCGACTGCTATGGACGTCTCCATCATTTCTCTCGCCTTCAATGTCTATAAAAGTAGGCCCAGTTCGCTTCGAGAGGTAAATACACTGAAGAGACATGCATATGCTAATGTGTATAGTGGGCTGTTATTTTTATGTCCATTGCACCTATAGCTTTCTTAGTCATGTTTGTCACACCTTTGTTTGCTCATGCTATTGGATGTAGTCCAGATAATAGTCTTGTTTGGTCTTCAAGGTCTGTTACAACTGCCATTGGTATTGTGATAGCCAAAGTGCTAGATGCTAATACAAGTATTGTCACTTGTATTATTATCTTCACTGGCATTTGCGGTCCTCTTCTAGGTCCTTTCCTATTCAGATTGGCGCGTGTGAGTGATGGTAAGCAGCATTATTTTTGATAGATAGCTCATTCAATACAGATGATTACATGACTATCGGTATCACTATGGGTTCTAGTTCTCATGGTGTAGGTACTGCCTATCTTATCAGTAAGAACTCAAGAGCAAGCGGTATGGCTTCTTTAGCTTTTGCTATCTTTGGTACTATTGGCGTTATTGTCGCTTCTATTCCAACACTTTCTGATACACTTCGACATTTAGCAGGATTCTAAACTAAAAATACCCTCTTTTTGTATAAACAATGTATACCAGACTAATTTTTATTGAAATAACCATCCACCCACTGCATTACGAAGAATATCTCGTTTTCGTTTACTACCATTTGGTTCATGTTCACCACTAGTTAATAGATCACCCAAGCTCCATTGCTTTGTTGCATTCTGTAATAAACCTTGCCATCCTTTGGCTTCATCATGTTTTGAATTGGAATTATCAGCACTTAGCTGTGCCAGACTAATTTGATCTGGCTTGTCTTGATCCAGTTTACGCCATACAGCTAAAACATCACGGATGTTCTCAGGTGGGCTTAATGTCATGGCCATCGAGAGCACATCCAACCTTCTATTTACATCGTCAAAGGCTTCTATTTTGCCCAAATTGAGGCAGATCTGCCATGCATTCTGATTCACTTGATCATGGTAATTCTTTGGTTTTCCAGTCTTTGCGTTTTGAGCAGCATCTACAGCAATTTGACATAGCTTGTAAGACTCAAGATAGTCTTCCTCTACAAGTGCAGCACTTGCCATTAATGTGAGAGCTTTTACTTTAGCCAACAAGTCTTCACCATAACCGAGTTTAGACGCAAGTGTCAACACTTGCTCATGACGACGATACATGTCTCGCTTGGTATGAATCAGCTTGGATATCAGTTCAAGTCGATCTTTGGATTGTCTGATCTGAATTGGCATGAGTGTCATCCCAGGCCGATCTTGCACCTTGTAGTCAGTAATAAGAGCATGCGTGGCTTCCACAAGATCCATTTCTTTTTTGATTTCCGTTGTAGGTGGTAAAATCAACAAACAATCCCAAGCTTGTTTTAAGCTACCAGAATTCATATTGCCTACTGTTGCATTGTCAAAGAATTCTCGTTCAGCATCAATCACTAATTGTTCTGCTTTGGTAATATCCATCAGTTTCTTAGAACCCAAAAGTAATTCTTTGGCCAATTTGAACCCTATCAAGCCATTAGGTATGAATCAAACCCAACACATAACTTACGACCACATCGTAACAAAGAGCTGAAAAAGATCTCGAGAATTTCAGCAGGATCTAATTTACCAAAAATGCCTTGACCATTGTCATTTAGTCGAAGCATATCATCTAAAAGTTCTCTCCAGTCATCGTCACGATCAAATAAGATGGCACCTGTTTCGACACCACCTGCAGCTCTTGAAGACATGCGAATACACAATTGTCTTTGAGCATCGACTGATTGATCACGCAAGAACCAAGCAAGAGGCACGCTTGCATGATATCTAGCCAGCACTTCTGCAGACCCTAAGTGATTTTGAAGTGTGTCCATCATTTGAGTCAAGCCAAATGGACCAACAGACTGGAGTTTAAAGAACAAATCAAGAGCAGAGGAAGAATCCACCAAGGTACTTATGTCTGTGGGCTCATCCAGTCTTTCTGAAATGTCATTGAATATAGGTAGGCATTCAAACAATCGGACTAAACAGTCCATAGGTCCATCACCAGAATACACAATGGCAAGCACAAGTCGAGAAAGGCCAAGATCATCCTTGATAATTCTATCTTCTAAGGGTACTGTTGGTTTGGACATCTCAAGTACAGCACAACACCAATCTAAATGCTGATCTACTACTTTGGAACTGAGTAGCCATCGACAGAGTACATATTCGTGATCTTGTCTATCCTTCGATACTTCAATCCAAGGCAATGCTAGTCGAAGCATATCATCTATGATTGTTGCTGCATTTGTGTTGCTTAACAAGCCTTCTAATACTTGATAACTAGATAGTTTGTTGAACTCCTCTAGGTTCACAAAACTGTCTTCACGTAATGACCCATAGACGTATTTACAAAGCCATTCATATTCTGCTACTTGCGATTCAATGCCTGTGACGCCCATGACTTGAGCATATCGAATGATTTCTAATGCATGGCTACTTAAACCAATACGATCAGCAGCATGAGCACGCTCCATATACCAATCGACAATGACTTTGGATGAAGTAGGATACTCTATGCTTGGAATGACATTTTGCAATTTGCTTAAATAGTCTTGTTGTTCTTGTACCTCTAAGCTGATCATTTGTTTGACCCACTCTTGTTCTACTGGATCTTGATCCTTTCGCCATGGTTCTTCAAGCCAACGATCTTCATGATCATATGTGACATGAGGCAAATCAAATCTGCTTGGGTCTGTCGTTTCTGGAATTTGAGATAAAATAAACAAACGCTGTAAGAGCACTTCAGAGCCATGATGCATAAAAATAGCATCTAGAGCAACATGGTTTTCTGATCTAGCGTATTCAATGGCTTTGGCTATCAAGTTACTGTCTCTAAATTCAACATAAGCTATAGCAAAATCCTGCTGCTGTTGTTGTTGTTGTTCCTGACTTGCCCAAATCTTTGAAAATGTTTCGAAACGATCTAAATATTGCAAGAAATAAAGTCGGCTTCGAAGCCAAGTTTTATCCGCTGGTGATAAAGCTGTATCTTGCTTTAGTGTAGCAAGAATTGGCTCTGTGAGTTTATTGACACGTGTCTGACCTAGTTTCAAGATGTTTTTCTGTACTTGAGGCTGGTTAGCACAGACCTCAAGACACTCGCCAATAACCCAAGCGTGGTCTTGAACAAGTGCGAGGAGTTCAATATCTTTGACTTGGAGTTGTAAACCGCGTGTTTGTTTCTGTTTTGTCCAGTGAGCTTTGTAGGCAAGATCTTTGTCGAGTTCAAGCTCATCAGCGAGGTCTATAGCTGCTTGAAAGTTGGCTTGTTCAAGGTGAATGAGGAAATCTCGATATGTAGGTTGTTCCATCTTGAGACCAAAGAAAAAATAAACAGAAAAATTACATGCTGATGTTTGTGTTGAAAAGCAGCATTAGCACTGATTGGATAATTAACATTGCTTTTGCTTGAATAAGCCAATTTACTTGGAATTGAGGCATGAAAGACATAACTGTCAAATCAACCAGTATATCCTATGTAAAAAAAACATTCAATTTGCAAGTAATATATTGATGTTATCTCATAAATAATTCTCTGTTATTTGATCTGATTAAAGCCGCGGCTCACATACTTTAATAGCTCTATTTCTTAGAAGGTAAAGAACATTCTTTTTGCTACATAAATACTCTCAATGCTCATTTGAAATGGCTTGAATTACAGTGAAAGTGTGCTTAATGGCAATTATTCATTGCTATTAATTACTGCTGTTTTTTACAAAAGCATAGAAAGGACTGTATTCTAATCGTTCTGTAAGCTATTTTTCTAGTCTAGAAAGTCATATTAATGAGAAGAAAGAGTTCTGTGTTGAGATAAGCAAAAAAAAGTAGCTAATAATAGCGTTACCATCATAACCTCTCAGCAAAAATCAAATTCTAAAAATTAAGCAGAGCATGAGATACATAAGTACTATATACATATATATTGTTACTTACATTAAATTATAAGAAAGAGTAGAGAATAGAAGGGAGATATTAGCTAGTTATGTAAAATACTTATACGGATATGAGGAGCTAGTTGAATATCACTATCTTGTCAACTGCATAATTGCTTCAAATCATTACATTCATACTACTACATGCTTAATCGATAATATGACCAACCAATATCAAGCTATGATTGATGCCAAAAGCTATATCACCAAGTACTGATTTTTTTTACTTACATTATCTTGAAATAAACATCTCAGCAAATTACCCACAAGAAACTGAGCGCGTTTAGGTATCATCTCGGCATATTATAGAACTCTTGGATTATGATACCTTTGTTGTTGAGCTCGAATGACAAAAAGACTGGGCTAATTTTTATTTCGGGCCAGTGTATAACAAACCAAGCAATTCACTCTAAGGTGCTAGATTCAAACACCGACCTTTTTCTTTGATTCGGATTTGACGATTTAAATGAAATCTTTGAATTTTTCGAACACAAAATTGTCTAAGAGTGTGCAAAAACAAAAAGCTATTAAAAAGTTGTGATAACAAGAGTTGTAGATATTGACAAGGCTCATCGAATGGTGTAGAGAAAACGGTATTGTTACGGTCCGGATATTGTAAAATTTTTGAAAACCAACTATTTCAGTTTTTGAATCCTAGCGTCCATTTTTTATAAGGCTTTTGCAAATCCAACACTTTCAGCATATTTTACAACCTCAGACAAGCCTTTCGTACTAGAATATACTGTACTTCCAATGGCTCTATCGCTCACAAATTGTAATTTTGTGAAAACCGAAAAAATTGTCGAGGTATGGTAAGCACTTTTTTACAAAAACATGACATTTTCAAAATTCGTCATGTTTTTGCATAAAAATACTCTAGAATGCGTAATTTAATAGGGGGAACTCAAAAGAAGTAAATCTGAGGCAATTTTGAGGTCGTTTTGCGGCTAAAACTGAATTCATTTTACGGACTCTTTATGCAGTAAATTTCTACTTCTGGTAAGCCTATGCATTCAAGCGAGATTGTGATGAAAGGTTGGCAGCATAAGTCTTCCAAAAAACTTTGTGACCCGCCTCTGTGGTATCCCAAGCAGATTCTAAATGATTTTTCATGTGCTGAACAACAGCCTCACTTATAATTTTATCAGCTCATTTTTTTTCTTAGTCACCTTGTATTTAACAACTCCTTCTTTAATAAAGTGTATAAAAGGAGGTTAGCAAACAAATCGTGATTTTTTTAGACTCTCAATGCTTAAGTTTGTTATTTGCCAGTATAATTAGTTTCTAAACATGTCATTGGATCAAAATTTTAGTTAATAACTTTAGAATCAATCTCAGACGAGCAGAAGAAGGTTACGTCTGTTTAGTGCTAGTCGATCAAACAAAGAGCGCCAAATTATTTATAATATGCCGATATTGCACTAAGCGCGTACGGTAGCACTAGTTCTTGTGTTTCATAGAGAATTACACAAAACCGAAATCTTTTGTTCTTATTATGCTATACCTTTTAGAAAAAAGGAAACTGTCCCGGGCATGAATTAAGAACAATTTGTGCACAATCACTTGATCCTCAATCGCCGCAGAAGGTCATTTTTACCTTTCTCTAAACCTTAATGGCGTTCTTTTGATTACGAATACTTTATTACCTTAAAAGTAACTTGTCTCGAATCAAATCGGCTAGCTTCTCTGCATCGACATACGAACTTGAGGGATACATATCTCTATGGGATTGAATGTCATATAAACAATCCAAGATGTTATAGAGCACAGCTGCATGTTCACTATATCATGTTGCCCTTAAGAACAGAATTTGGTTTTTTCTTCTTTCTTACTTACGTTTTTGGTATCTCGTGTTTACTTTGATCCGAACTTGTCAGAATATGTTCAACCTAACCAAGATTCATTTTGAATTTTTTTAGATGTGTTACAATAAATAAATAAATATATATATATATGATTGTAGTACCAATGATAATTGCTGCTCCACATGCAAACTGCTTGTTGAGAAAAAGATCGATGTTACAAAACAGGCGAGAATAAGTAAATTACTGTTCAAGATAGAATGCCACATTTTAGGAAGGTAAATAAGTATACCATCATTTCCTGAACCATAAAATGGGTAAACGGGTTAACATTAGTTTGACCTTATTGGATTATCTCACCTTGGCTTGATTGTATCCAGCTCTTCAAATCATACAGAGATTGCGACTCACGAGAATCTAGGCTAGGGTAAATAACCCAATTGACATGCACAAGAATGCTTTCCATCTAGCCATTCTATTTAGTATCTTATTTTCTTTAGTTGTCTTTTTTTCTACCTCTAAACACCATGGTTCTTTCTGTTGACACCATTGAATGAGTGTATATACACAATGCCAGAGAAAATGGGTTGGCGATAGAGCAAAACACCATGCAACGTTTCTTCTATCTAGTATACTTTCTATCGATCCATTGTAAATGTAATTGATCAAATGTTGATGTCTTTCTGATGGCATGGTTATACTTTTGAGGTTCAAAAATGGGTATCGTAATATGCGATGAATGCATTGAGATATTCGAACAAGTTTCCAATTCGAAAATCGAACAACATAGGCTGAAAATGTATCTACAAAAGCTATAGTAAGATCCACAGAAGATCTTATGAGTTTCAAAAGCCCATTTTGCTGTAATTTGGTGCAAAGAATATCTAAATTTTCATAGTTATTCTGCTGTTCTATAAAAACAATGGCAAACTCGAGAACTTGAATTGTTAAAAGCTCTTTGTAATTTAACAAAAGCCTAAAGATATTCAGATGTGGAATGATATTATATCTCTATACCTTATTTTCAGATCATCAGGCCATTGCAAAAACTGATTATTTGGACTCCTATCAACCATTAGATGAGACAAGCTTGTTATAAATTCATTTGACAGTATAGATTCTGATGGATCAAAATGGAGAGGGTCTTTTTTTTCGGTTTTGTTCAAGATGCATGAAAGCAATTTTTCCAAAATAATTGTTGCCTTCTCTTCATATAACAATGCAATACACTTGTCCGCTAATCTACTAAGCAACTGACTCTATTGGGACGAGCAAAGAATGAATGCTGTAGTTACTTTAACTTGTTCTCCTTACATCTAGATTATTTTTCTTTGCCTCAAGTAGCTCTTCAATTCTCCGAAATAGGCGACTATCGTCTTCCGTTGTATGAGCTGCACTAACAAGGCGCCGTAGTCGGATAATACACCATTTGATGGATCTAAGCAAATCGTTAGATCCAGTATTGACAGCATTTTTCATACTTGTTCTTTGAAGCATTCAAATCTAGACCCTCGTTCAGGAAGGCCAAATTCAGTTTACTGTATTCAATTAGACAAGATATTAACAGTTCAGCGTTTGTGATATGATAAGCTATGAATGGATGTGTCTATCAAGTTTATACTTAGTAAAGGAAAGCTAATATAAAGCTAACACATTACAGAAGCTCGAGTTAAAATAATGCCGACATTTGGATATCTCTCTACGCATTGTGTTGCTGTCTCATGACTCTTTAGTTCCTAATGGTAAGAAAGTTAATCTCTTGAAATCTTGAAAAGGAATCTACCTCGAGTAATTGTGTCAAGAATGTATTGAGAAAGCCAGAACTTTGAATAATTTTGACTAGATATTCATGTTTGTCGTGTTTGTCTTTATCAAACTCTATCGTATCTTCAAAACGCTTCCAGTCAAGAAGCATGCCGTCAAGAAATACAAGCAAATTCACCTTTTGCTCTCTGCATTTTTTAAAGTCACTTTACGCGTTTTAGGGCGCGTTCTTTTATGTGTGTGTGTGTGTGCAATCTACAACATTTGGTGCAACAACTGCAATTCTTGTATGTATAAACGAGCACAAAAAGGTATGCTAACTAGTTTGTTGAACCTTAGATCGTGTATCATGACACTTTTTCATATAAAGATCAGTCTAATTTGACATGTGCAACACACAATTTTGGTTTTTATTCTGGTAGTAAAATTAATGGTCCTTTAAAATATAGATATAGATATATATAACAAATCATGAAACTAATAAAACAAAAAAAAAGAGAAGGCTAGCATGGTTCAGAGAATTACATAGTAGAAATAAGTAGTAAATACAAGTATATAAAAAGCTTACAAGTAAATGGTATGATGGATCATAAAATGGCGGATTAACAAAAAAAAAAAAAAAAAAAAATCCAAAGCAATAGAGAAAGAGACACAGTCCGAATTTATGATGCTTGTTGGATGCTGTATTTTCTGGAAACAGGACCACCATAAGGTGTTGAGGGCGCGGAAGAATTGGAGTATACAGTCTGGCTACTTGATGTGGGTTGAGAGAAATAAGAATTATGTTGTTCATAAGCAATAGGAGATTGGTGACTACCAGTGGAATTCATACGACTGCGACTCCAGTTGTTGTTTTCCATACGCATTGGCATGTTCATATTAGTAGGATGAGGTAACTGAGGATGGCCTATTTTAGCTTCTTCGTGCAACCCGTTGCTTGCATTAGATACGGGAGCTGTTCCGTTGTTTCCAGCACCGAATTCATTGTTATAAATATCAGGCGATGATGATTCTGAGGAAGAGGGATCTGAAGTCATACCAGGCATCATATAAGGATGGCCATGTTGTTGAGAAGGACCGCCAGTGGGTGTGGGTGGCATCATTCCAGGTTGCATGGGACTGAATTGAGGGTAATTAGGATAACCTTGATAAGGATAAGGTGAGCTATAGTCAGGGCCCATGACACCAGGTGGAGTCATTGGTGGTCTTGGGAAAGATGAACTGTATCTTTCATCAGGTTGTGCAGACATAGGCATGTTGTTTTCAAAGCGTTCATGGTTGTCAGAATAGTGACCAGGACTACGACCACGAACAACGAGAGGAGCAGATTGACAAGAGGCAATTTTAATTCTTTGGTTGCCTTCAATCTCCGCATAAAGATCTACTAAACAGACGTAGTATTGTTGAGCGGCTCTTCTTTTGCCATTGTTGGCGGTAGCTGTCTTGAATTGGATTCTTTCAAATGTAACAATACTTTGATTTGCACCAACAGAGCTCATACTCAAGTTTCCACCGGGGACAATAAGTTTTGGCGAAGGACTTGATTGAGGGCCTTTGTCACGCTTGGGTGTATGTTGAACCAATTCAATCTTCTTATCGCTGTTTGAGACACGAGCAGAGATATTCATTGAAAAATTGTGAACAGGGTAGAAATTGCCGTCGACTTGAACCAAACAATAGGCTTCTTGGTTGGTGTAGTAATGGTTCATACCGTGAATAGAGAATGCACCGCTTACTTGGAAATAATTTCTACGATAACAAGTCCAATCATTATCTGCCAAGAAAAAACCTCTATCCATTTTAGCCTGAATACGGATGTTAAGTCTATAAACAAGTTTTAGTCACAAATATAAATTCATTATTAAATGATATGTGAGACTTACAGTGTAGATCTGTCTAATGCGTAGAGATTATCAACAGGCTTTGTGGAGCTAAAAAAAGGACCAAGTTCAGTTGAGAAAAGTTCACTTCTTCCTCTCTTGCGATTTAAAGCAGGATGAGGATAAGGGCCAACATGGAAAGAAGAAGTGGCAAAGTTATTTTTCTTGGGAGAAGTAACTGTAGGATGATGGCTAGGACGAGGAGTACCAGGTTGAGAAAGAGCCATCATTCTAATATGCAGGTTAGTAATGTTATTTTTAAAAGCTTATTTAGACAATACCCAGGTAAGCGTGGATCTGACTCTGACTTTCCAGGAGGTAAGAAACTTGCTGAAGGGGAAAGTTGATGGTGTCTAAATGTGATCATGATTACTGTTTTGTCCTATCAAAAAAAATTTTTTTTTTACTTACACAGGTGGATGCAAAGGACTTTGAGGGAATGATTGGTTGTAATGACGATCCATAGTTGCGGGATAATGTTGTTGTAATTGTGGTGATTGAGCAATAGGGCTTTCAGCCATACAAGGGTTTTGCAAAGGAGCTTGAGACATATGCCATTCTTTTGTGTCGTGAGCTGAGTTCATATTATATTTCTAACAGGAAAAAAAAAGAGGGAAAGTTCTTGAAGCTTGAAAAGAAAAGAACCAAAGGAAAAAGAAAAGATAAAACTAGGATAAGCTCACTTTAGATCTTGGATCTTTATAAAGTAGCTAAGAGTCGGAAACTCAATAAAACGACAATAAGGTTGAGGGGCAGAATCAGAGAGTGGGAGTGAGCGGGCATTGGTTGGTTCCCCTCCTAATATAGACACACATACACTCACACTATCTATTACCTTCTTTTTAGTTCTTTCTCTCTTGTATTTTTTTACTTTATATATAAAGAAAACAAAATATAGTTGCAAATGATCTTTATATAGTGAGACAAGGTTGCATAGCTTTTTCATTAGAATATGACAAAAATGCGTCGAGAATAGCGATTAAGGAAATGGATGCATGAACACTAAATAGGGTCTGTCACACTATGGTATTCTTATGGGTCTCGGAACTTGATCACAATTGTTCTATTACTGCAAGGTATGCAGCCTCTTTTTTTTCTTTGGATATCTTATGTAACGCTGCAGCGATAAACTTCTTTTCTACTGCTTTACATCCTCTATATATTTACACTAAGCTAACAATGTCAAATAGAATTAGGATTTTTTTTATATATATTTTTGTAATAAATATTCCCAATAGTCACAAAGTCATTATTTTTATTTTTTTTTTGCGTCTCCGAGTCAATAAGTTTGTACAACATAATAAAGTGAGCCTATCCCATCGAATGAACAAGAACCTGCTCTTCTAATTAAAGCAATATCCGCCTAAACCTAGTAATTTGCTTCAACAATACAAGTAATCTCTTAACAATTATTTATGAAACTAAAGAGATTGAAAAACAAAGAAATCAATTGACTCTAATTTGTCTGTGCGTTGTGTATCTAGAAATCCTATTCTCTAGGTTCCACACATTCAGTATACCAAAAGATTTATTTTTTAAGCGCGGTGTATTTTTTTGAATCTCCCGAAGAATCTACTTTTTTTTTGCCCCTTAAATTTAAAACCTCTTAAACTATAAAGAAGAAAAAGACACGTTTTTGAGAAAAAAAGTAATGATTCGCGTGTAAGGAAATAATTGATAAAAGTAGCATAATATAATTAACTTACATCATCACAATTAAAACAATAGCAATGCATTGATCTTTCACACCGAGATACCAAAGTGGGTAATCAAGCAACGTTTTTTTTTGTCTTGCCGCAATTTCATGTGATTTGGTAGATCTCTGATTTTTTTCATATAGCAGACATTCACCACAAAAAAAAACAATTGTTCTTTTAATCATTATTTTTTGCTTGTTTTGTTCTCTGTGGTTCTAAAAAGGCGTAAATAACTTTAATTGGAAACAAGTAAATTTGTATGACAGCCCTTGTCAATAAAAACAGAAATACACAATAAGTGGTAACAAAAATTAAGGGTGTTTACAGTGTGACAGCATGAATATTGTTTGAGGTTCTACAGAGATTCGTATGGATAGCATTTGTATATTTTAGGAATGCTTTACTGCCTTTTAAAGTACTTTACTCTCTTTCGCTTTTTCTTATGGTCAAATTATGTATCTTCATAAAGCATAATAACATAGAGCTTATAGTTTATTATATACACATGGATAAAATATACATGATGGGGTTTAGATATTTAAACGTCGAGGCGTAATGAATTTGGTATCTTTGTTGGTTGCTTTGGTCATCTTTACCTCAACACGATTACCCTCTCCGTCTACAGCAATCAAAAACTTGTTTCCGGCCTTGATACCATGCGTATAGGGTACTTGAGAAATACCACGATAAGGCGTTGATTTAGATTCTCTTAAGACAGGCACAGGTGTACCACCACCGCCACGAATAGAGACTGCTTGATTGGCGCGGTTGATATGAGGTGTCATTCTACCAGAGACAGTGTTCAGGAACCCATCTCGAGTAACACCTGTAGGTGTAGGAAGCATGGAAGCTCTTGAATGTCTACCAGAAACAAAATTACCTCCCTCCAAAAGTGCATGATCTCTCAAAAATTGAGAGAGTTCGACCCAGCCACCGCCCACACGTACCATCACCATACGACTTCTTAAGATACGGCAATAAGCCAACTTGGGATTTACTTCACCAAACCAGTATTTGCCCACTTCGCCTGGTACCATCTTTACAAAAATCTTGTAGGGCGAATCGTTCACAATATCACCAACAGCTACATCCAGATCATTTTGAGGGTCAGCAACATAAGTCTCGGGTGTTTTGGCACGGGAACGTTGTGAAAGACGACCTCCACTCAATCTTTTAGCTGTCGGAGAAGTGGCACCAGGGGATTTTCGAGCATTGGCACGAGCAGCAGTGGCTGAAAGTGCAAAAGGAACTGGCGTTGTTGTGTTGCGCTTCGCTTTGGTACCAATACGAGTAGATGGATTTGATTGAGGACTAGGTGCTTGTCTTAGGACAGGATTGGATTTGCGTTTAGCCAATGTAGCAGCCTTTCTTCCTCTTTCTTGAAGCAATCCCTCTGTCAAGTTCAAAGAGTCAAATGTATCAGCAAGAGGACCAATACGAGCCATAAGGTCTTGTTTTTTAGCAGCTGCTTCTGCTTGTAGTCGATCCCATTTTTCAGTCAATTGCTTGAGACATTTTACCACACGAGGATCATCCATGAGTCGCAAGGATACTTCTCTGGCTTCATCAAAAAGCTCATCAATCTTGGGTTCATAGTAGCGATAGCGAGTATCTAAATCAATCAGCAAAGCCTGAAGATCAGTACGACTATAGTTTCCGTCAACGACACGAGCATTCTCGGGAGCAGCGCGAGCCACAACTTCACCCATAGCAAGCAAAAGAACTTCCAATTCTTCAATCGCAGTCAAAAACCCTTCCATCTTTTCTGCTTCTGCAATGGCCTTGCGCTTCGTCTTGATCAAATCAGTCAAGCCTCGCATAGCAATGGTGATTTCAGTACGTTGGCCAGAAAAGATATCCTTTCCATTTTCATCCTCGAGTACATTAAGCATACGATCCAATTCTTGAATAGATGGAACCAAATTAGCTTCCAAGTCACGATCAAGAATGTTTAATTCAGCTTTGGCAGAAGCAAGTCTGTGCTCTCCAGGGATAGAAGACAAAGGACAACTGAGCACATTGGCCAAATCACGATTTTCAATACCTTCGTCTAAAGGTGCTTTGCAGATACGAACAGCACTGACACGGTCTTTCATATCACCTACTTGAGTCATGATTGATTTGACTTTACGGGCAATCTCAACATTCTTTTTGGAACTGTCCAGCAAAGCACGAGCCTCAGCATGTTGTTTCCTGAGTGCTTCCCAATCCTTCATGATGAGCTCTTGACGTTCTCTTACAGCATCCTTAATTTCATCACGGTCCAAGCTGATTTCGCACAAGTCTAGAGGAGAACCGTCCTTTGCCAACAGAATACGGGCTTCCATGGTCTCAAATGTCTGAAATGTAGGTCTCATTTCAACCATCCTTTGTTCAATACTGTCCAATTCATCTCGTAATTCTTGTTCATCGTGCATACAAACATCTGTGGGAAGCTGAGCAATAGCATTCGAGCAATGATCCATCCAGGTCTGTAAGTCATTAGCACCTTTAGCATGAACATAAATCTTGCGAATGAACATGGCTTGCTTCTTTTCAAGACCAATGGTATTGGAAAGTTGGTTTAGACTATCACGAATACGCTTGATGGGATCCTGAACAGAACTAGCATCATACCCTTCTCCACATAATTCTTGTGCTTTTTTGGCCAGTACATCGAGTTGTTTTGCAAAAGATTGAACACCTCTTTCAGAATAAAGCGTAGCCGACTGTATGCTTTTAAACATAGCATCAATTGAACCCATGTCTTGAGAAGAGAACCCGCTATTGCCTACAGCAGACATACGACGGCCGACCAATTCCTTTTGTTGTTGTACTTGACTCAAGACCTTGTCTGTCTCGCTCAGGAAAGTACTGAAAGCAATAGCTTTGTTGGCATTGGACTTGAGTGCGTTTAGGTTTTTAGAGGCAGTAAGCACCTTATTCTTCAATTGAGCATGTCTATCTCGGGCACAAGAGTAATTGGCAGTCTGAAGAGGGTCTTCCTTATTATCAGCAGCATGAATGACACTACCCGTTTCTTCCAAAACAGTGGAGGCCCGATCAATCTTGTCTTGCACTGCTTGTAAATCAGCATCTGTCCAGCCCGACTTAGCCAAGCGTGTGATTTCCTCATTGAGGCCTGCGAGGATGTCATTGTCAACCATGCTCAGCCTTCTTTGACGATTATACCATTCACCTACAACTTGAGTAAATTGTGACAAGTCTCGAATTTCATTGCCCAATTGGTTCCAGTCTTGCTGAAGATTGGTTTGCATAGCGCGGATTTCATCAATATTTTCAATCTTACTTGGCTCCATCACACTATAATGTGAACTGAGTTGAGCAAAATGAATCTGTTGATCTTTGTAACTGTGGTTGATTTTGACCAAGGCTTGGTTTAACATTTCAAATCGACGTTTGTCTTGTTCTTCAGATTGCCCTGTCATAAAACCACACGTTTGCTTTAAGCCAGGCATGGAATGTCGAGTTTCATTGATGAAAGAACGAAGTAACCGAGCATTTTCAAAGTAATTATTGCCATCTTCCATCTTTTTTCGCATCGTCTCCAAATCAGATCCATGCTCTTTTAATATCTGTTGCAAACGATCAAAATGTTCTTGTAGCTGTAATGATACATCTGAAAGACTGTCCCTGTCAAACGATGGCATGTTTAGAGGCTCGGTTGTTTCCAGCAATGTCTGGATGTCAAGTACTAGATCAATCACTTGCTTCTCTTTGCCATTTTCCAACTTGTTCAACACATTGATTCGATCTCGTTCCAAGCGTTGCAGGTCTTCTGCTGTAAATGAACTGCCAAGCACATCTTGCATGTCGAGTTTAGCGCGGCGTACTGCCTTGATCCGTTCATCTGCCCATTCACATAAACGAGCAGCATCGCTCAAATATTCTTTCGCTTGGCGGTGTAATTGCAAAACATAACGATACGAAGCAAGGCGTTCAAATAACGCATCCCGTAAAGACAAAAGCAAATTACACTTTTCAGTAACCACATTGTTGATCTCGTCATTGGCTACTGCATTTTCTGGTTTGTCTAGATCTAATGCTGGAACAGGGAAAGGAATGGCGCGGGCTGTTACCGTCAAAAGATGAGCAATTTTTTTGTCCATATTCTCGACATGCAAAAACACTTCTTGATCGTTATCGCCTGAACGCACTTTTGTTTCTGCCTCTGCTATTTCAAGCTCGAGTGCTTTTCCATCGTCCATGACAGTGTCTGTCTGATAAAGGAAGTCCATGACACTCAGACGTTGTTCCACCACACTGCGTGCAAACTCGATTCGTTTAATAAGGTCTTCGAACTGTTGTTCGCAAGCAGACTGTCTTGACTCAAAATGATCTGGCAATTCGATGCATGTACTGGCCAAGTCTTCAAAGGTTTTGACGGTAGGTGTGAACTGTTGTTTATCAAACTTGACTCGATTCTCCTCTAACTTGTAGAGTTGTTGAGCCACAAGGCCTTTCTGCTTTTCTTTATTCAGGAGCCACTCTCGCTTATCCTGACCATCATTTTGAGCTTCTGCTGGTCTCCATCGCGCCGTCTCTTTCAAGAAAGTGTCTGTTTCCTCGTCTGTTTCTTTAAGCCAGACCATTGACTTGACATACTCTTCTTCCCAATCAACACGCTTTGTCAATACTTGGAGATCAAAACTCTTTTTACGCAGCGAATTCATAAGTTTATCAAGCGTGTTCAGTGTTGTCAACGTAATGCCAATCGTGGTTGTATCTGCAGGACTCAAGTCTTTGTCTTGTCTATCTGAGACTGTGAGTGTCTTGACATGCGACCGAAGACGCTCCATGTCTTCTTTATTGAATGTCTCTATCTCTTTTTCCAGTATTGAGTGTGTTGCATTTAACTCTTGAACCTGTTGACGAGAGACAGATAACGAGAGCAACAAGGGCTCAGGAATCACTGTGTTGTTGAGCTGATCCATCCGAATTTCAATCCATTGACGAATACGTTCTGCTTCTGCAAACCAAACACGTACTTCTTCTACCCAACCTCTGACAAGTTCGTTTTTATTTTCAATGGATTCGTATTTAGCAAGATAGGCTGTATCTTGTGGTTGACTATCAGAAGCCAAGAGCAACAAATCGTTAAAGTTTGATTTCAATGTGCTCACCATATCTGTTGTCTTTTCCGTACGTATCTCGAGGTCTTGAATATCATGGTGTGTCGCAATAGATTTGACCATTTTATTCTGCACCAGTTCAAGCTCATGACGAATTGAAGCACACATGCGAGCAAAGGCAAAGCCTCGTCTAAAATTAGACAAGGTGAATTCAGACCGTTCAAACTCTGATGAAAGTGACTGGTGGAGTTGTTCTATCTGATTTTTGCGCCAGGTAACTTTAGGGTGATCTTGCCAAGTAGGCTCTAGTTGCTCTATAATATACACATGGAGCAATAAATGCAGATCACCATCGGTGAGCGTCTGGAATTCAGACTGAAGGGATTTAAAGTTCCGATCATACGCAGCATAGTCTTCTTCAGCAGCTTGCAAAGGATGCAATACTCGTATCAGCTGCTGTTGTTGTTGTTGGATCATTTGAAGTGCTTCATCATTACTAGCCAAGCTGTGATGACTACTGTTATCTCTTAACGAAGAAGCCGTGGTGTTATCGTCGGTTAAAAAAAAGTCCATGATACTGTCGGAAGTCACCGAAGATGGGGAATAAGTAGAGGCACGAGTGGGTACAATCATCATTAAACGGTGCTGGAGCCCATTCATTTTTTCCGCCAGTGCAGAAGCACGGGATTCAAACTCCTCTAGTTCAGTCGGAACCTCTGTTCCATCACTGTATTTTGTGATTGTGGTCTTTGTAATTTTAAGTTGCTGGAGCGTGTAAGTTGAGGTGAATGTCGTACTGTTCTGCTGTTCTTGTTCCTGAGGAGATTCAAGCGGGGGATCGGCATCCGTGAAAATAGGAGTGGGCGTAGGTGCTGCATCATTTGTTGATTTAATTAAATTTTTGAAACGTTCAATGTCTTTATGACGTTGGACTACCTGGTCATTATTGGGTACTTGAAGTGAACCAATCAACCGAAGTAAATAGATATAGGCCGTGTCTTGTGTGAAAAGTGATGTGGGTATATGATAAATTTCCCAGGTCAGTTTGATGGCAATATCAAGTGCCTGTGGTTCTTGAAGGTATAAATGTAAATTTGGTATCAAAGCAGGCTGGTGATAGTGCAAAATAGATAGTAAATAAATCCCATTACTGTACATGGTTGGTAAATCAAGAATGGCTGGTAAAATAGACGCGTTGATATAGTCAGACAATACAAAAGATGCCCATGAAAGTAAATAATTTCTAATATCTATTTTTTCGTGTTGATTGGTGTTGGGTATAAATTGATGAAACTAAAATAAATAAGTAAATAAGAACTGTAATACATTTCACTTACAAACGCTGTAAATGTCAATTGATTGTTCTTCAAAATGGTATAATTGACAAGGTGAATTTCATAAAGTGTTTTAATAAAGTCTAGGAGAGCCAATATATCCTGATCATCGTTATTTTCAAAGGTACCCACATAACTGACAATGTCTTGTATGCTGCCCCTTTTCTCTATTTGAATGTTGAATAAGCTTTCTATCACTGTGGCAAGTAGGGTAGGTTCTGAAAGCTGCTGAATGTCCTCAATAGTGGAGGAGGAGCAAAGGTTGATCCAGTTGAGAAGGTTGGCTTCTTTGCTCTCTTTTTCTATCTTGTAATCAATTTTTGTCATTCTTTATTTTATTACATAAAGAAATAAACAAATAAGTAGACACACGCAAACACACACACACACACGCACACACACAGAAAAAGAAGAAGAAAGTGAAAGAAAAGAAAAAAAAAAGAAAAGAAAAGAAAAAAAAAAGAAAAGAAAAGAAAAGGAGGGGATATTCACAATACAAATTCAGTTACGTGCACAATTCGTTTTAAGGGGAGAACTCAGCAAAAAAAAAAAAAAAAAAAAAAAAAAAAAAAAAAAAAAAAAGGACAGTACCACAAGCACGTTCTACATGTCCCAAGATCCGAGCCGAACACATGATGGATACAGCTCTTTATTATCTACACTCGAGTACGACTTTCTCTAGGTACAATCTATCACTAGGTTAATGCAAGATATAAAGGAACTTGACTTACTCTTGAGAGAGCAGGGTGACTAAGAATGGGGCCAATAAGAGGGAGTCTTTTCAAGAACCCAAAGACGACAGGGAAGAAATCACTAGAATTAAAAAGGGATCAGCATGAAATGCATGAAACAAGGAACAATAGGATTTTTTTTTTTTTACCCAAACAAGTTCAAGAACCCAAATATTTCTACCAAGAATCCAAAAAATGGGTATTTGCAAAGGACTAGAAAAATGCCTCCCAAGAAACAAATGGTGCCTCTCAACTTTTCTTTTCTCGAAAAGAAGACAAAAGTACTTCTGGGTCCAATAATAGCTGTAATACCACACAAAAACAGAATCTACCACTTGTGTTGTTTGAACTCTATTTCTTTTTCTTTTTTTTACTATACGTGTCTTACATTGCCAATGGCCATTAAACCTCCATCAAACAACATCATGACACCCATCATCATAAAGAATAGACCAAACGCAGTCAAACCAACACCAATTTCTTGTTGTTTTATTTAGTACATTTATTTTCTTTTACTTGCTTACTTTGACTATCACTCAACCACATTGTTTATACGCGTAAGAGAAAGAAATAAGGAGAATTAAATCAACGCAAAACCAGTTCATTATGATGAAAAAAATCGAATTAAAATCCAGTCGTATTTTCACTTTTTTCTTTTTTTTTTTTTCATCATTTTAGTATGGCAGACTCACTATCAGCGTACTCCTATGTTACTCTGGTAATATTCTTGCTGGTTATTGCACTTGTAATCCGTCCAATCAAGATACGCATTAAGCGTATCAAAATCCACCTGAATATCTCGACTGTTCCTCCTCTTGGCGTCTTGATTCTATTGATTTGCCGAGCCATTGATTTTGATGTAGTAAGAAGAGGGTTTCTGGGTACAGCAGGAATACAGCCATGGGCTATTATGATCCTGTTCTATTCCCTGGTAAAGTAAATACATAGAGAATTGACTGGGTGTTGATTTAAGTAAGGCATACATTTGTATATCTTTAGACATGACAGGAGTGTTTCAATTTTGTGCTTTTTGGGTCTCCAAAAAGGCTGGCAATAGGGGAATGCTGGCATTTACCCTCTTTTTTATTCTTACTAGTCTTATGAGTGGATTGACAAGCAATGATGTGGTCATCTTGACAGGCACTGTCTTTCTTTCTTATTTCACAAAAGTCTCGGACATTCGCCCTACTGCTTTTCTTATGAGCGAGTTTACTACTGCCAATATAGGTAAAAACATATCTCTACCTGATATGTATTTACTGACGAAAACATAGCTTCTATGGCATTGTACATTGGTAACCCTACTAATGTAGTTGTATCTGAAGCTTACAAGATCAGTTTTATTACCTATTCAGCTTGGATGCTACTTCCCACTGTAGTATGCATCTTGCTGGCCTATATTGTTCTTCGAGTCTTATTTCGAGGCAATTATTATCTCCCTCGACACATTCAACCACCAGACGCCGATCCAAAAAGTGTCTTGATTGATCCACAAGGTGCTATTTTTGGCTTGGTTTTATTAGGCTGTTGTTTAGCAACTCTAGTCGGCACTTCATTTGCTAATGTGCCTGTCTGGATGGTCACTTTGCCTTTTGCCTTTGTCATGTTTCTGAGAGATATTCGACACGATTTAGGCATTTCATTCAGTCATATTTTCCCTATCAAGCGGCGATACCTTCGTCCTGTTCTACACACGGCGAAGCATGATGAAGTCTTGATCTTTGATCAAACGCAAGAGATTCATTTAGACTCGATCCATTCGCCCTCCAGGTTACACAAATCTACATCAGACAGTGTGGTTCCTGAACAAACAACTGACTTGGGCTCAACGCCACTAGGACAACTGGGGAAAAGAAGGACATCAAGTATACAGCCATCGTTATCATCAGATCAAATAGTGCAAGACAATGTCACTTCTACTAAGACAACCAACAATAACGTAATTAAACCCTTCCAGAAGCTCTACAAATGGTTTAGTGCCCGATTTCCTACGCTGAAAGCAGTATTTATGCGTATGCCTTGGTCTATTCTTCCTTTTAGCCTGGGAATGTTTATGCTGATTGAGGCATTGGCTGAAAAGGGATGGGTAAGTATTTTTGCTACTGCCATGGCTGTGTTTGCAAAGAATTATGCGACTGCTGTTTTCGGTATGGTGTTTGTGTCCATTTTGGCTTGTCAGCTATTGAACAACTTGGTAAGCAAAAATAACCAAGATTCTCTTATTTATTTAGTAGCCTATGACAATCTTGTTTACTCAAATCATTCAGCACCCCAATTTCACACAGCACGTTCATTCAGAGGCTACCATGCAAGGGTTCTTATTAGGCTTAATCGTGGGTAGTAATTTAGGTGCTTGCCTAACACTTGTAGGCAGCTTGGCGGGTATTATGTAAGTTCAAACAAAATGATACATAATTAACACAATATATTGCAGGTTTGACCATATTCTTAAAACTAAAGGTATCTATACATTGGGTTACTTTCAGTTCTTGAAATGGAATCTTGTCATTCTTCCGGTTATTGCTTTAGGAGCATGTGCAGTCCTGATAGGCGAAATATGGTTTGTCTATCTCCGTTAATGCTTGCCATGATTGTACTTTTCTATATCAAGATTACGTCTCGAACATTTTGCGGAGGAGATCCCGACAATAGACGTATACCCCAACTTTTTTCAATAAACAAGGAAAAGCAGTAATTTTTGTTGGGGCTTTTTCTTTAATTAGACATACTTTGGCAATGCAGTATGCTGGAGGCTATTTATTTCATCATGTTGATGCATATCATGTATACATATATATAAAAACAAGTTCTATATCAGGCATTAAACCATGTCTTTGAGATAGATATTCTTATCTGATACAAACTAGAAAAAGAAAAAAGCATGAAATCTATACAAGGGTCCAGATCGGGAAATGAACAATACATCAATGCTTCTGATTATGTAATCCGGCTTGATTATTGTATATTTAACAATAACCGTAAAGGCATAGGATTGTATTTATCGTGTGCATGTTGCTCCTTTATTTTTCTACATAAATCGCGTGCTAATTATAATTGTCTGCAAACTTCTTGGTCATTTTCTTTTAGTAATGGTCTTTATTAAGTTCGGTGTAACTGTTTGTTGTGAGTCTGATGTTAAATTACGCATTTTGGGGTCAAAAAAGTGTATCACTTTTTTCTCGAACACTATATAAAGGGCTCCATAATACACAAAACCAACTTTTTTCTTTTACTTTTGTGAACAATAATAATAATAAAACCCCCCTCCCTTCTCTTTTTCTTGCAGAAAAAAATCATGTCAATGAATGATATTCAAAGAATTCTTTCTCAAACACCTTACTGGATAAACTTTGAACAAAGCTTGGCACTTGAGAAACGTAAGAAAACCCATTCGTAAGAAAAAAAACAGATATTAATCCTATTGTTTAGCTGAAGATACAGATCGTAAAAGATACGAGAATTTGTCTTGGAGATCATGGCATTGCAAACAACAAAAGCATCATATTGTCCAGCCTCAAACAGGCCATCAAAAGTTCTTTTTGTCTGTAGAACATGACAGTGAAGAAGAGGAGGAAGAAGAAGACGATTGCTCTTCCTCATCTTCTTCTCTATTTGATGAAGACCAAGAAGAATGGTACAATCAACCCATGAAAGATGACTTGGTCTTTGAAAAGATCCATTGTGATCGTCACTTGTATCTGTCTGAAATAAACAAAACTTCACTTTTGTCACAAATGTTGCAGAACTCAGCCAACGACAATCAACAAAACAATTCACAGCAGCTCTTGAAACGTTGTCAATCCAAGTATCAATGCTTAAATCAATGGTTCACAACAAGTGCTTAATTCTGTTCATAGCTCCTTTGTATATATACCCTTTTTTCTTTTTCATACCATATTCTGTACAAAATAAATCTCTTCCTGCTCATTTAATTTGCTTTAAAAAGAAACTATTGTGCCTGAATCATAAATAGCAGTATACAATGAATGGCATATACTTATCAAGCAGAAGGGGAAGATAATCAACTTGCATCCCTTTCTTTGTCTCCCTTATTCCTTCATGACATTATCTTTAACTCCTTATGTGATATACATAATTAAAATATAGTGGTACAAAATATATATTGAGTTTTTCTCGGCTTCTATTCTATAAGAACGAAAGTGTGTATTAATTATAAGTATCATTATTAAGAGTATAGAGTATTTTCTAATGCTTTCTATGTGCACATGTCGAATAGGCAACAGCAGAGCATACCTGCCATACTAGAGAATACGCTTAGTTGATTTATACATAGTCCAAATCAACTTACCAAGCAGTACAACAATCACTATCGTCGTGGCGTTGAGGTTGCTGTTGAACGATAATTGTTTGAGGTGCAGGCCTAATGACCATCATAAATACACATTTCGACAACATACACACACTTACTGAGGTTGATAGTAACCACCTTGTTGTGGAGGAGGAGGATAATAACCACCTTGTTGCTGAGGAGGGTAGTAGCCACCTTGTGGGGGAGGGGCTTGGGCATAATATTGTTGATTTTGAGGTGAATAAGACATTCTCAAGTTACAAGAGAAGAGAAAAAGGAACAGAAAAGCTTAAAATAAATTTAATTAATAAATGCGCGTGCTGTCGGACCCAGCTCTCAGGTTTAAACCAAGCCACTCTTTCTAATATTTATTTGATCTACTCTGGTTTACCAATCAAGCCTTTACCCCAGTTTTGAATAACGCGAGAACATTGGCTGCGAATGTGCTGAGAACGAGGTGTCTTCCAAAGGCCTAAAGCGTCTAATTGTCTGGCATGATGAACGCATTGCTCCCAATAGAATTTAGCATAAATTCTGTTTTCAACAACATTCTAAACAATGAAATTCAATAAGCTACATGATAAACTGTGGTACCTACATCAAAATCAGATACTTCCTCGTGGTTCTGGTTTGGCATTTGGACTACAAAGTCATCAGGCAAAATATAGATTTCATTGCCCTGTAAATAACTGGAAAAGATACAGGCAGCACGACTATCCAAGAATCTCTCTGAACACCATGGTTGAACTGTCTTTGATTCAATCACAACAGGCTCATAATGAAATTCGTATTTTTCTACAGCATACAAGGTTTCAGCATCCATCCACTTTTCTAGATCAGTGGGACCCTCATTCTCCTTCCAATGTTTGTCATCCAAAATCATCTTTTCTTCACTCAACTTGAGAATCAATTGATTCTTGTCGTAAGGTACATCATCACGCGTAACACCTGCGCTCTTGAATGTAAATGTAGGCAATGCTAAAAGATTGCCAGCTCTTAAAAGGCTATCAATGCGCTCTTTGTTGGATTCTAATGTACGGCGTAAATCAGTAGCAGGAATGACGCCAGAAGGCAAGTCCATAATAAAGTCGGTCTGTGCTAACAATCGAGCCAAATTGCGTTCAGCATTGCGAGGGAATAAAACACTCAACTGAGAACCGGGAACTTGAGCTAAATGAAGATCGACATTTCTATGAAGTTCAGGTGTATTTTCGTATTCTTGCTTGATCTTTTGAATGGCTGCTTCGTCGTCTTCCTCTACATGAACTACAGCAGAAATAGGGCCTATTTTGATATCTCAGTATCAGGTATAAGTAAGTTATTTCTTTGTTTTTACCTTCCCAGTAAATAGTCAGTCGAACCAAATCTTGCCATGTATCAAATGTAGTAGTGGTGATAAGTGTTACTTCATCTTTTTCAGGTACGTTTTCTGCTTTTTTCCAGAAAAGCTGAATGTGCTTTGCTGCATCATAATAACTTTTACTAAATAATTTGTGCATCTTTAAACCGTGCGACATATCATTCATAAGCGAATATGGACTATCTATAGATTTGAATGAAAAATAGAATCTATATAATATGCATTACCTTGGTCGTAAGTTCTTTCAGGTACCCAATCATCAGTGGTTGTTTCTTCTAAATCATCCGTATAACTATAGTTTTGAAGAATGTCACCATCGTCTGATAAAAGATATTTCCATGTATGATTAAGTGATAAGAACACAGAAAAAATGACATAAAAGAGAGCAAAGAAACGAATAATTCGAGACTGAAGTACACTTGACATAAGAGAAGGCTTTGTAGTTCCTCCAAAGGCGTTCCCGTGTTTGGAGTGTGGTAAAAGAGGACCCGATGGGTTCAAGAAGGCATGAACACGTAGGATGACTGAGTTCACAAAACGAGAAGGACTCAGGACGCCACCTGGTTTAGTACCAAAAGTTCCAGAAGAAGAAGGAGTTGATCTACGCTTAGCATTCTCTATAGATTCAAACTGTTGCTGTTTCTGTTGGTGCGGCAATGGTTGTTTATTTAAAGAAGGTTTTCTTTGGTGGGAAGTTGTCTTTTTCGACGTGGTGATCGAAGTTGACCGAGAATGTTTTGGCTTGACAGTGGGTAGACCAATATCAGACATTGGAGAGGAAGGATAATAGAAAGAGCGAAATAATCTTGAGTTACCTCTTTAATTAACACTTGAAGTGAAGTGTCCTCTACTCCGCGCCAATGAGTTTCTTAGACTCCTGTCCAATCACAGTGTATAGACGAGATGATTTGAAGGGCATGTCGATCCCTTTATTCTTCTTTTCCTTGCTGCCATCTGTTTGTAAGAAACGGAATGCACATATATGCTCACTATCAGAGACTTAGGAGGGTATAAAGAAGTAGGCATGGTCTATGTGTTCAAACTTCGTTATGCTGTATTCTATAAATAGAAGCAAACAACATACCAATTTAACAAGTGTTTGATCTAAAAAAGAAGGCTTGCACAAAGTTTTTGCTTGAATTGAGGATGTATTTCTATAGATCAAGTACACATATAGATTATTTATGATTTAGTAAATGCATAAAAACACCTTTTATATATATGCTAATAAGACATCGCTTGGCATACTGTTATGAACACTTGACATGCGAAAAGTTGAGATAATCAATTAAACCAGCAAAAATTGATTGTAAACAAAAGGCTGATCCATTCCTTGGGTTTAAAATAACAACACTTTCCAATCCTTGGACTTAAAAAATACACCACAATAAAGAAGTAATTGTTGCTATGGTCTGTGCATTAAGTGACGGCTCGTCAAACAATACTTTAGTTTTACTTATTTTGATGGCCTTTGCCACATATAACTTGTAGTAATAACAAGCTATTGGCTGTTGAGGAGCATTTTGCGTAAGGTCTGATGCTAAAAACTACGTTGAAGTAAATATACACTTACTTTTTAATGCAATTGTCGAGCAAATGAGCAACATATAAAGATTTTTATTGAGAGAGTACAACATTTTTAAATATTCTATTTGATAGTTTCTTATTAGTCCTATAGTAAATAGGTCAGTCTGTAAAGATCTGTGCTTTAGAATCACTCCCCATTTCAATCATTTCTTGCTATGTCAAATAAAGAGCTTGACTAAATCGAACTACTTATGAGATGGATTCAAATCAATGTATTTGCCTAAATAAAAGCTATGAAACAGTGCTATCCCACGTACAATTACCTTGTATTTATAACCTTAACCCGCTTTTGATATTTGCAGCGATTTAGAGGTACTTAACTTACACAACCGAGGATCTTACATTTTTTCTGGGAGTTAGAAAACAATCCTTCCTGAGTTTTTTTTTTTTTTTCAACTCTATACGACCATACAAATCGTTCAATCAACATGAAAATATGTTTACTGTATATTACACTTTATTGAAAAAAATCGTGTGGAAAAAAATAAAATATTAAATAAGAAAAAATTAAATTCTAAAAGTTAAGCAGAGAATAAGATACATAAGTAATATTTACATTAGATTATAAGAAAGAGCAGAGAATAGAAGGGATATATTAGCTAGCTATGTAAGATACTTATACGGATACGAGAAGGTAGTTAAATACCTCCCCTAGAGTTATGCATCATGCTAGACTAGGAAACATTAATGTGTCTGTATCAATAGGCATAATGCTATTGGTATGGTTGTGCAAAGTCATCCATCAAGAATCAAGTTTGGCCAGCTCTTGTTTTGAGGAATAACAAAGAATAATAATCAAGGATTAGATTGTTAGTTTGTTTTTCTTTGTGTCATGCTATCTTCCCATTGTATTCACACTACTATACAATATGACCAACCAATATCAAGCTGTGATTGATGCCGAAAGCTGTATCACCAAGTACTGATTTTTTTCTACTTACATTATCTTGAAATAAACATCTCAACAGATTACACACAAGAAACTGAGTGCGTTTAAGTATCATCTCGGCATATTAAAGGACTCTTGGATTATGATACCTTTGTTGTTGAGCTCGAATGATAAAAGGACTGGGCTAATTTTTATTTCGGGTCAGTATATAACAAAATCATCCATAGATACTTTTGAATGGATAATAACTAAACTGGCTACTAAATACTAAGGTGTAAGCGATGGAAGATTTTGACCAAATCTTCACACAAAGAGAGAGAATTTTTTCTAGCGACGGAGGAAAAATACTGTATTACAATAAAACCTTTTTACATCTGCTTAATGCAGCTAAGCAAAATGTTGTCAGTCATCAGTACGATAGTTAAGTAAAAAAGAAAAAGAAAAAAAAACCTTCTTTAGCAGCTATTTTTAATATACAAATGAGCAAATCATACGGTTTTCATGTGTTTGATACTATCCGAGTATTGGATAACGTCTCTAGAGTACAATGGCTATGATAAACTTCAGTCATCGTTTGCGTCTAACAGGATCTATTGCTTGACTTACAAACAATTCATGACAAGCCTTGGATAGCTTCTAACCCTAAGACTTTGTATTTAACTTTAGTTACTCTGATTTGAACATCCCATGACCTGAAATCGAAATTAGATAAGAGTGTAGTGGTTTTACTCGAAAGGTATTCAAAAGTTTGCAACATTCTCCAGCTTCATTTAATTGATTCTATCCAATTAGCAGATTACTTGTTGGGTTCTATGAGCTCCTCTTATGATCTTTTTCTCTTCAGTGTATTTGAAGCCGCCTTTCAACAACTTCACAATATCCAAGATTTTTTTTTTTTTTGCGACTGTCTTCATTTATTTAAACAAAAAGGTATATTCTCTTCAATAAGAATTAAGAAAGTAAAGTTCTTTACTTATCCATGATTCAAGTGCATAATCTAATGGCGAAGATGATTGAAAATATTTTTTTAGTTCAAAGAATACTATTTCATTAATATTATTATGTTTGGACTCAGGAAAACCCCCGCATTGCATTATGCATCCTCAGAATCAAAGACTACTATAAGAATGGCCCTCGAATGTTTGGTGTTCTCTGAATGAATAATCGGATGCTGAGACAGCGTAAAGAGTACAAAAATACTCAAATTGCCTTACCAAGTACTGAAAATAACGCAGTTTGATTGTAAAGATAATCTATTTGCTAAAAAAAAATGGAGGGACAGAGGGAAAAGCTATAGAGGTAAACATTATCGGGACTGTTGTTAGTTACGAGAGGTATAGAATTAAAAGCATATAAAAGGATTGTTGTGGAATCTATTGGGATTGATTGAAGAGAAGGACAAGCTTGTGTTTGTTAGAATTAGCACAGGATAATTGCAATGAGCCTATATCCGCTACTAAAATACGCTTATTTCAAAAGAAACGATAGACGGGTAGTGGACAGACATAAAATGAACAATGAATCGAAATTCACGGAAGGAAAACATGTCAACAGGTAAAAGATAGACCTGAAAATGTGTTGACTTGCAGCATATAAGTTGATTTTTTACAGAAGGTATTTTGCTCCCAACTGCTTCAATTGAACAGAAAAGAATTGCAGTATAACTAGATTATGTTCCTTAGTAGACCAAAAAATAGCAAGGATTAGCACAGATGAACAAGTATAGACAAGGATCACAAAATATGCATTGATTTATTTAGATAAATTTTAGCAAAATCTAATCAAGCAAGCGGTAGTTAAAACCCTATCTGTAAAACAACTCTCAGTCGTCGACAATGTCTTTACTTCTCAAATGACAACTCCATTAATTCGAGCTCCTTTTTGAATGCCCTTGATCATCAGTTCTTCCACCAGATTCCCTTGCAACAGAGTGATTGTGTCAACCATAGCAACTGCAGTGCATATAGCAACCATAGCAACCACACATCACAGGGCCAGCGATTGCATTTTTCTTCCATCGCTTACGCTGTAGCGCTAAATCTACAGAAAAGGTAGCTAGAGCGATAGAGAAAACCATGGAAAGGTTTGTACACCTCAGACCTTCATGATTAGTGTAATGGACTTGCAAAAAAAAAAAAAAAAGTGTTTCCAAAATTAATAGAAATGTTAACAGGTATGCCGAAATTACATGTATGCCATTTGCGTACTCAAAAAAATATTTTTTGAAAAAAAATAGAAACTGCTTTTTTAAACCGAAAAATTAGAGAAATTTAATTTTCTGTTTTAAATTTTTTTTCAAAAAAAAGCTAATTTTTCAATTTTTCTGTTTTAAGATAAAGAACGAATCTGCCAGGCAGCAGTCTCTTCTCTAAACTAAAACAGTGAGATTATTATCTGGTATACTCGTTTATTTATTTAAAACAGAAAAATTGAAAAATTAGCTTTTTTTTGAAAAAAAATTTAAAACAGAAAATTAAATTTCTCTAATTTTTCGGTTTAAAAAAGCAGTTTCTATTTTTTTTCAAAAAATATTTTTTTGAGTACGCAAATGGCATACATGTAATTTCGGCATACCTGTTAACATTTCTATTAATTTTGGAAACACTTTTTTTTTTTTTTTTGCAAGTCCATTACACTAATCATGAAGGTCTGAGGTGTACAAACCTTTCCATGGTTTTCTCTATCGCTCTAGCTACCTTTTCTGTAGATTTAGCGCTACAGCGTAAGCGATGGAAGAAAAATGCAATCGCTGGCCCTGTGATGTGTGGTTGCTATGGTTGCTATATGCACTGCAGTTGCTATGGTTGACACAATCACTCTGTTGCAAGGGAATCTGGTGGAAGAACTGATGATCAAGGGCATTCAAAAAGGAGCTCGAATTAATGGAGTTGTCATTTGAGAAGTAAAGACATTGTCGACGACTGAGAGTTGTTTTACAGATAGGGTTTTAACTACCGCTTGCTTGATTAGATTTTGCTAAAATTTATCTAAATAAATCAATGCATATTTTGTGATCCTTGTCTATACTTGTTCATCTGTGCTAATCCTTGCTATTTTTTGGTCTACTAAGGAACATAATCTAGTTATACTGCAATTCTTTTCTGTTCAATTGAAGCAGTTGGGAGCAAAATACCTTCTGTAAAAAATCAACTTATATGCTGCAAGTCAACACATTTTCAGGTCTATCTTTTACCTGTTGACATGTTTTCCTTCCGTGAATTTCGATTCATTGTTCATTTTATGTCTGTCCACTACCCGTCTATCGTTTCTTTTGAAATAAGCGTATTTTAGTAGCGGATATAGGCTCATTGCAATTATCCTGTGCTAATTCTAACAAACACAAGCTTGTCCTTCTCTTCAATCAATCCCAATAGATTCCACAACAATCCTTTTATATGCTTTTAATTCTATACCTCTCGTAACTAACAACAGTCCCGATAATGTTTACCTCTATAGCTTTTCCCTCTGTCCCTCCATTTTTTTTTAGCAAATAGATTATCTTTACAATCAAACTGCGTTATTTTCAGTACTTGGTAAGGCAATTTGAGTATTTTTGTACTCTTTACGCTGTCTCAGCATCCGATTATTCATTCAGAGAACACCAAACATTCGAGGGCCATTCTTATAGTAGTCTTTGATTCTGAGGATGCATAATGCAATGCGGGGGTTTTCCTGAGTCCAAACATAATAATATTAATGAAATAGTATTCTTTGAACTAAAAAAATATTTTCAATCATCTTCGCCATTAGATTATGCACTTGAATCATGGATAAGTAAAGAACTTTACTTTCTTAATTCTTATTGAAGAGAATATACCTTTTTGTTTAAATAAATGAAGACAGTCGCAAAAAAAAAAAAAAATCTTGGATATTGTGAAGTTGTTGAAAGGCGGCTTCAAATACACTGAAGAGAAAAAGATCATAAGAGGAGCTCATAGAACCCAACAAGTAATCTGCTAATTGGATAGAATCAATTAAATGAAGCTGGAGAATGTTGCAAACTTTTGAATACCTTTCGAGTAAAACCACTACACTCTTCTCTAATTTCGATTTGCAACAAGCACGAACGTAGAGAAAGTCATAGAAGCTAAGTTTCAAAAGTTAATAGACTATCAGCTCCTTTCTCTGACCTTTTGTGATAGTAGTCTTTTGAATTCTTTTCTGATGCATAAGTAATCATTTAACCAAATAAAAATGCCACAGTAAGTTCAAAAGTCTCCAAGCTAAAATATACGTATCTCTTAATGGCATTGTTTTTAGTATCTGTTTTAGTTAGGTTTTCTATTCCTTACAGATGAAACTTCGCCTCAAGCAATGTAGGACGATAAACATAGAATTCCAAGCGCTTGATCAGTCTGATTTAGCTGTCTAAACCATCTAGTTGAGTGACTGAGTTAGAATCAAGGCTGCATAAATCAAAATGACCAAACGTTTTGTAGATCTATTCTTTTTCGATTAAAAGCATGCGTTGAAATAAGAACCAATACTAAAAGGAAGAAGAAAGTGTACAAGCCTATATATATATATATATAAGAAAGACGCTGAGGCAGTAAACAAACAGCTTTCATGCGGTATCATGTAATTTTACACATAAATATGTACAAACACCCTTTCTCTGATCTCAATCTTATTTTGAAACAGAACAAGGGCATAAGCCCTCCCTTAAACAAATGGTTTGAAGCCCTTTTAAGTATCTGCAAGAAAAGAACTCGGTTCATGAACAAGTCCGCAGTTAAAACAATTAGACGCTCCATTTCCAACCAATCATTAAAGTGTGACAAAGATGAAATTCAATTTGATCAGATTATTCTACGCCGCATCGTTAGAAAAAAAAAACGTCAAATATTTTTTATCTGTTGAATTTAGCCGGCTAAATTCAGTGCGTGTAACTTTTAAATGTTTACCCAGCTCCCCCCCCCGTCCTATGGCATTGCTATGGAAGCAATGTCTAGAATACCTCAATATGACCATTGGAATAAGTGCATGGCTTAAATCCAACTTGGCCTATGCTGTTCCTTATTGGATAAACTTATACCTGACATGTGTTCGGGTAAATCAATTGATGCGAAATAATCAATCAATTTTGATCCGCCACACACTGTCTCAGCCAAGTTTTTTTTTTCTATATAAGAATCGAAATCATAGCTCATTCCTTTTTCTTTTTTTCTTTTCTCTTTTACTATACCCTCTTTTTTTTGTATATACATATCTATTATGAGCATTTCACCTTATGAATTTGAAAACCATCATCTCATTAGAAAAGAACGCCTTCCATCTATCAAACGCATTTTTGATTCAATTCAAGACTCGGTGCCCAGCCAAGCACCATCTCCTCCCGATTTGCTACATGATTCTGATGAAGATGATGGCGATTCACTCTGTACTCCTTCTGTATCATCTTCTCCTCATGCATATCATGATCCATGTAATCGCAAAAAGACAATACCTTACAAATCACCTTCTGTAGCCTATGATACAACGCGTCAAGCTTTTGATAATAGTGTCGTCTTTCAATTAAACCTTGTTCCCTCCCATGCACATGCTAATGTTTCAAATATGACAAATCAAGGCAAACTTATTGAGGAGACATGTGACTTTAAATGTACTTCACACATTGTATGCGGTCAATCAATACTCTCGGCGCTACGCAGAAGAGTGGCACATGCTCGTAGCCATCTGCATCAAACACAACCTCGGCTTAGTCATAAACGTACTCGCTACGGTAGTATGGTTCAAATACCTAAACCAAAATATCGCCGTATCGATACTGATAGTGAAGAAAACGATGTGATGAGTAATGATTCCATAACTTCAGATCTGGAACACAAGTTTCGGACTGTTGAAAATCAGTATCATAATCCTCATTCCATGGATCAGATCAGCACTAAACATGAGCCTACTAAGCGCACAAAGAATCCAGCACCCACAGGTCGTCCTACAAGGGTCAAAGGTCCTTGTCAAGCATGCCAAGAAGCTTCTGATGGTTGTATGCGTAAAGCATTCAATTGGCCATTCTCTACAAACCAAACATTTAGTGATAAGGGAAAACCATTTGTTTATCTTTGCAACAAATGTGGTCTTCGGTAAGCACCTTTGTTTGTTATCTATTTTTACTGATGACCTTTATTAGTTATAACAAAAGTAATGGTTGTGTTTGCCGACATTGTCGTTGGGTATTTTGTAAAGAAGAAAAGAGAAAAGCATTACAACATATTGAAGCCATGCGTCGTTCCCGCCCTGATGGTCGAGTCGATCCTAATGAAAATATCGAGAACTTTGTCTGTAGTCCCAAATATTGGACTTGTGGAAAGCCATGGAAAGTTGGATGGGTCTTGAATAGTTTAAATGAAGATGACGATGAAGACGCTCTCTTTTCTTTTACATCTTAACCACACTTGTAAATTGTGTTTCATCTTGTATATAATAAATTCTTTTTTATCACATCATGTCGTCTTTGTGATATCAGTTTTTTTATTTCTTTGTAATCACTACCTGAATATGATGGCCCTGTACATTTTTTAAAATAAGGCGATAGTTTTCATGCTCATCTTGCTCTTGATTAATATCAGCTTGCCCATGCATCATTAGCGTCTGAATGCCTTCAGGATACATACGACAAGAGCATAAAATTTCGATTTGATTATCATCACCTGTGGTTTCCAAATCAAGGCTATACTTTTTGGCATCATGGTCAAACTCTTCTCCGAGAAATACGATTTTCCCCATCAGTTTGGTGGTGGTAGGTGGAAACCCATGCTGAGTGAGGTAATTTCGGACTTTACCAGCACACAGTGCACTCTGGATAAGCATCTTTTTGATAAACGACCAGGGCAAGGAACCGGCTAAATCCACTTGATTTACATAGGTGATACTAATGTTCCCGTCATCTTCTTGACATATTTTCCAGCCAGAAATATAAAGTTCGCCTCGAACTGAGCCAGAAGTATCCGGAATGGCTTCATCTTTGACAGAGGTAATGGAACAATACACCTGGGAGGGTGTCACATCTGTATCAAACAAAACATAAGCCATTTATTTATTTATCTATTTTTTTTTTACCTCGTATTGAAGTTGCTGCAAAATCGCGAGGACTAGAAATGAAATCAGAACATACTTTATATTCATTTCCTTTTTTTTTTTTTTTTTTTTACCTGATAGGCCATGGAGCTTTAAGTTTTACCCAAAACAAGGATTCATAGCGTGTATAATACTCTTTTATTTCTGACCGATCATATTTATCGTCCCCTAATGTTTTGTCAATGATTTCATTTTCTTTTAGTTGTACTTACATATCTTTCGGCACCCGGGCAACGTAGCCACAGTAGCAACTGTCAAAGGAGTACAACCAGGCGGCAAATCTGATAAGACAGTATCGCCACGCACCAAAAGAGGCGTATTCGTATTCTTTTGTTGCGTGTACAGCTTGACGTTTTCTTGTTCTTGATTTAAATCCCAGTCATCCAGAGAAGACGTCAGTTTCTTCAAATAGGCTAATTTCTCTCTTGTCTGTTTAGCGTGTTTGTTCTCAGAAGGAATGATAGATGTAATCGACATATGTTTATTTATTTTTTATAGAAAAGAAAGAAAAAGACAATAATAAATATATAAAAACATACGATAAAAAGTAATGCACACATACACATGACTTTAGTGTGTGCGTATAGATATATAGCCATAAAATAGTTAATAATGATAATAATAATAGTAACAATAATAGTAATAATAATAATAAAAAAATAGACTCATTGTATAGGGTATGAATACATTGAAAAAGTATATATTTAGCTTCTTGGTTCTTCAATAATTTCTGGGACTGACCCATTGCCCAAAACATTCAAGAATCTAGAATACATACTGGCTCTTTTTTGTTGATAACTTGAAGTTGAAGTCGTTGATCGAAGGCTTTCGATGGATTCTCTAGACTCTAAAAAGGTAGGCGATTGAGGGCCTATGCTGACATTGCTACTAGTATTTGTCATGACGGTAAATGAAGAGCTTCGTTTGGAATAGAGAGCAGAGTTGGGCCGTTTGTTCTGCTGCAACGAGCCACGCGGGGTCGCTAAACTGTTTGTATTTGCTAATGATGTTTCGCATTCAACAAGTTTGACTTTAGTTTCTGCCAACAACTTTTCAAGTTCTCGGCAACGTAAATCGCTTTCCATGTATTTCTTTTGATAGTGATCATCGTCTGAGAGTAGCTGGACAGTGTGTCTTCGACTCATAGGTGGTGCTTCAAGTCGAGAACCGAACAAGGTTTGATGAGCAGCAAACACTTCTTCTGTAAAAGAACCTCGAGGCATCAAGTATTCACGGCGTTGATCTTCTAACTCTTGTACTCGATTCTGGAGCTGTTGGCGTTCGTCATCTAAAGCTGTCTTTTCAAGTTGTAGATCAGAGCATGTCTTTTTGGTAGCCAATGATGCTTGGGTCAATGCTTCGTTCTCTTTTATCAAACTATCTCTTTCTTGCATTAATTTTTCTTTATCAATTTGAAGTGATTCAATGGTTGTTTGGAGTTTCATGATCTTTTCGAGAAGTGCTGCTTGTCCCTCGGTTGTTGTCTTGAGCGTCTTGTTGAGCCGTTCATGCTTTTCACATAAATCTTGATATTTCTGGCCCATTTCAAAATTAGCCAGCTTGATAGCCACCAGTTCAGATGTCACCTCGTCCATACCACCATGATGAGCGGCGGCCGTCTTGAGGACCTCGTTTCGCTCTCTTTGTTGCTGTGTAGAATCATGAAAGACTTGTCTTGCATCTTCAGAAACTGGTTTTGATGTTGTCAATGCACCAGCAATCAATGATCCAAAATCACCACTCAACTTTAATGATTCAACAAAGTCAACAAATTCAGCCTCTTTTTGCAACATCTGAATCTTCTTTTCTTCACCAGGCTTAATGATACTATCTAAAGATTCAACAGGGCTTGGCTGTCCTTCGCCTGAGGCCATAGGGTTATATTTTTTCCAGAGTTGTTTTTCTAAAAGACGGTTCTTTTGGGTCAGTTGATCACGTTCTTTGATCAAGTCCATCTCTCTCATTTGTGTTGTCATCAAATCTTCTGATATTTGACAGTTTTCCTTTTGTAACTGAGATAATGCTTTGACAAGATCTTCAATCTGTTCATGTAAAAGTGGGATGGTGCGGTCTTGAGGAATCTCAGTTTGGCTTGAAGTTAAAGAGGAAGGTGGTGTAAGCTCTTGAGGGACTTCTTCCTGACTTGTGGTCAAAGAAGAAGGTGGGGTGATTGAATCTTTAGTGACAAGCTCCGTGTTTGCTCCCCATGAAAACCAAGAATCACGCTTATTGTTGGAGGGTCGTTTAGGCGTTGTAGGGGAAGAAGGCGATTTGTTCAAAAGCCCCCAACCACCAAAACGAATAGCTAGTGCTTGTTGCGTGCGTGTCTTCTCTTGTTCCATTTCACGATAATAAGACTCAGATATACTGTCCATTTTTTGCTTTGTGATAACAGAACTCAAGGCCATGGCATCATGAATGACAGCCTCAGGATCAGAGTTGTATGCAACTTGATAGAGTTTACGAGAGCTGAGATACATCATCAATTGTTCAAATTCAGTGATCTCAATCAAGGCATCTTCGTTCTTTTGCATAATAGCAATCGCTACTCTTGTGATAGTCTCAACAGCACCTTCTGCAAACACTAAATCGTAAATACGTAGTACAAGCGAAATAGGAAAGGAGTAGGCGAACAATGTCAAATACCACTGAGATGCATACATGGCTGTGTGAATTTGATGTTGTTGCAAATGAGCGTCCAAACGAGGACAAAGCTGAGCAAGCAAAATGCCAAATTGGTGCAGGCGAAGATGTAAACCTTCCATATTTAGTGTAAACATGGTTCTCATGTCGTATGTCTCCATGAGTCTATAGAGACAATAAGTACATTGACAACATGAGCATGTAACACACAAACACTCACCTGACAAATACACAAAAAGCTTGTTGTTCAGGCATCTAACTCTGTTTAGTACACATAATAAACCTAATGCATTATTTTTTTTTTTTTTGTTTACCGTCATCAATAAAGGTCCCACTAAAAATGCAAGGCCTTGACAATAGCCAACATGAGCATCATAAAGACTATAAGCTTTTAAAAGACGGCCCATGGCTAACTGGCCTTCGCCACCATCGTCTTTAAACATATCTAATTGAGGGAAAGTGCGAGACAAATCACGCTGAATCACTCTTTCATAAGAAGATGTTTCGCTTTCTTCAGATAAGCGATGATAAAGGCTTTCTAAATTAAGAGAGCTCGATTGAGCCATAGCCTGCCAGATCACACCTCGAATACGATGAGGAATACCTCCATTCTGAAGTTTAGCAGCCAACAAATGAGGAAATTTAGCTACTGCAGTAGGAAAATCCTTGACGACTTGCTGCCAAAAATCCCATTCATCGTCGTTTTGAATGGTGTTTTCTTTCAGGGGTACTTTAGCTAACATAGCCTGAATGGTTTCTTCATAATCTTCTCTTACAGGAGAAAATGTGGCATCACTGACTAAGTTACGAATGGTGGTAAAATCAGCTTGAAGTCGGTTTGATTCAATCGAAACTGATTTTGGATCGGCGTTTAGAAGGGCGTTCTGTCTTTCCAAATGGGCCAACATGTATTCTTCGGAGTCCTAGCTTACAATTAATATCTAATTAAAACAATAAAAGGATATTTTTACTTGTGCAGGCAATTTTGCATTTTCTTGTTCTAATCGTTTTAATACGTGAGTATCTCGTTCAATTGGATTGCTTAACGTGAGTTTTTCGGGATGCTTTCTGCGTTCTGCCAGAGTGGTGCTTTTTTCTTTTTGAGATGAGGTAGTCAAGTGGTTCAGGTTGGCAGCAAACAATATTTCGTCTACAGAAATAGGCCTGTCTTGTTCTTGAAGTGTCTTTAGTCTATCAAGTACTTCAGGTGCTAAAGGAGCAACTGTTGTCATTTTAAAGTAAACAAAGAAAGGATAAAAAAAAGGAAAAAAGAAAGGTACAGCAATTTATTATCCTTGTGTACGACTTTCTCGCTGTCTGCATGTGTAACAAGCCTATGCCAATACTTTCTTGTTTTCTTGCTGCACAAGTAGCCTAAATAGGTAAAAGCCATAAGATGCAAGAAGGCTTTTTTTTTGAAAAAAGAACAACTTCTTTATACATTTACAAAAAAGGTAATAGCTAAGAAGATGTATTTTTTTTTCTCGGGTTATATACAAAACGAAAATAAAAAAGGAAGAATGTATCAAGGTGGCGATAGAAAAGTAGAGATATGGATACGTCTATAGGTGGGTTTACTGGAAGATCCTTGTTCTTGTTGTTGTTGTTGTTGTTCTTGTTGTTGTTGTTGTTGCTCTTCTTCCTCATTGTTATTCGTAGAAGGAGGTGCATGATTGCTGTCAATAGTACGATTGCTATTGTTAGGCGTAGTTTTAGACGAAGATGGTGTATTATCATAATCAGTATCCTTCAAGGTGCGATGGTGATCAACTAAGGTATTGTTGTTGTAAGAAGTTCGATCAACTACTCGACGTATCCTCCTACCTTTTCTTATCGAGATTTTTATGCTTTGTTGTGAAAAGCATTGTGAAAGTGGAGTAGAGTCTGGAAATAAAAAGGTAAGTATTGAAAAACAAGTTAGTTCTTACCTGTCATTCCTGGAAAATTTTTGGCTGAATAAACAGTAAATGGATCAGAGAAGACTGAATCAGATATTTGTGTGCTCATGGTGAGTGGGTCACTATAAGAAGAGATATAAGTGAACAGAGAAGAGTCAATAAATGCTATTTACCCAGCCGAAAGGTTAATAAACATAAACTTCAAACTGAATCGACCTTCGACTCGTACAGAAAGATCTTGAAATATAAAAAAGATACCTGGCTGATTATGATGGTCTGTTAGCTGGTAAGCATTGGAGACAACAGCACCCATAAGCGAACGAGTAGGCGCTGGATCTTGAAAAGATAGTAATGTCCCTGTTGTCGGTATTGGCTTTTCTGGAAAATGGAATGACGATGCAACTATGATTTAATAAAAATATTTCGGTTTCAAGATGATTTCATACCAAATGTACCATTCGGTGAGGTTGTTGAAGAAGGATTATAGACATGCCCGCGTTGTTCTTTTCCATCTTCAGAGTAAAGATCGCATTGAACGACGAATAAAGAGATATTACAATCATCATCGCTATACAAAATAAGATTTTTTTTAAAAAAAATAACGCTTGGTTGATATTTACTTTGCATTTTGTAATGTACCATCTGGTTTTTCAATAAACAATTGTAAAACAGGTGGAGGATCTATAGGTCTTCTATCTTTCTCTCCAAATCCACAACATCTGGCCCTAATTGGATGTTGAATTACAACTATCAAAAGAAAAAAAAATAACAAAGAAAAAAAAAAGAGGGCTTTATTTAATTCTTGTTCTATTTTTATATATGTATATTTTTCTTACTTAATTTATATTTTTTGCTTTTTTGACTTGGACGACCTAATCCAAGTGGTGGTGGAATTAAAACAGACATCAGCTTCTATATTTGATTATCTTTTTTCTTTTTATTACTAAAAGGGGGAAAATAAAGAAGAAAGTAATAAAAAAAAAAAAAAAAAGAAAGAAAAAAGAGAGAGAAAAAAGAAGAAAAAAAATATTCTTTTTTACTCTAGAATAAATAGTGGATTGGAAAAGAAAAGCGAAGAATGGATCATAATAACTTTTTTGTATGTATGTATTTTCCACTGAAATTGGTAAAATGTATTTCAAACTCAATAAGTGAATCATTCGCTTATTTTCTATAGTAGAATTGTATAGAAACTTTGATTAAAATAGCTTAATATTATAGAGTCTAAACTAGTTGATCATGGATCGAACAAGGTTTCTGTTTTAGGAAAAAAAAGTCTTGCTTGTAGTTTGCTCAAATGAAAACTGTCACTGTAAGCCACTTCTTTTTATTATCGATCGTTTTTTTTTCTCTTCACGCTACACACAAATAAGCATCAAACATAGATTTCTCTATTCTTTGGTAGTATACTATCCGATTTAAGCGATGTATTTGCTCACGATACTAATTAATGATAAAATAAAGGATTGGCTCTAATCAATCAGTCGTTAAACTTTTTATAATTTCTTTTTTCTGGTGACACAAAACCTTAAGAGGAGGCACCCATCATTTCAAAGTCAAATAACTTTATCCTTGTTTAAATAGTCTTTAGTAAGAAAAGATAAGCATGATTCACACCCCACTTGTAAGCGGCCTAGTTCATCTAAAGGCCTCTTTTTTTTTTGTTATTGATGTGTTTATCAATAACTTGATTTGTTTTTAAAAAGCACAAGCATATTCACTATTGTTCCGTCAATAGCTCATCTTTAGGGAGAAAGGGGGTGTTTCCGATCAATTTAGTCGCAGCGTCGATAAAAGAAGTATTCAAAACACAACAATCTCTTCGTCTTCATAACGCATTTCTCATAGCATATTGCTCCATTAATCTTGACACTACATTTCTCAAAACCAGCGGAATGTTGACTATTTAAAAAAAAAATCGATCCCCCTTTTTTTTTTTTTTTTTTTTTTTTTATCACAGCCCATGCTTGCATAACGCAAGTACTCTATTCGCCGAGTCTGTGGAAAAAAAGTAGAACTACAATGAATAAGCTGAAAAAACGTTTCCCTATTTAATCAACGTTTTCACGTTTGGTAGCCGGTCATCCTTGTTAGCGTATAATTGCATTACTATCATTATCACTACTTGCTTGACTGTCCAAAAAAAAAAGAAAAGAAAAGAGTAACAAGCATAAGTTTATAATATGTTTCGATAACCTCCATCGTCATCACAAGCAATTATATTCGATAGGTTTACAAACACAGAATATCTATAAAATCCAAGAGAGCCAACATCATTCGTTTTCGTCTGTTGAAATCACAGATGAACCTTGTTATTGTTAACAAAATAATGAAACCAATAGACGGAGTCAAAAAAAAAAAAAAAAAAAAAAAAACTAAGCACATATGTCTTGAATCAAACTCTAATTGCCCTATAATGATTCGTTTTCCATCCATATCATGGGGTGATTTGACACAAAGTATGAGTATCTGAAACAATTTGTGTTAATTACTTGTCACACTCGTCTTTTGTAAGGAAAATAAGCTAGGGTCAAGCGAACATAGTCCTGTCAACAAATACCATGCACAATCAAAAAAGCTATTAAAGAAAAAGGAAGCTCAAATCTCAATATTCACTTTCCATAAAGAGAAGAAGAAATCATTGCTCTTGTATCAAACAACGTATTGTTTACATAGTTAAAAAGAAAACGAATTTTTTTTTGGAAGTGTATAGCATCAATGATATAACCCGTGTAACCTTGTCCAGAAAGTTGGATAAAATATTGTTCCAGTGTGTAATAAACACAACTTCAAAATCAGCTTCAAAATCAGCTCCAAACTAAAAGAACTACAGGGCCATAAGGGTTGATTAAATAATGTATTTTTTGATGTACTCACTTACCTTCAAGAAGGCTTCCCTTTTTTGTATTACTGAGCAATCTGGAAAAAGCTTGGATCAAAATATTTACTCAATGCTAACTTGATAAAAGTAGAAAGCCTGGTTTGCTACAAGGATCTTATTTTTAGGCATTAAACTTTATTTTTACAATGTTATTAATTTAAAGCTTATTCTCCAAACTTCTGGTTTCCTTCAAGCTTTGAATGCTTGCAACAACTTGTTCCAAGGGGACAGTTTGGCCCTTGACCTTAGTACCAACATCATCTCTGTTACGGACATTGACGGAACGAGTGTTTTGTTCAACTTCACCAACGACAAAGATAAAGTTGTATTGAGCAAGTTCGGCATTTCTGATCTTCTTATTGAGTGTGTTGTCACCTAAATCAGCATCAGCATGAACGCCAAGCTTGACCAATTGATCGACGATTTCTTGAGCATATTCATTGAAGGCAGCAGCAACAGGAACCACTTGAACTTGACGAGGAGACAACCAGAAAGGAAACTTACCAGCAAAGTGTTCAATCACAATACCCATCATACGTTCAACAGAACCAAGAATGGCACGGTGAATAATGACAGGACGAGCCATAGCATTTTCAGTACCGCTACCATCAGTACGGTATTCCAACTTGAAACGTTCGGGCAATTGGAAATCAAGTTGGATAGTAGCACATTGATGCTTACGACGAAGAGCATCAGAAATAACAATATCAATCTTGGGACCATAGAAAGCACCATCTCCAGGATCGACTTCCCAAGTGGTACCCTTTTGAGCAGTGAAACGATCCAAAGAATCAGCCAACATCTATAAAAATAGAGAATGAATACCTTGATACAAATAATGCTGTTCTTACCTTTTCAGCCTTGTTCCAAACTTCAAGTTCACCAATGTAGTTTTCAGGTCGGGTAGAAAGCTTCAAGTGGAAATCAAAACCAAAGATACCATAGACCTTATCCAAGAAATCGAAACAACCAGCCATTTCTTGTTCAATCTACACTTTGCTTAATCAACGTATTCCTTCATGTATCTATTAATCCTTACTTGATCAATACGACAGAAAATATGAGCATCATCTTGTTGGAAACGACGGACACGAGTCAAACCAGAAAGAGCACCAGAGAATTCGTTACGGTGAAGCACACCGAAATCGGCAAAACGAACAGGAAGATCACGGTAACTTCTTTCCTTGTGACCAAACATCAAACAGTGACCAGGACAGTTCATGGGCTTCAAAGCAAATTCTTCCTTATCAACTTCAAGACAGAACATGTTTTCCTTGTATTTTTGGGCGTGACCAGATTGGTTCCAGAGCTTCAAGTTGAACATGTTGGGAGTAATGACTTCAGTGAAACCTCTCACTTGGTATTCATCCTATTGGATAGTCAATCCATTGACTTCTAGTTTGTATACTATACCTTGATCAAAGCCATAAGGGCATTGTAAACACGAGCACCGTGAGGAAGCATGAAAGCAGAACCGGGAGATAATTCGTGGAAGAAGAAGAGTTCTTGTTCCTGCATGACATGTTATTGCATGTTCGTATAACATATATACTTGCTTACCTTGCCGATCTTACGATGGTCACGCTTAGCAGCTTCTTCAATGAATTTCTTGTATTCAGTCATCAACTTCTTGTCGGGGAAAGAGATACCGTAGATACGTTGAAGAGAGTCATTCTTTGCATCACCCAAGAAATAAGAAGCAGAGTTCTATCATTCTCTGTCAGCTTCGTTTGTAATTTCTATCAACATATACCTTGGTAACAGTGAAAGCCTTAACACGACCAGTGTGAGGAACATGAGGACCTCTACACAAATCGATCAAAGGGCCACAACGATAGACAGTGGTAGAAGTACCATCGGGAATCTTGTCATTAATGATGTGAACCTTGTAAGGATTGTGCTTGAACATTTCCAGAATGTCTTCCTTTGAAATGACAAGACGCTCAAATTGTTGCTTTTCCTTTGCAACTTTGCTGACCAATTCTTCAAGGCTGGGGTAATCTTGTTGGCTCACAACACTGTCATTCGTCAGTACATGTATTATAGATGAATCAATATTACCGTTCTTGCAAACCCATTTCATAATAGAAACCACCTTCCTTCAATGGAGGACCAATACACAAGTTACAACCGTAATGGCGTTCACAAGCTTCACCCAACATGTGGGCAGAAGAGTGCCAAAAGACCATCTTACCTTCCTCATTTTCAAAATCAAGTAATTCCAATTTACAAGACTTTTCAAGAGGACGACCCAAATCCCAAAGCTCACCATCGACCTTAGAGATAATGGTACGTTCAGCAAGAGATTTGGCAATGCCAGCAGCAATTGACATGGGAGTAGTTTCCCATGAAGTGCCTTCCTTGGTAGTACCATCAGGCAAAGTAATAGTGATAGGTTCACGAGGCTTGCCTAATAAAATCTAAATATTCATGCAAGAAAAAAAATCGTGTATTTACTAGCAATTTCGGCATCGGCAGCAGCCTTTAATCTATCAAACATGTCGATACGGTGTTGAAGGTATTCAGGAGCAGGAGTCATCTAAATAAGGTATCAATAATCATACATTTTCCAAATATCGCTCAAGAAAAAAAAATACCTCAAGAGGATAAGTGCTGGCATTAACATCCTTATTCTTGTTCTTGGGAGCCTTGGGCTTCTTTTCAACCTTGGGTTGAGTCTCTGCAGGAGCTGACATTGTCGTGTTTAAAGAAGAAGAGAAAAAAAAGTGGAGTATCAAAAAAATTGTTTTTAATAGAAAAATGTTTTAATAAGCCACAACTATCCAATGGACATAATTAAGGTTTTAGTGATCGTAAGTGAATAAACATAATCAGTTCGCTTCCCCTTCTTTTTTTTGTTTTTTATTTAGTGAGTAATATGGAGTCATTATGAGAGCACTTATGTTGATTAAATGGGATCATGACTGTTATGAATTGACATGCTGCGGCCTTGTTTGACACATCCTTGCCTATAAATTACATGAGCATATGATGTATGAGTCATGTCTTGTACCTGTCATTCCAAGAAATCTTAACAAGGGGAGTCACCATATGCCTGCATGAATAAATAGACCTTGTTGAATAAATACATGCTCGAGTTATTGTCTTTTACTTAGAAATCAAAACTATTACGTTGTTTCACCTCATGTTGATCCTAGAATCCTTACATTAGGTATCTACTGAAAAGTTGAGAGCTAAAAGACTGATACCTGTTGATATGAGTTGCCCATTTAGAATTAGAGTTCTTTTGCATAATGAAGGAAATGTAATATCCTATTTGTATTCAAAGATAAGCATAAAATGGTCTCTCTTTCTCTTTCTTTGTTCAACGTCATACAATTGACAAGTTCTTTTAATGAATTGATCAACTTTTTTTGTGTTACAATTTCTTCAACTCTCTTCTTGAAAATTCCATATTGAATTTTTTTTTTCTTCTTTCCGCTAACCGTCTTATCATCTTGTTTAAAAGACGCTTTTATTTACCAAAGTAATAGAAAAAAAAACTCGTTGGTGCTTTAAGAACACGCAAATCGAACAGCCATTAGACGCAAAACTGTCTAGAGGTATATGCATGTTTATGTGTCTTTATTTATTAGAATTCCGAACATTTTCTTAAAATTCATTTTGAGGATCAAAATGAAATCTTTGAATTTTTCGAACACAAAACCGTCTAAGAGTGTGCAAAAACAAAAAGCTATTAAAAAGTTGTGATAACAAGAGTTGTAGATATTGACAAGGCTCATCGAATGGTGTAGAGAAAACGGTATTGTTACGGTCCGGATATTGTAAAATTTTTGAAAACCAACTATTTCAGTTTTTGAATCCTAGCGTCCATTTTTTATAAGGCTTTTGCAAATCCAACACTTTCAGCATATTTTACAACCTCAGACAAGCCTTTCGTACTAGAATATACTGTACTTCCAATGGCTCTATCGCTCACAAATTGCAATTTTGTGAAAACCGAAAAAATTGTCGAGGTATAGTAAGCACTTTTTTACAAAAACATGACATTTTCAAAATTCGTCATGTTTTTGCATAAAAATACTCTAGAATGCGTAATTTAATAGGGGGAACTCAAAAGAAGTAAATCTGAGGCAATTTTGGGGCTAAAGAATTCGCTTTACTTGAGGCTTTTTTCGCTGTATAATTCAAAATAAACACAGCGTGATTGTACTGGGTGCTGAGAATCTAAATTGTGCAATTTTTTATCTGGATCTAATAATACAGTTTAGATCCGACCGACTCTCAGGTACGGGTCTGAAGCATTTTACGCAGACAAATAAAGCAATTGATGGCTTATCCTTCAATCTACACAAACAAACAAGAGTTCAAGCATAAAGCGTATTGCTCTATTAATTTGCTCAGATAACATTCAAGTACTTTATCCCATGGGAACTGGATAACGAGTAAGTTGATCAGACAAATGCATCTTCTTTCTATCTGTGGTTCGTTTGAAAATATCACACTTTATAAAGTATTCAAAACTCAACGCCATTTACACCTCTCTCTCTCTTTTTGTTTTTTAAGATTTGTTTATTTACATAGTAATGGGCATAATGCAATTCTTTTGTCTATTGCAAAGCTATGAGAAGCATTGAAAGTTCGGATGTCTATACGATCATGAAAATTATAAAGAACTGCGCTTTTCTTCAAATTCGGCCAAATATCTTTCAGCATCAAGAGCGGCCATACAACCAGAGCCAGCAGATGTGATGGCTTGACGATAAATCTTATCCTGCACATCACCACAGGCGAAAAGAGCTTCCACATTGGTCAATGAAGAGCCGGGAACTGTCTTAATATAACCTTCGCTATCGAGATCCACTCGATCCTTGACCAAACTGGTGGCAGGAACGTGACCAATAGCATAAAACAGACCGGAAGCTTCAATCTTACCTGTCTCACCAGTGACATTGTTTTTGGTGGCAACAGCAGTCAATAAGTTGCCATCACCGATGGCTTCAGTGGGAGAGGTGTTGAAGTGGACCTTGACCTTGGGGTGGTTCAAGAGACGTTTGGCCATGACCTTGGAAGCTCTCAATTCGTCACGACGCACAAGGACATGAACAATAGAACCATCTAAAAATTCAAGTTTAGTTCAACGCAACATCAATTTTGAGTACTTACACTTGGTGAGATAGATAGCTTCTTCAGCAGCAGAATCACCACCACCAATCACTACCAAAGGCTTGTTTCTAAAGATGGGAACAGCACCATCACACACAGCACAGGCAGAGATACCGTTTTGCCAGTACTTTTCTTCACCAGGCAAGTTCATACGCTTGGCAGAAGCACCGGTGGCAATGATGACAGCATCAGCAGTATCGGTAGGTTCTTCTTGATCTTCATAGCCTTCACGCCAGATCTTGAAAGGTCGAGAAGAAGTATCGAGCTTAGTAATGGTTTCAGTTTCGATAGTAGTACCACAGTTGATGGATTGAGCACGCATTAAGTCCATCAACTCACCACCCAAGACACCCTTAGGGAAACCAGGGAAATTTTCAACATCAGTTGTTGTGGTAAGTTGACCTCCGGGAGCGAAACCGTTGGCCATCATACCTTCAAACATGATAGGGTTCAAGTTGGCACGAGCAAGATAAATAGCAGCAGTGTGGCCTTGAAAGAGTTAGATACGTTTGCTATTCACTGAAAACTTACCGGCAGGACCAGAACCAATAATAGCAACTTGACGGTGTTGAGGGCCATGCTAAAGATAGAAGAAGAAAAGTGTCTACGAGTGAAAGAAAGACGTGAAAAGAAGAAACGAGAAGAAAACATTTAATAGCTAATTTAAAAAAAAAGAGATTATAAAGTAACAGGAGTACTAAATTCGTGACTGGGCTTACTAATGCTCATTGCAGACCAATCAAAGTATACGGATGACAAAGCAATCAAGTAGCCAATAAAATTTTATTACATGATAATACAGTCGTCTTGAGAGCCATTCTTCTTTTTTGATTTCTGTTCGACACCTTTCCCTTGTAGACGTTGGATAGCTCGCTTATCACCATGCTCAGCTGCTTTTTTGTACCATTCCATGGCTTCATTGGGGTTCTTGGGTACACCAATACCGACTTCGGTAAAATAACCCACAGCGTATTCAGCTTTAGGCAGTTCCTTCTCAGCAGCACGCTTAGCCCACAAATAAGCATCTTCATCCGACTGAGGTAGCACTTGAGGAGATCCCACAAGGTACCAAGCTGTCAATGCAAAACAGGCTTCTCGGTGACCTTGCTGAGCTGCTATTGTATAAAAGTGGATTGACATGGCTGGGTCAGGATTACATTCTAATTTGCCGTATTCATAACATTCACCTAAACGAAAAGCAGAAGGCGCATACCCAAGTTCAGCAGCTTGAGCATATAACGAGACGGCATAAGAAAGATCGACAAACACAACATTAGGAATACCTCTCTCATGCAGTAAGGCGAGTTCGTGAATAGCATGTGGGTATTCGGGAGTAGCTGCTTCTGCCGATCGTTTCAGCCATTTGACACCGTCTCTGGGGTTTTTTGAGATGCCTAATTCGCCATTAACTTCAGCCACTCCGAGTCTATACATGGAACCGGGATGATTTAAAGTAGCAGCTTTTCTATATATAGCATGAATCATCTATTGGACAAATAAATAAATTACCTATAGAACTGAACTGCTTTAGCATAATCTCTTCTACAACCTAGACCATCTTCATAACATTTAGCAGCACTAAAAATAAATAATGAGTCATATGCATGGCGAAAGCACAGTACGTACCGATAAGCAGCATCAGCATGATGATGTTTTGTTGCTTGTACAAATAACGGAAACGCTTTATCAAATTCGTTTTTGCCTTTTTTGCTTAATAGACCAGAAGCATACAAATTACCTAGATAGTACTGTGATTCAGCATGGCCACGAGCAGCCAATTGTTTCAGTAGTTTCTCTGCCTCTGCCAAGTATTCCCAACGAGTGGTATCATCGTCTTGAATTGGCTTAGCAGCTTCCACCATAAAAATAGCAAAATCACATTGAATATCAGGACTATTTGTCTTTTTTGCGTTCTCTCTGTACATGTTGATGGTCTGATTATACGATAATAATGAAGCTTTTGCGCCGGGTTTCAAATGAGAATGGTCTAATAATTGGTCACTGTTCAAAGATAAGTTGGTGACTGAACTGGTTCGAGTACCAGGTGGTGTCTTGGAAGTTTCGTGAGGCAAAGGACTCGACTGTCTACTGATAGGCAATGAAGGTGCAGAGCTGTTTGTTGCAGAATATTGAAAGTGAGGACGAGGAGTCAGATTGTTCATACTTAAATTGTTACTTAAATTGTAGTTGGTGGGATTCGTGTTGTAATGAGTAGGTACAGGTGAAGGAACGCCTTCCAAATGCTTTGGCGGTAGTGGTGGAGTTGCTCCAGTCTTGTTATATTGTACTTGTGCTTGAGACATATACAATTGATTTCTATGTATTAAAAAAAAAAAAAAAAGTGAATGGAAATACATTTAACCATCCTGTCTTACCTCACTGAATGAATGAAGAAAAAAAGAAAGAAGAAGAAAAAAGAGAGAGAGAGATAAAATGCTATTAAACCAAGTTTAGTAGGGGTGAAGAAGGGGTGAAAGGGGAAGAGGAGGAGAATAAAAGAGGAGAAATAATATGAACAAAATAAGGGTGCTACAACGAGATTGATTTCTAGTGCCTTGTTTGGTTTACCCAAAAATAGTTGCAGATTTATTTTTGTTAGCGAATAAACGCGTTTGAGATGATGATTATTTTTTTTTTCTGTCTATTGTGTTTGTATTTACATTTTATTTACATTCATGTTGAGCGAATAGACTATGGCATGTATTTACGACGAGGATGTTGATTTGAGGATTGAGTGCGGCGTGAGGCTACTTCAGTAACCCAATCATCAACAGCTGCCATGAAATCAGGACGGTTTTCTTTAGATCCTAATGGAGAAGCCGCCTTTTTTGATTTATTTGGCAATACTTTTATTTTGTGGTGTATTTTGATAGGATTTGGCTATACAAACCTAGCAATGAACACATTGGCCATGTATTTCTATTTGCTTACCTGAATATTTTCCTTGTTTTCATCACAGTATTTTATCATTTCATTAATAATAGAATGGCTCTTGCTAGGATAGGGTTTGTTGACACGTTGGCGAACATGACTTGTGTATGAAGGTGCTGCCTTGAGTGTAGGTTGACGATGGGATTTACTGTTGAATATCCATGATGTATATGTAGTAGACGATTTATCTGTTTCTGCTGGTTTTTCAAGTGTATAGATACTCGCACTTAAATAGTCTTCTGATACATCTGATGACTGAAGGTGTCTTGCAAAATACAGTTTTGTCAGTTCTTGTTCTTGATCAATCGTATGGACTGTGATGTTCTCTCTATTATCGACAGACAGAGTGATTACTGCTGTCTTGTGAGAAGGCATATTTGTTTGTTGGTGATTGGCTGCATCTTGCATGTTGGGAATGATCTTGTTGACTCGTAAAATGCTCAGTTGCTTCACAGAAGGTTTTGGACCCAATAGTTCAATCGCTTCTGATTCCAAGTGGTCAGGTAAAGGATTTATACGTACATAGTCCTTTTTATCAGCATCATAGACCCATTGATACAAGAAGCCCATTTCTGCATGGTAAAATTCTTTTTTATATTCATTGTATCGTTCACCTGAGCCAAAAGTGGTCCGTAACGCCGTGTCTACAGAGAAGTCATGCTTGAATTTCTTAAGAGCTGTTCTTAGACCCATACCCCCTAATGAAGGCAAGTAATCACAGCCAGAAAGCATACACATCTGTCTAAACAGATCAGGTGTGAATTGATCTAGTCTTTCTTCTTGAAGGGTAAAAATGTCTTGGTATTTGATCTCTTCACCATTCCCTTCTCGGGTCAGTTTGTAAATCACTTTAGAGCAACCAAACACAAGTAGATCAGAGTCTTCAGAGACAACAGCAGACACTTTGTTTGTCTTGAGAAGATAGGTCAATTGAGCATCAGATTCATAAGGAGCCACAATGACTTGTACTTTTTGCTTTTGAAGTTCCTGTCCAAACTAAAGTTATGACAAGCACATTGGTTAAAAAAAAAAATGCCTACCAGAATGACTGCTCGGATCATGTCTTGATGGATAGAAATGGATTGTTGGAAACATTTTTCGGCTAAAGCATGATTGCCTTGAATTTGATGTCGCATGCCCTCAGCTAATTTAGCATCTCGCTTACTGTTCTCTATGAGCTACATGAAATATACAGACTATTGACTTACGAATGACGGTCATCATTAGTGACCTTTTTCAAAGGTAAAGGTAAACCATCAAACACAACAAGGGGAGTCACACCAAAGTGACGAAATAGGCCGATATAGAACATGAAATATTGAACATATCTATCACTCTCTCTATCAACATGGCTATAAAACTTAATGGACTTACCTATCTGTAGTGAGGTTATTAGCCAGTTTAGAAGCAACACCAAAAGCACCACGATGAAGAAGGACATGGCCATCAATAGCTACTGTTTGACCAGCATATTCTTTAATATGAATTTTGCGTGTAATTGGCTTAAGTAAGTGTAAAAGACCAGAAATACCCATATGTCAATATAAAAATATCAGTTACTGTAGCAAGAGAAAGAGAGACAGAGAGATAAAGAGGCAGAGATAAAGAGCAGCCTGTTGAATTCTCAAAGGGAAAAAAAAAAGAGTTTTTTTTTGTTGAATTGAAATTCAGAATTGGGTTCTCTCCTTAGACAATCAGCATTATCACTTTTAAGCTTTATGTCTTTGCTATGCCATTCAATGTGTGCTGGTTCCAATAGTATTAAAAGAGCGATTTCATTGTTCTGCGACCATTGGTTTTCATGTGAATCAATGCGAGTTTGTATCATTTCATGACTCATTGAGGAGACATGATCTTTTGTGAAGAAGCAAGTCTTGATAGCACCTGATAAAGAATCCAGCGAAACTTATTTTGACATGTCAAAACTATCTTTTTGTATAGTTTTCCTTTTAAACTATATTAACGTATACTGGAGAAGCTGAAAAAAAAAAGAATCGGATACCATGCTTCAATTCCCTTTTTCTAAAAAAAAAACAAGGAATCTCTTTTCCACTTGCCAGTTGGATACCAAGAGCATAAAAAAAAGCGACTTTTGCTTCTCTTCGAATTTTCGTCTTTTAATGAAAAAAAAAAAAAGAGCTGTACTTATTGGTTCGTGTGTGACATAAATTGCTTATTTTTTCCATTCTTCTGCCCATTTTTTTATTTATTTATTTATTTATTTATTCATGTCAAGCAATCAATCTGCCTCACCACAAGCAGGCGTATTTGCAGGATTAAACCCTGCAGAATACAACCCATCAGATCCTATTGTCTTATTTATCATTCAAGTAGGATCGCTATCACTCTACGTTGTATTTATTTCAAATAGGCAACCATTATTCTAGTGTTTTGTAGACTTATTGCGATTCCTTTAGGTTTTATCAGACAACCTCGAGTGATATCAGAAGGTAACAGATTGAATTGAATAAGCTCTTCTAATCACAATATAGTGATTGCTGGTATCATTCTAGGCCCTACTGTGATGGGAAGAATACCAGGATTCAAAGAAACGATCTTTCCTGACCCTTCCCTTCCCTTTCTTAACTTGATAGCTACATTAGGACTTGTGTTTTTTCTATTTCAGGTTGGACTTGAGGTAGATATGCAAGTCATTAAACGAGACTGGCATAAAAGCCTCGGTATTGCTGTGGCTGGTATGGCATTACCATTTGGTCTAGGTGCAGCTGTGAGTGTAGGTCTCTATCAATTACAGAACGAACCTTCTATTTCTTTTGGCAGTTTTCTCTTGTTTTTAGGTGTCGCCATGTCCATCACAGTAAGAAAGACCTGGTTTGGTTTTGATATTCATAGATGTGTCTATAGGCATTTCCTGTCTTGGCTCGTATTTTAGCAGAACTCAAACTCTTACGGACCAAAGTAGGCGCCATCACCATGGCCGCTGGCCTGATCAATGATTGCACAGCATGGTAAACATTGTACTACTTGTCCCTTTATCTTACGTAAACATCAGGGTGTTGTTGGCTTTAGTGGTTGCCTTGTTGAACTCGTCAGGCGGAATTGAAGCACTCTATGTGTTCTTGACAGCCATTGGGTTCTCCATGTTTGTGATATTTATCATAGGTCCTCTGTATAGAAAATTGTGCCTGTACACCCATTCATTTGAAAACGGACCTTCGCCTCTGTTGATGACGGTCACTCTGTTGATTGTGTTGATCTCTGCTTTTGTCACCAACATCATTGGTATTCATGCTATTTTTGGTGGGTTTCTTGCAGGTGTCATCATTCCTCACGAACATGACTTGGCCATCAAAATCACAGAAAAAATTGAAGATATGGTCAATATTGTGTTTTTACCTTTGGTAAATGAGTCTGATAAAAAGGACGTATCTCTTATCCATATAGTACTTTACTTTGTCTGGACTCAAGACACAGATTGGCTTGTTAGACACAGGGCCTGTATGGGGCTATGTCATTCTGGTGATCTTTCTTGCTTGTTTTGGTAAGATCGTAGGCTGTACAGTAGCAGCAAGACTATCAGGCATGACCACCCGAGAATCATTCACCGTGGGTTTCTTGATGAACTGCAAGGGACTGGTGGAACTGATTGTGCTGAACATTGGTCATGATGCAGGTGTCTTGAACGATCAAAGTAAGTGGATAACTACCAAACCTCGTTTAATCATATATTAGTCTTTGTGATTATGGTGGTCATGGCATTGATTACAACCTTTATGACGACCCCTATGGTGATCTATCTCTACCCTGAATGGTATCAGAAACAAAGAGCAGAAAACGACACAAACCAAGTCGATCTGTACGACTCTGAAAAGACCAGTGTACATCACACCACCACCACCACCACCACCACCTTAGGCTTTGATCCTTATTGTTTCCTGGCTTTGTTAAATCGAATTGAGTCTGTGCCTTCCATGATGGCCTTCATGCAACTCCTAAAGCATGATAAACTACCTGCTTCTGTTGACATGCACGCTCTTCGCCTGTTGGAATTAACAGAACGTGCCTCGGCTGTCATGAAATTCAAAGATCTACGCGAAACACAACGCCAAGACCCTGTATTGAACGTATTGCGTACGTTTGCTACGCTAATTGGCATTCAGTCGCTGCAGACACATGTGGATTTCTGCCCGCCTTCAGAATACATCAAGACCCTATCCAATTATGGTATTCGTGTCAATGCAGACATGATTTTACTGCCCTGGACACACCATCAGCAGCAAGATGCCATAGATCACCATGACATGGAATTTGTGCAAGCAGCTTTCCGTATTCAGCACTGTGATATGGGTCTGTTTATTGATCGAGGATTTGGACATAGACAAGATGGAGACCTTGACATGCGACCCCAGATTGTGGTGGTCTATCGAGGGGACAGAGACGATGAAGCAGCCTTGTTATTTGGACTTCGATTGCAAGTGTATCGTCAACTGGACTTGACCGTCTTTTGTGAAGGCACTGGGAATGAAGTGACCTATGCTTCTCATGATACCATGCGTTCCTACATGCAGCAGCCATCCTTCAGTAGGCTATTCACAAGCAAGACAGTGTCCAATGTTGCTTGTCGCCAACTCGCTGAATTGACAGGACCTAATATCGTCAAGACAATACTCCTGAATAAGCATGATATGTTGATTCTAGGTCGATCTTTTCAATCAGAAGATCACCTCCCTTCTTCTCTTGATGAAGAGAAAGTGCTAGGTTCTTTTGTATATACTATGCTTAAGCATGTCAAGACGAGTATGCTTGTCATTCAATCTACCCAGTATCAGGAATAATGGATGTATCCCCTTTTTGTGTTATTTTCTCGTGCATAATCTATTTTCAATCTATCTATATTAAATTTCCCTTGTACTCAACCTGACAATTGTTCGGATTCCAATGCCAGCCTTTTAAATGTGTGTATGGCTCATCCTTATTTATCCTAAAATGTCTATGTAGGACACTTCTTTCTAAAGATGAGTCTAATCAAAATGTACACACAAATACACACCTAATAAAGAAAAAGGATAGGAGGTATGAATCACAAACATGTCAAAATAACAAAGGTTACACGCAATATTTCTGTATAAATAGTAAGTCGTTGCCTATCATCCGCTAAACAAAAAAAAATTTTTTTTCTCTCTCTCTTTCTTTTTCCCTTTGCCAGAGACAATCTTAAAAAAAAAGGAGGGGGGGGCGAGGAGGGGAAGAAAGAAATTTCCCTTATAAAGAATAGAAGCGGGTATTTAAACATGATAAAAATAAAGCAAGTCTGAAATAAATTGCATTTTTCTCTCTTTTCTATTTTTATTAGCATGAGATTTTCTCTTGTTGTTTGTTTGTTTGCTATTACTACCATCGTGTTTGCACAGATTAATACAGACGATACTTCTTTATTTCGAGAAGTAGAGAATGCGGTTGATGAGAGTACAGAAGAAGATGCATACCGAATATTGAAGGGTTTACAAGATATGAGTGATGAAAGCAGAGAGAATGAAGGTATAGAAGATATCATAGACAATGATGATGAAGAAGAAGAAGAAGAAGAGGAAGAAGAGGATGATGATTTTTCTTCTAATTTTCCAGAATTCCAGAATAAAGAAACATCAGAATTTTTTGAACATTTACCTCAACCACCCACAGATAATCAGAACAATGAAATGAAGCAACAAGAAGATGAAGAAGAACACATTGAAGAAGATGAAGAAGAAGACGAGGGAGAAGAAGGCGAAGAAGAAGAAGAAGAGCCTAAAGAACAACCCAATCCCTTTCAAAATGATCAATTTATACCCTGGAAAAGACCTGAAACGATGATTAAATCTGATAATACATTCTATCAAGACATTAATTTCAGAGAAACAACAATCACAAAACCATCCTTATTTAAAACTTGGCATATTCTTGTTGTATTCCTAGTAGCCATAGGCCTTTATTACAGACAATCTCGCAAGGTAAATATCTCATTAGACAGATAAAGTAGCTTATTGTGTCTTGTTAGTCTCATTCAGCTGAATCCACATCATGGAATAATAACGAAAAAGATTATTTGCCCGTAAGTGAATTCATTCTATAGAACAACTTACTCACTTTCGATTGCTAGTTACACAATAACAGTAGTAAGCTACTTTAATAAAAATTTCCCTTTTTATTATGTTACATGCTTCCATTATAATAACCAGTCATGGATTGTTGCTGTTCATTGTATAATTGTGGTTGTTGTTGTTGTACTTGTAATGGCTGATCTGTTGTCTCTTCTTTGTCTTTATTTGTAGCACTTGTTCTTTCAATCTTTGTTGTCTATGACATATTTAATCTATGTATCTAGATGCATTCAAACACTTACTTCACGGTATTTGCCAAGGTAGATTTTTAGTGCTTCCGTATAGTTTTCAAATCCTAGTGATTGCATAGCCCATAAAATATCTTCACCATTGATTGTTTTTCGCTTTTCTTGTTGACAACGATCACTGGCTATAGAATAGATAAGTATGAAGCAAACGGTATTTTATTTTACCTTCACTCGTAATGAATGAAATAAATTCAGAGACACACTCTTGAACACATTCCTTAGCTTCTTTAGCAATCTTTGCATTTTCAGGAAGTGCTTTCTTCATTATACGGGCGACACTATACCCTCATTAGTTTATCATTCTCTATGCTTATGGCTTACTTTGCTATAGGAAGAAAACGATCTTGTTCTTTGATATCAATATCAAGTTCATCTGCAGAGTGTGCTGACATGATGAAAATACGCGAAGAAAAAAAAATATTAATGAAAAAAAAATCGCCAATCAAATGAGACATCTATGCAAGATGATGATGTCATCTTGTAGGACCAAAGAGAGACAGAGGGAGAGGGGGTCTCAAAGTTCACTATTTCTCTCACTTTATCCATTACAGATGGCATCTCGTTTGCTTCAAAAGACTCTTTCAAAAACACCTGTTCGTCAAGCTATTCGTGGCTATGCTTCTGAATCCAAGCAAGCTACTCACCACTTTCCTCAAGAATGTAAAGTATCGAATACCATGACCGCATGCTCATCTTTCCATAGCCTTCAGTGGTAGTGCCTGGAGAAACGGTGTAATTGCTGTTGTTGCTGGCCTTGTTTGGTACAGAGTCGATCAACACATTACTCATTCTGGCGATGTAAGTTGAGTATACCCAATGAATCGTATTAACAACAACACTATAGGACAAGCACCCTTTCACTCGTTGGATTGAATATCGTATGATGACTACTGCTGAAGATAACGACAAGATCAACCAAACCAACTTGGCTGGTGCTGAAGCTGCTGCTGAATACAAGTAATGGACAAGAGAGGATAAATAGAACATACTGACATATGTTGGATAGATTGCTTTATCAAGATGCTCAACGTTCACCCATCTATCGTATGAGATACCCAGAGTAAGTGATTAGTAGACAAGCGTATGTACTAACTCAGTACTAGGTCATTTGAACGCGCTAGTCCTCGTTGCATCACTGCTGGTTCTCAAGTTGATTTGTCTGATCTTAAGATTAGATCTGATTAGAAACAATAAAGAAAAAAAAGAGAAGGGCTTTTATTTTCTTTGAGTATATTAAAGTATGTTCATATTGTTATCATGAATCCCCCATTCTTTAGAGTTGAAAGTCCAGAGCTCCTTGTTTCTTTAAAATCAGTTTGAAAAGTAACGTAGAAAGCATTGTTGCCATATAAAATCTACATTTCATAAGCGTAGTGTTAAAAAAAAAAAAAAGTTGACGTCGCTTAATAAGAATGAGACTTTCTTTTCCTAATTTGGATTCATTATAAATAGGATTTTTACTCTTTTTTTCTTTTCTTCTTTATATTAGGCGTTTTCCTTTTTTTTTTTTACATAAAGAGAAAGAAAAAGAAAACATATTATCAAAGGTAAACTATTCGTACATAGAATATAGCGCTAAACACGAAAAAACTAAAATACAGTATTGAAGCCTCTTTTTTTTTTCTTCTTTTCTTTCTTTCAGTATAGACGTACTTACACATATATACAGTAGCATAATAGAGTAATATACAATCTTGTTCACAGTAATGTCCAACGCTATTGTGGTAGATATGAAGAAAGCAAAAAAGAAGTGAACGCTAACAACCTTGTAGTCAAATGTATATCGATATGTGATTGACGATGTCATCAACCAAGTACGTGGCGACTTTGAAGATATGGGTATTGATGACTCCATTCTACAAGAATTACAAAGAGTAAGTGTATTCTTCATAAGAAGCTCTGACTAAACAATCTTGCCTAGTCCTGGGAATCGAAAGTAGCTCGATCTCGTGTTGCCAACTTTGGTTTTAAAGACAATGGTTATTATGAAGATGACAATGGAGCTGCTGGTGGAGGAGGTGTTGGTGGCAGTAGTGAAGGACCCAATAACACCCATGTGGGTCCTAGCAATGATTCGCCTGCTTTACAGTATCCAACAGAATATGGTCATGCTATGAATAACAATACACCTTCTGCAGCCAGTTTAGCTAATTTGGCAGCCACAGCGACTGCTGTTGCTCAAGGAAACAGACCCATGCCACAAGCGTATGGTTTGCCACCACCCAACACAAGCACGAATGTGAATCGCATGATTCCTGATCCTAGTACACTTGTGAATCAGTACCAAATGATGCCTCATAATCAAAACAAGCCCAACACGCTACCAGATTTACCATTACCAAGACCTCATCTTCCACAAAATGATGGTGGCAATGACTTACTGTCAACAGAGGTATAGACATTTCCTTTCTTATGGCCTAACTAACTTGCATGCAATAGGAAATTGATCAAAAGATTCATGACATGATTCAACAGAGTCAAGAAGAAGAAGAGGGCGATATCAGTATCTCATTCACGGCCTCTTCTTCAATAACAGGTGAACCACTTGCTTTAGATTCTTTACCTGACAGTGTTAAAGAACTCATAAGAGAAGCAAGACAGAAGCACAAGCGTACTGCGATTAGTCAGTTAGATGGTGAAGGGGATACACCACAAGCACCTAGTGAAGACGACATCAACTCTGATTTGGATGATTCAGATGATGACGATGAGGAAGGAGAAGGTGGTGAAGAAATTGAGCATATCATCTTGTGCTTGTACGATAAAGTGACAAGAACAAAAAACAAGTGGAAGTGTATATTAAAAGATGGTATTATGCTAGTCAATGGCAGAGATTACTTGTTCCATCGAGCCAATGGTGATTTTGAATGGTAAAGATGTATTCTTTAAAAGAAAGAAAAAAATAAACAATTATTTGTTAAATAATGGGTCTAAATCACTAAACACATTGTCTATGGCTGTGATAAGTATATTACGTAGGAAAGATAGTATTGACTACTTACTTGCTGGGTCTTTTTTAGAAGGTCCCATCGATAAATCACGCAATGCTTCGTAAGGATCAATGTCTATGGATGTATTCTTTGTTGGCTTGGGTTGTGTAGGCGAATTGGGCTGTAGAATACCACCTGCATAAGCCTGTGTAGGTGAATTAGGCTGTAGAATACCACCTGCATAAGCCTGTGTAGGTGAATTAGGCTGTAGAATACCACCTGCATAAGCCTGTGTAGGTGAATTAGGCTGTAGAATACTACCAGAATGAGTAGGTGTAGATTGATTTAAAGCTGTCAATTCAGAAAAGATGTCGTTCTTAACAGGCGCCTTATTCTGAGCAAATGTAGGTGATTTAGGCGACAACATCATATCTTGATTCAATAACAAATCATTCATGGCATTCACATTATTCTTTACAGTCGATATCAATCCAATAGGTATGTTATCATCTACCCAAGACTGCGTAGGCACAATCTTAGGTCTTGTTGTATCTAAACTCTGTCTTTTGGACTGCTTACGTGTCCCATCTTCTTTAAACATGTCTGTAATAATACATTTCACTTTCTCTGCATGGTCTATACCCTTTTGACGATCCAACCATTTTTGTTCATAGTACTTTTGTCTCATAAACAATCGAACATCACCATCAGTCTCTGGTTCAGGAAGATTGTTATTGTAGGTACTGAGCCAGATAGTACGAGCTACTTGATTGCCACCGTACTCAAGTGCGACTATTTCAGGACCTGAAAATTTACTTGCTGATATCGACTTGACTCGATGACCTACTTCACGGCTGAAGGGATTAGATAGCTTATCTAATGTACTTACACAAGGCCAGAGCAACGAGTACAGACAAAGGTTTGTATGCTCACATTGACAAAAAAGGGACTCTAATTCAACTTGAGTTGATTGAATCTACATCATGCTATACCTTGGTTGGACAATCAAAACACTTCTTGTTCTCTGGAAGACGTAAGAGTTCTTTAAGCTTTCTATACAGACAAAAAATAAACAAATGACTTATTTCTTTTTCTTTTCTCTTACTGTTGATTCCACTCTTCTTCCTTTTTAGCTAATAAAGCTGCCATATGAACTGAGAAGGAAAAATAAAAAATAAAAAAATAGAATAGTGTAACCTGTACAAGAGAGAAAACAATAGGATGACAGTGGCTTATGATATCTTCATTTGTAAGATGAGGAAGAGTGAAGAGGGGATAGACACTCTTCTTTTCATTGCTGCTTTCTGACATTCCTGACTTTAGCTTCTTGGTTACATAAAATAAATTTTGCTTGTCGCATTTCTAAATTTTATTTGTTTTTTTTTTCTGACTGTTGCAACACTACCAAACTCTACAGCAAACTTCCTACTTACCAATGTTTATACCAAACCAAGCGACGTCTTAACACAATCCACTTTGTATGCCAAGCTCCATTTGATATTTACTGCATTTTATCATATACTGCTCCATCAAATACTCAATCGTATGCACCACCTTCTCTTTTTCTTAAGGACCACTTGCCTACCGGACATGTTCAAACCGAGCTTTGCAGAGTACCGAATAAAGAGGGGGATGATTCATATAACTGTGGCTAGAGAAGGAATAGTCCCAAAAAGATATAAAGTACATAAATGTATGTTTATTAATGACGAACACTCTAAAAAGAAGCATTCTGACAATATAGCTGCTATCAGCTTTATAGTGATTTATTTCATTTTATCATGTCATATTTTTTTTAACTTTTGATTTGATAAATTATTGGTTTCTTTATGTTTGATAAACAATCAATATCTGATGTAGCCACTATTTGCATCAATCGCAACTTAGTGTTGGTCGGTAAAGCATGTAGTCGTATGAATGTAATTATACGATCGACAAAATTATTCATGTCTGTATAGGTATTTTACATACACTGGTTCATATCCCTTCTATTCTTTGTTCCTTATAATCTAATGTAAATGTTATTTGTGCTCTGTTTAATTTCTAGAATTTAATATTCTACTATTGCTGTATTATTGCAAGATATTAAAAAAGAGGACAAGCTAAATTTAGGTTCACGACAAGACAATCTCAATTTGCTACTCTCCGTTGTCATAATTAGACCGAAGAACGGATAACTTCTTTAAACATCGTTCTAATTAAGGACAGGATTGTCATTTTTAGTCATGGTCGTGACTGGCTATAAAAAAAACTTTTGCTCTCTCTCTCTCTCTCTCTCTCTTTTGTTTTGCTTGTTCTTTTCTTTCTATTATGTCTACTTACTCCAATGTGATGATCAAGCAACTTGCTCCTGGAAAGATACAGGATGCTTTAAAAGTGCGTATTGCTGTCTTTGTGGAAGAACAGAAATATGCTATGGAAGACGAAATCGATGAGTAAGATCAAGATAAAGAGATATCAGGACTCATGATTCTATATAGTCAAGATAATATCTCGCTTCATTGGGTTGCTTATGCCGATAAACAGAACCCAGATGGGACAATGGAGCATGATGTTCCTGTAGGTACCATTCGCTTGATTCCTAAGCCCGATCAACTTGCCAAATTGGGTCGATTAGCAGTGTTATCGGATGCTCGCGGTCTTTACATTGGCCAAAAGCTTGTTGCGCATTTCATTCAACACTGTCAAGAAAATCAATTTAAAGATATTGTGCTGCATGCACAATATCCTCGTCGTGGATTCTATCAAAAGCTTGGATTTGTGATTGATGAAGGATCAGAAACATTTTTGGAAGATGGTACACCGCATATCTGTATGCATATGCGTAACATTTAGAATAAAGATAGACCTAGTAGAATACTCGTAGTCGATCACGTGATATTTTACGTAATTTATATCATCTGAAAGTGAAATCCAATCAAAAATGTATGAAATGGTGAGATGCTATCATGGTGTACTAACAAAGTTTATAGATATTTGAAAGGCGCATCGAGTGGAGCAAAAAAAACACACAACAAGCTTACTATAAGTACAGTGTGTCCACTCTCAATTGAACTTTTTTTTTTTGAAATGAAAGTCCTTACGAGAGTTTTCTCGACCTAGAATGAGAATAAATCTCCGATGACGCTCGTTTAAAACGGATTTTTTTTTGTTGTTGGCACCTTATGAGATGAGACTTGGCCGATAAAAAGGCGACACATTTGCATCCACTATTGAAGGACTTAGAAAGGCAGAATATGCAAAGTCCAAGCGACTGAGATGAGACTTGGGAGCTATCCTTGCACCGACGAAAAGCTATCAGTTGTGTGGTAACATTCGCGTCGTTGCCTTCCCATGACTGTCCATCCAGTCGGTATTGCCATCTACTTTCAAACGGGACAAAGAATAACGAATTCAATCGTAAACTAATTAACTATTTATTAACTACTTTTTTAAGAATGCTGAACTTACACCCGGCAAAAGTCTTATATCATGCTGGCTTCTCAGTTGGGATATTTCTGTCGCTTACCGGTGTGTCAAACTCATACTTTTCTCCTTGTATCCGCACGAATTACACTGTAAACTCATGTGGTGGACGAGGGCTACTCTTATAGTCTTGAATAAATCAAGTTTTGTATTTTCAAGCATATAATGCTCTTTTGAGTTATAATAAAAACCAAGCTGTCTCTCTTAAGAATATTAGCCTACATTATACACTGATCCAAAATAAAAATTAGCCCAGTTTTTTGTCATTCGAACTTAGTAACAAAGGCATTATGATCCAAGAGTCCCTTTAATTTAAGTAACAATATAAATATTATTTATGTATCTTATGCTCTGCTTAATTTCTAAATTTAATCTTCTGATTTCCACCGCCACCAAATAGCTATCAAGTATGCATATGACTTTGATGTCACTCAGGATATTCAAAAACCACATAGACAGCAAGTAAGGCTACTATAAATACTTGCAAAGTATACAATGTTTTTTTATACAATGATGCTTTAATGTAGATCTGCTAAGAAAATGCCGAGCAAAGGCTTTAAGAAGGTTGTATGATAACATTCATTTTACTTGCTTCGTTCTTGTATGATGGACATGATCGAATCCAAAATAAAGGCTGGTCTACTTTTCATAAAAGACACCATGAAGTATTATTTTGAAAAGACAGGCAACATGACTATTCAAACTCCATACTGACACGTCCCTTTCAAGACGCGAAACAAAAACTTGAGATAAAGCTTTCTCCTCTTTAACTATATAGAATGAAACGAGCCTTTCTAGAAGAGAGTTCGGTTCAGACCCACTCTTTAATCAACACAGATTCATCCATGTAAGATGATTGGTTCATTACTATCTTTTTCTCTGACAGTGTAGTCTTTCACATGTTGCTTCTGATAAACCTATTCAAAACCATACAGCTACTGGAGCCAATTGGTCTAATGTAAACAGACTGTGTTTATGGCAGTAGACTTACATGCTTTTTAGTTGAAACTTGATCAGTTGAATTCAAATCGAGTTGATGAGCGTGTTCAGGTAATGACAACACCATGCTTCGAGATGTTGATCCCTTGATTAGTGTTTGCTTCTCATTGCTAGACATATACCCTTATTTACTATAGAACAACAAAAGGACATCATTCACATCCTCATTCCTCAACTTGAAAAAGAAAAAGATCATGATGCTCAAGTAAGCAAGGAAGGACCATTGGATAAACACTGATCATGATAGGCTATGCTTATCCTGCTGATCGAGAAATGTTCTCGAAGTCCAAATATCAATGCATGCGTGATATTAAAGTGTTTGTTAGATCAAGTAAGTCTCTAAATCGATGATTGCCTGTGCTCAATGTTTATAGATGGCGTCTGAATCCACCAAAGTCAAATGGCATACTTATAGTTGTATTTATCACATACTTAAGGTACATTCAATGCTGTCTACATACATACTGAATTTTATTAGCATCGACATATCTATCAAGAACCAGACAGTATTCAGCTTTTCAAGTCTTTATTAGATCGACTCATGCTAGACCTATCCAACACACACCATAAAGTCAGAGCCATGAGTATTTCTTTGCTTTGCCTTTTACCCTTTGTGTCTAAGCAGAAAATGAGCCTGACTCAGATGGAAATACAGAAAATCATCAGCAATTATGCAAGGGACAGTGATCCCCGAGTGCGGAAAAGTGCATTAGATGCTTTATTTCAAATGCATATCAGAGGGTGTCCATTAGACTTGACCATTTATAGTCTATCGGTCGCTTCACTCAGAGACGATTATGAAGAAGTGCGTATGGGTGGATTGAATCTGATGGGGTAAGGCGAACACACGGCTTTCGTATGTTAACGTATCCTAGTGTGCTTAGTTCTTTATACCCTGACCATCATATGAAATTAGCTCATGAAGAAGTAGAAGAGACAACACGTCTTATTGACGATGCATTCAACAAAGTATGCGACCTTGTGAATGATTCAGCCATTACCATTCGAACAAAAGCCTGTGTGATGATGGCATCGTATCAGCATGTTGGTTCAGACATGTTGAACCAAACATTCAGTAAACAGATCATGTCTCATTTGAAGCGTAAAGTACCTAAATACAAACTGCAACAAAAGAAATATGCCAATGGAGCTATTCCTGTGGCTGAAGGTGATATTGATGTTGAATCCAATGAATTTCACTTGTTGGATTCAGGTGCTTGTGGTTCATTTATTCACGGTTTGGAAGACGAATATCAAGAAGTGAGAAATGCTTCTATAGGTAAGCATAGACTCAAACACACAAAAGGAAACAGGGACTCATTCAATAGACTCTATTTGTGAATTATGCATGTATAATGAACAACTGACAAAAAGGGCCACCGAATTCCTTGTTGGTAACTATGCTCAGTGCATGGAGGCGAGTTGATTTAGTCTTTATAGATATGTTTAATGACGATATTGACAAGATTCGCTTAAATGCTATTCAGAGTTTAAGAAAGATTGGTACAAGGTCTCCTATCGAATTTGATGAAGAACAACTTGAGATTGCTGTAGGTGCATTAGAAGACAGTGATCCTATTGCTAGACAGGCTACACATGATTTATTTACGTAAGCATACAGACAAAAAAAAACGCGCACAATGTATATTGAGAGATGTGTAGGGTTGTACGTATGACAGTTCAGATATCCTTAACTACTTTATTGGATGCACTTGAAGCCAACATGAAAAGATATCCTATGGACATCTTATCTATTTATCGTTGTTTAGCGGATGTTGGCAAAAAACATGAAGATTATGTTGAAGTACTTGTGCCTAATCTATTGAAACTCGACAAACGATATCTTGCTAGAGAAGCCAATACAGAAGACAATATGTGTAAGTAAACGATTATGGCTGTATGCACTTATTCATGATATAGACACTGCTTATGTGATTTTGATTGTCAATGCTTGTGTTTCGAATGTCAAGATACTAAATCAATTGCCAAAGTATGTATTTAGACATTTTGCTTATTTCAAGAGCAAATATCCAGACTGTGTACCTGATTTAAGAGTAAGTCCAATTCAAGAAGCAATCCAAAGTATTGATTGATAGATTTAGAGACTATACAAAGCAGCTGGTATCAAACTGGAAGGCGATGTGGATTGTTTACCAATGACATTTAGCGGTAAAGAACAATCTGTCGATTAAAATGATGCTTATAGAATTCCATAGCTTCAGCCAACAAGCTTGTTGCATCGGACGCAGAAAGCTACATGGTAGCCACTATTGATATGCTCCAGGTCATTAAATCACAAGTCGAACACAACGAGTTAACCACAGCACTGTTGACCATTGAAGTAGCCACCCGAAATTTCAAATATATTTCTAGTTTAAAGCCTTCCTTGGTAGGTAAATCTGAACTAGCACAACTTTATCTAGGCTGTTATGAAACAGTGATTAAGATAAGACAAAGTCATTCTTCACCTACGTATGCATCGACAGCGCAAATGGTAGCCGCTTTTCTTTTGCGTCACTCTTATACGATACAACATACCTTCTTGGGACTGTCTAAAAAGACATTGCAGGCTGCCATGTATTTTCGTATTTTGGCCAACATGGTTTGGATGTTTGGTACCTTAAAACAAATGCCCATGTAAGCCATATTAAACACAATATTGTTTTTGCTGACATTGATTAGTTCAAAAAATACTTCTTTCAGTATCAAACATATGCTTTTGTCATCCCATGAAAGGGTCAAACTGATTCAGGATGATATGGATGAACAAGACGATACACTGATAGAGTTAAAAGCTAATTTACTGTCAGCCAGTGAAAATCCAACCGCGCTAAGAATGATTAAACTTCATTCGTTTATTCCAGTAAGTGAGTTGTGTATCGTCTATAACGTACTTACATGTATAGTCATTTTTACCATTAGATATATGTCTTGACAATCCAGTGAAGCGAATGACTGCTGAAATTACCCAGCCTTTACCAAATCCCGATAAGCCTTACAAATTCACATCCCAGTTTCCTGTCAAGATACATATTGAAGCCGACATTTTCAATGCATTTGATACAAACTCGCTTGCTGTTGAGGTAATGTCTTGTATTTCAAAGCATGTCATATTTAGCCTATGTAGTTTATCTTGCCAGATCAAACTTCTTTTATTTTTTGGCCGGCTCCAGGGCATTTTAAACAAACAACCCCTTATTGTTTTAAACTTGGTACAGATGTTGAACTAAAATTGTCTCCCTGGACAGGTAAAGAGAGAAGAGCATGTTTTCTTATGTTCACTTTATTCCATAGAACCCGGTGTAGTCATTGTTCGCATCGTTCAATCTTTTGAACCTGATTTACCTGGCCTTGACGAGTACATTATGCAATATCCCAACTATGCTTGCTCCACTCATACTTCAAGATCATCTTCTGTCATTAGTGAACATTTAAAATATCGATTGTGTCCAATGCATGTCAATTAAATTCAATATCCGAATTGCTTTTTCTTTTTTCCTTTTTTTTAACTTTTCGTTATGACTACACGGCCTCGAGAAGACAACTATTCAAGGGATACGAAAAGACAAAGAACAAACCAAAACATATTTCGAATAAAATCAAACGAATTTTATGAAGGAACATTTCCAGTCTATAAACAACCTCAAGAGTTCACTTCCTATAGTATTGATCGCCAAAGACGCGTTTGGTTTGATAATAGAGAAATGGTAAATAGGGCAATACATGGGTTTATGCTGATAAAACAAAAAACAAAAAAAAGAAATATTATTACCCGCCTACAAGTGAGAAAAAAGATTTAAATGGAGGCTATGAAGATAGAATACAGAGAGATGAAAGTATTCCCGAGCATATTGATACATTGTTGGATGCGATTACTCATGCTAAGGAGGATCTGTCGGTCGATATCGTAAGTAAACACGCTTTCTAGTGAAGCTTACAAAAAAAGGAAAGGTTACATGGCGAGGTATTCTGACAAAGATTCTGTGTACACCTTATTCAAGAAAGGAACCTTGGGAATTCCGTGCGACACGATACAAAGTAAGCTCACTCCTTATTCATCATCTATATTAATCGTACAAGGATACGATTTATATAGAAGAACAAGTAACTGAAGAGAAAAAGAGACAAGAAAGTCAGGCTACAGATAGGCAAAAACGCATGAGCTATTGGGGATATCGATTTGAGACATTATGTACAGTGCCTAAGCCACCTCATTTAGTCCTAAAAAGTGACCTTGAGAAAAGAATGACCGAGACTGTGAATACAAATATTCAGTACTGTATTGTGGTCAAGACCAAATTGGGTAATAATTCAATTATGATGGGTGCCGAAGTAGATTGCTGTCGAGGTAACATTTTACAAATAGACACATTGCTCATTTTTTTTTAGATGTCAAACCAGAGGATCCATTAAAGCAACCCAATAATTATATTGAATTAAAGACATCAAGGATAATAGAGACAGATAGACAACAATTTTCGTTTGAAAGATATAAACTATTGAAATTCTGGGCACAGTCTTTTTTAGTAGGTGTGCCTCGTATTATTTGTGGCTTTCGAAATGATGAAGGTCATGTTCTTGATATTCAACAATTCAAGACAATGGAAATACCTCGCTTAGTCAGAGATAAAAACACTTGGGTAACTTATCAGCGTAAAAAAAAAAAAGAAACTAAAAAAAAAAAAAATTAGAACCCATCTGTTTGTTTGAATTTTGCAGACAAAGTATTAAATTGGATCAAGTCAAGTATTACAAAAAGTGATGCAACTGTCACTTATTCAATACAATACAATTATCCATTTGAAGAAATTAAATTAGAGTGCACAGGCCATGCACATGTATTTTTAACACAAAGGTTTTTAGATGGTACAATTCAACACGAAATTGGAGGTCCACGGGCAAACGGACTTTTATGATCTAAATGGCCATGTTTCATGATGCCTAGAAGTAGTGGCTTATAAAGTAAAGACACACATTTCTTTACTTTGTTTAAACACATGGTTTCTTTATTTATCAATAAAAACAACATGGCAACAAAGAAAAAGAAAAACGCGTCGTGTTGATGCAGTAAACATCTAAAAATAACCTTTATGTTAAAAAAAGCAAAAGTTTTCCTATCTCGGTGTTTTCTTTAAAAAAAGTGTAAATTTAGATTTTCTTCTCCTTTTTTTTATCTTTCTTTCTTTTTTATTTATCTATTTTCTTATTTATAGTAGTCAAGATATTTTAAGCTATGGGACGTAAAAAGATCCAAATTCAGCCTATCAAAGATGACCGCAATCGACAAGTGACATTCTTGAAACGAAAGCATGGTCTTATGAAGAAAGCCTATGAACTTAGTGTACTATGTAACTGTGAAGTAGCACTTGTTATTTTTCCTCCAAATAACAAGTTGATTCAATATTCCAGTTCAGATATGGATAAACTTTTGAATGAGTACAAAGAGGTAAATAAATAAATAAATATATATATATATATATATATATATATTAGGTTGTCAACTCATTTTACAATAGAATGATTTGCCTAAAGAGATCAAGACAAATCAAGATGTAAATAAAAAAAAGAGAGAAAGTTTTGATTTTGATGGCTAATGTTCTGTAGTTTATTGAAAGTAATGATGGAAAACATGATGATGATCAATCTTCTCAAGTATATTCAGACAATGATTCAATGGACAAAACAGAAAAGCCTATTGCAATGACACAACCTGTTCAACAATTACTTCCTCAACCATTGATTTATCCTTCACAACAAATGGTCCCGACTCAAATGAGTATGCCATTATCCTATGGAACAAGTTACACAATGTACCAACAGCCACCTGTCGTACATCAACAGCAACAGCAACAACAACAACAACAACAACAACAAATGAACACTTCGCCTTTGTCGACTCATTCAACTTATGATTCACATATGTACCAGCAAAATCAATTTTATTTAACTCAACAACCATTGACCAATGCAATAGTCTATCAACAACAGCAACAACATATGCCTTCTTTGTATCATTCACCTGATAGTTCTCCTGCAACAGTGCAACAAGAATTTTCTCCAAACCAATCGCCAAGATCCGAGCCTGGAACACCTGAAAAAAGAACAAAGCTAAGAGTGACTATCCCTGTTAACAATGAAGGTGGTACAGTCGACAAGAATCAAATTAACGTAAGATTTTTTAATTTTTTTTTTACTCCTTTCTGAATCTCCTTCTTTGTATAGTATCCTTCAACAGGTTTAGCACCACCTTCTGCTTTGCCTTCTCAATTTGTCACTAATTTACCTTCACCTTCAACTTTTTATCCCGAGTTCTATCAACCCAATTTTATTATGAGCCCGATCCAACATGCTAACTCAGCAAACCCTTTTATCATACCGACATCTCCTTCATTGAATGGTGGCGGGACTATGAAATCAAACAATGAAAATCCAGCATGGTAACTCGTATCTTAGCTTGTCTATTTGAAACTAACTCGATCTTGTCTAGTTCACAAAAAAGGTCTATCATTCCTTATGATATCAATCAAGCACAACCAAGCAAAAAAGTCAAGATAGAGTCTTGAGCTTTTACTACTTTTATATATGTATATCTTTCATTCTCTTGTAAATTCTATTCTTATATCATATATGCCCTTTTATACGCTTTATATGTCTTAAGTCTCTTTTTTTTTCTAATATAGCTCATGTATGTAAGATAATAATAATAAAAAAATATTTTCAATTGTCCATAATAGAAAGTGTCGGATATTCAAATAGGGCATGTCAATGTTTAGAATTCTTTCTCCTTGAAGTTTTGAGTAACTCTCTGTCGTGCTTCGTGACGACAAATGCCGCGCTTTTGTTTCCTTAAATAACTTTGCTTCTGCTATTTAAGCTCAGAAATAAAACTTTTAAAAGATCTTCTTTCTGCTGACAGATCTTTGAAGATACCATATTTGACATCTTCATTTGAACATCAAAGTCAATACATTCCATTGAGCAATTTTAAACATTATTGAATTGCATATTGGAAGCACTTTGTAGAGAATTGTTTGACTATTCTTCTTAGTAAACATTCGAATGTATGATCTCTCTCTCTCTCTCTCTCTCTCTCTCTCTCTTTTTTTTACAGGAATCTCAAATATTATTTTGAAACATTGTAAACAAAAAGACCACTAAAAAAAGAGTTTCTCTTTAATGCTTGTTACACGGATTGTTCTTCACTTGAATACGCCAAGAGAGTTACACATGACTAATGCTTAGAGGAACAAAAGAGGGAGAAGCTTTACACTACCAGTTTTAGAGATATAAGTATGTAAAAAAAAAACAGCATTTAGAATAATGCTTGAGCATGCAGTTTGACTGGAAGAAAGTATTATTTTTTTTTTTCAAAAAAAAAAATTCGCAGTAACAAAATGCAGGGCTGGACAAAGTTTAAACAGTCTTCTTGTAATGAACAAGCAAGAAGAATCAGATAATAGAGATCTTCAAAACGAAGAACTCGAGGCTATTGAGGCCATCTATCCTGACACGTTTAAAAAAGATCCTACTTCACCTGATGCTTACATTTATACCCTCAATCTCGATGAAGATGAAGTTGACATGAAATCACCTAGAAAACTTGTGGTTCGCTTCTTTCTACCACCCAGCTATCCAAGTCAGGATATGCCCATATTTGAAGTATCCTCTATTTATTGTGGCACAAAAAAAATTGATAATGACATGCTGGACGCTATTGATACAGGTTTCCAATCACTTTATCAACCAAATCAAGTGGTTTTGTTTGAATGGATGAGTTGGTTACGTGAATATCTTGAAGACAATGTTAAGAAACCAATAGATCATGAAGAAGAAGAAGAAGGCTTGAGTAAATCAATGTCAATACTACATGTTGAAGAACAACAAGAGGAATCTGACTATCATCCTGAAAACGATGACATATCAGACGAAAAAGAAGAAGACAAAACGCATGATCGACCTACAGTACGCTCATTGATGGGAAGCAATGTCTATCATACAGAAAAACCTCCTACTATCTTCTCAAGTGAACCTTTACTGGACCGTAAATCCACTTTTGTAGCCCATGTAGCTCAAGTGCATAGTGTTCATGACGTCAAAGTGGTAGTAGCTCATTTGCTTCAAAACAAGAAAATTGCAAAAGCAACACATAATATTTTAGCCTATCGCATTACAATGCCTGATGGAAAAGTGCTTCAAGACAATGATGACGACGGTGAATCAGCAGCAGGAGGGCGTCTCTCTCACTTGATGCAGATTCTGGAAGTCGAAAATGTTGTAGTTGTCGTAACAAGGTGGTTTGGTGGTATTCATTTAGGACCTGATAGATTTAAAGATATCAACAATGTATCCCGTAATGCTTTAGAGACATTTGGTTTCATAAAAAGTAAAAGCAATACTAAAGGAAACAGTAAAAAGAGCAATAAAAAATAGAGAGTATAAAGTTTTTGATCCAACATGTAATGAGACGAATCTGATTCAAATCCCGTTGAGAGACACTGCCTGAGAAGAAAACGGTCCTTTTTACACTGAAGATGGCAGATCAACCACATCAACCCCATGTTGAAATAGAAGCAACTGGCCTTACAGGAGATATTATCAAGTCTATTATGACACCAGGGTATACTGCTAATGGTGTGATTAACATCATGTTTTATGCATTCTACGCATTGTTTGCTACTCTCTTGTTCATGCTCTTCATTACAAAAGGCAATCCTCATGTGATTACATTCTTGTTACTAGCGATATGTCTCTTTGTGTCTATCAAATGGTATAGCATAGCCTTTTCTATTTCTCTTTTGACACTTTGTATAGGTTTATTGCAGAATTCGAACGCTCAAAAAAACTGGAAACAAAGGCACAATAAACATGTTAAATGACTTTGTGACGAATACTTGGTAGTAAATATGTATACAAAGAACCAAATGTACGTAAATTATAGTCTGCTATTAAAGATAGTTTCTCGCTTAACTTGCCAATTTCTTGCTCTAAACCTATGGTAGCATGTTGCTGTTGTATATCTTGTTCAACAAAAGATCCCTGTGTCATAGCATGCAGTATAATTGAACGAACACGATAGTACATGACTTGATAGACGGGTGATGTGTTTCTTAGATTTTGATTCATCCAATTAGACCAATACCTTGCTTGCTCAATCACATCATTGTGTTTCATGGGTTGATTTTGCTGTTGTTTGACCATGTTGCAAGCATGTAGTGCTAAATGGAAGCAAGAGACACGGCCACTGGTAATGGAAGCATCCTTAAGAAGCTTTGAATAGGTTGATTTGAGTTGATAGAGTTCTGTCTGCTTTGCTTTTTTACCGGCCATAAGACGATAAGGCATCAATAATAAGCCAATAACAATAATATTCTGAAATTCATGGCGCATTTGATGTTTGAGTCTCTTTTCATCATAGGAGAAGGTAATTGGGAAGCTACAGGTAGATAACTGCAAAGCCTTGATTGTGTCATTATCGTCTGTGACTAAATCAATGATGCCTAGGCAAAGCATATAAGTAAATATGAACAGCCCTAACTTGATCAAATTTACCTGAGCGAAAAAAATGAATGAATTTGGCACTAGATCCAAGCCTGTTCCATGAGCATGTCATCCAGTCTGAGACAGAAGATATGTTTATTTCTCCATTATCCAATTGCTTGAGGAATACATTCCATTCTATGCTTGTACCAGTCTCGAGTAAATTAGAACGATAATAATGTAGTGCTTTATTGGCGCAATCCTAAGTGTTTGGGGTTAGAAATCTATTGTTTTATAGCAAAATATACCAATTTGATAGTCTCTAGTGTCAAAAAACACGATTCAAGTGCTTTAGCATATTCATCTCGTTCAACTAATTTTTGAATCTTCTCTGCTTGTTCAGGACACAATGGGCTTAAAATAGAATGCAAAAAGTCAAACTTGAAATGAATATTTAAACAACCTTGCATAAGTTGTTGTTGAACAACATCAGGATCAAAAACAGCGATGATAGAGTTTTCTGTGATATAAGATGGCCAATTCCATACAAAGGATGTAGTTATGTGTGTCGGAAAGGGCGAAATAAGTGATACCAAAATAAGTGACAACTCACTCAACAGATTGCGAACAAGGATAATAAGCTGGTAGTGATTATCGTTGTTCTCATCCACAAAATTCTTACAAGAGCACAATTGAATCAGTTGATCCAGACGGCGCCAATAATGCTGGGATTCTTGTGCTTTTTCAAGTGTCAAGTTGGGTCGAAACGTCAAGTGTGGATCAATCAGCAAGTCGTGTCGAATCTGTAAGCTCTGGAACAAATGTGGAATGGAAAGCTCGGAAAGAGCTTCGGCTGTAATAGGAGGGAAATCGAATTTGTTTTTGCTAATGCCTATATCACCATTTTTGGATCCTTGACTCGAAACTGTTTCTTGACTTGTGGTGCTTGCACTTCTTTTTCTATGCAGTTTGTAATGTTTCTTAGGAGCATATTGGGTTTTCTTCTTCTTTTTGATTTGAAGTAACCAAGCTGTCTTGACAGCATTGATAAATGCCAATCTGTTTTGCGGTGGAGACAAAATACTTACAGAAGAAAATGCTTTTTTTAGACGGCGTTTTATTAAGTGAGTTGTTGTGGCATGGTATGATGCGTGCTTAACATTTTTTTTTGACACAAGTACAATGGTTGGCTTTGGTGACTGTGGGAAATCAAACTCTTCATTATTACTGCTGGGTTGATTTGATGCAAGTTGAGGCATTAAAACTGGATCAGATGAAGACTCTTGGTTGCTACTATTGTGAGTCTGGACAGAATCATTGTTTAGCATAATTTAGATATAATAGAAAAAAAAAGAAACAAAAAATAAAGAAAAAGAAAAAGACAAGACTAAATAAATAAAAATAGAGAGAGGTGATATACAGCATTGTGTCAAAAATTACGCGAAACAAATGTTCAAACCCTGAGCGGAAAAAGTAGAATGCAAATGATTGACATGCCAAAAAAAGAAAAATTCCTTTGGACATTGAGTAAATCTTTTTTGATTTTCTTGTGTTTGTTGTCTTGGGTATGTGTGTTTGATCTGTAATTAAAAATGGTCTATGACGTACAAACTTGCTATGGCTGCCATTAATGCAGTAAGGACTAGTCCATACCATTGATGTACACGATGATGTACATTATTTTCTTTTCAGTCTTGATCGAGAACAATAGTGATGCTATACTCGCATTCAAAGACTGGTTATAAATTTCTAGACATGTTACAGAAAAAGAGAAAATTAGCCGAAGACAAACATCTAATTGTTGAATCCACCGAGTTGGGTCTGTAAAAAAGTGACGCTATTTTACCGCGATTTGCTGTTAAAGAGACTATCATAAAACAGTGTACATTTAAACAATAACTTTATTTTAGATCGAGGTTATGGCCGAATTTTATTGATTTTTGAGCCATTACTGGTAGGAGATTATTTGTTTGATATTCCTATATAAACTTGTCTGTACTTTTTTGTGACAACTTTATTCTCATTTTCTTACATTCTAAGTTTGTAAAAACACACACACACACACACACACACACACACACACTTCCGAAACTAGGATTCTTATAATTGTATACAGAATAATTAACGACAAAACTTAACATTGATGTATGATTTTATTGCAAGATCAGACATACATTGTATTTTAAGAACATTCAAGTTTTTATAATAGATAACAACAAATAAATAAATCGAGGAATAAGAATGAATCAAAGTGCCAAATAACCGACACTAGCGAGTAAAACAGCAACACCAACACTGCTAAAGTGCGACACGCTCATAGATGCGCCGGAAGTAGCATTGGAATTAGAGACAGACGATGATGACGACGATGAGGATGTAGAAGAGGTATTGGTAGAAGCAATGACACATGTATCGTTCTTGTGTTCAGTATACCAAGCACAAGCACCAGCAAATTCGGTATTGAAAAGAGTAGGATCATCAGGGCAATTCACCATACATATGCCAGCTTTAGTCATAAAAGCAAGGTATTCAGAAGTACCTTTATTGCACATGATAGAGAGGGATTGAATAAACAATGGCGAATCGGGATCCATTGTCCAGCCAGAAACATAAGCGCTTCCCGCTTGCTATGAACAAATAAATGTCTATTGTTTAATAGAATGAGGTTTACTTACGACATTGCAATTGGTAAAACATGTACCCGAGCTTGTTACGTTGTAAGAAGGATTACAGCCATTAACAGAGGCAGAAACTGTTGTAACAGCAGCAGCGACAGTAGCAAGGGTCAAGACGATGGTAGAATGCATTTAAAATATAGCAAAGAGAAAGAAAGAAAGAAGATTAGGATTGAATACGATTTTATTTCCTTCCCCTGTTTTTTCTTTTCTACGTTACGGACTCTATTTAAGATTTCTTTTTCAGAAAACAGGAACTGATCTGATAACACGCGACGAAAAAATTGACCGCGCCTTCTTGTTCACAAGCATAAATTAGTCTCTATAAAAAACAACCCGGTCTATAATTGATCCAATATTATATATTTGCAAAAAAACTTTGTATTACAATGGATTTATCAGATTTTCTCAAGGAAACACAAGAATTTTTTGACAATATTTTTGTATGGCAATTGCAGAAAATTTCATCAACAAACGCCGTAAACGTGTATAGTTTATAGTAGTTAAAGCATTCGAGAGTATGATATTGTTTAGTATCATTAAGGAATGTCTTTTATGCTTTTGACTCGAAACAATAGCGTTGTACAAAAGGAGCTTAAAATCTAACTCTCATGTGCAAATTACAGAAACAGAAATTTTTTTTGATCTTTCTGTGTCTTCCATCTGATAAGAAGCCTTCGTTTAATTCTCTTTTGTGGGGAGCGTTAAAAATGATCAGGAAAATGGAATGCTCAAAGCTACCTTTTTTTTTTCTTGGCAAAATATTCTTATATCCCGTTTGATCTTAAAATTCAATCATCTTCCTTTTCTCGAAAATGAATCAAATGTCAGGATACTCAATTAAAGAAAAAACTGAAGTGATTTCATCACATCTGAACGTGGATGACTTCTCAATTTCTTCTTTACAGCAGATTAACGAAAAGCCTTCTCGAAAGTTTTTATGGATAATCCCATTGAATGCCAGTTGCCACCCTCTCCAATTCTTTGCTTTTATCGTCTCGGTGTTTGTCTCGCTCAGTTTGATTGTGTATATCTCGGGTACACAAAGCCAAATATTAACAGGTGTACTTTCCATTACAACGAATACAGGTGATATCACAGGATCGCTTACTCTCTATGGTGAAATTGTTGCTTTAGTGGCAGTCATTGTCTGGTCTATGCTTTCTGATATCATTGAACGTCGTGGTGTCATGAGCTTGTCAATTCTCCTCATGGGCATGGTTATTGTTTGTTATCCTCATGTCAACTGTCTCTATCCTAGCATGTTAATTCTCAAGTTAATTTTTGCTATTGGTTCAGCTGGTTCAACCGCCATGATGGTAGCGCTTGTCATGGAGGTATCCCACGGCAAGGGCGGTCTTGTGTCTGGTTGCATTGGCCTTGCCTCAGGTCTTGGTGCTATCTTGGCTGCTTTGGTCTTTTTTATGGTTCCAGCTTCACTTAGTGTTAAATACCCTGGACCCAATCACGGCATTATCTACTCGCATAGTGCTATCGGAGGCACTGCAATGATTACTGCCATCATTCTATATTTCTGTCTTCCCAAAGATGCGTACAAACGTCCTTCTGTCAATCATTTTAAGGCCTGGTTTGAAAAATTGTATTATGGTGTAAAGGCCGGTAAAGAAACTCGTATCGCTCTTGGTTATGTCTCAAGTTTCTTTGCCCGTGCTGATGAAGTAATAATTTCAAATTTTATCTCTCTCTGGATCACACAGTACTATGTTGATAATGGCAGATGCAAAGCTGGCGAAACATGTCTCTATTCACTTGCTTCTTCATCTTCTTTGACTGGTTATGCTCAATTAGTCGCTCTCTGTTCCACAGGATTCTTTGGCCCTGCCAGTGAATATATGCCCAAAGAACTAGCTGTCTTCATTGCTGGTGTGGTCGGTGCCTGTGGCTGCTTACCATTCTCATTTTCTCCTGATCCAACCACGAAATTGGCTCTTGGCTTTGTTATTTTATTGTCTTGTGGCCAATATGGTATGATTATTTCTGGTATGGCCATGTGTGCTGGTGATTATGTAGACCAAAAACACAATGCGGCCATTTCTGCTACCTACTCGTTCATTGGTGCTATCGGTATCATTGTTCTCTCCAAAGTAGGTGGCGTTTTGTTCGATGTGTGGATGAAAGGTACTCCATTCTTACTTTTAGGTATTGGCCATTGTCTTATAGCCATCATGTCTGTTCTTGTCTATGCTCATCGTCTGTATATTGCTTGGAGAGAGAGAAAAAATCTGGTAGTATGAACTACTACAGATGCTAATTTATTTATTATTTATTGTTTATTATACATACAATAAACATGATATGACTCATTATTGACTTTTGCTATAAAACACTTGTATGCAAGCAACAATGATTCAGACATCCCTCTTTTTCTTGTAGACTTGTTCTCATAACCAAATTCAATGCTCAGTGTGTATGAAGAGTATGCTACAGTCTGGCTTCAAATGAGTACAGTCGTACTATTGACCATAATTACAAATCTGTTTTATATGATGAACCAGATTTCCATCAGTATGGAAGGCCCCAAGCTAAAGATAGCCAATGCGTGTGACATGATGAGTACAACATCTGCGCAGGTATACAATATACCACATGTTTTATTGCAATCTACTATTCAAAACATTTACACAACAAAAGAGAATACACGCCGGACCTTTATTATGGCTGTCAATGTGGTCGAGAATTGTATTGTTTGGGTTATCGGGTCATACAGGTCCATGTACCGATGTCTTCTGGGTGTAACACTGCATGCAGTATTCGAACTGATCAAACAAATTGTCGGACCTGTTGACAAGATTACAGCAGGCATTACTTCATTTCTTCATCTGGATGATATGACTTCCAATAGTATTCAATGGACTCAGACTTTGAATGATACACAAGCCAAAATCGATGCCTTCTTTGAAAATGATGATACCCTGATACGCCAAATCATCGATAAACCATTTGGTTTATTGCAAACTCAGATAAACACCACTTTTAGTGCCTGGAATCCACCCAATTTCCGTCTCAACTCAGTCTCAAAGAACGTATCCACCTTGGATTTATTACAGCAGCCCTGTTCTACCAATAGCTTAGGTGAGTCGTTGGAGAATATCGAATACCAGTTGACCCGGTATGTTTATATTTTGATTGGTGTGCTTTTTGGACTCTTGCTTGTTTGTGTCCTGGTTCATTTGTCGGCTATTCGTTTCCAGCAGCAGCAAGTTGCACAAGCGCGTACAACTTTCCTTCATCTTATTCGAGAACGTCACCAAAAAGACCACAACAAATTACTTGAAGAATATACTTGGTATGCGACTACTCCTTTTGCTTATTTGATACCATGGAAAAAGTTTAAAAGGCCCCTGAATCGATTGTTGATGTTTATGAATCATCCTGTTTCTGTTTATTGTCTTTTGGTGGGACTTTGTGGGCTGATCATGACTTGGCTCTTGGCATGGTTACTCACAAGTAAAAGCCAGCAGGCTTATTTAGAGTTTCAAGACCAAGTACAACAATGGACACTCAATACGACATCACGATGGTCTACTGAAACACAGCAACAGATTGACAGCATGAATACCTGGATTAACCAAACAGAACACAATCTAAACAACGATGCTTTTGGAGTTATAAGATACTCGGCCATTGCCTTAAATGGCACATTAAGCAACGTGGTAAATCAAATTCAAGGTATTATTCATACTGTGTTAGGTGGTACAATTCTTGAAGCCTCTGCGCAACAACTAGCCCACTGTTTATTAATAAACAAGATTGAACATGTAGAACAGGGACTGACATGGATTGTAAGTTAGTTGAATTATTGGCTGTAGAGGCTAACCTCTTTGGAAAGATAGAAAACACCTATATTCACTTGACAAGAGTTGATTTTTCAGGCACATCTTCTCTTAGCGACAAGTTACTCGAGAGCTCAAATAATTACTTTACGCTTGGAGAGACTCATTCATTTGGGATGGTCGACCAACTTCATAACTTGACAAGGTTTTATTACATGTTGATCATTCTGTGGTGTATTCATTTATCTATTGGCTTATGCTTTCAAATCAAGTACTACTTTTTTCAATAAATTACTTTAACTTTTGTTCTCTTAAAAAAATCCATTCTAATTCTAATGTTTCCCTCCATAATCGACTGTGCTTTCCAAATGCAACAGCCACTGTTTCTTTTGAAGACATGATCCATCTTCGAACGCCTCTTTCATAGACTTGTTCTAGACGCATATTGTCATTAATCAGCTCTGATTGAATGATTGAATTCCAGCATGCCTTTGCAAGCATTAAGAAATGTTGTGCCAGCATGGGATGGTAGGGAGGATAGATCAAACAGTATTGAATCAGGATATACATGCCTAACTTGACTGCATTTCTCCAATGTCCTTCAGCCATCTCATCATAAAATAAGCGAGTACAGATCGAGAGTGTTGTCAAGCGATAAGGAATGATAGTTGCACTGTTTGTTGGATGAGAAAGCATCTTTTCTATGGCTGTCTTCAGAATTTCGTTATAAGTAGATGGCACCAAGGGTCTTGCTTGTGTTGGTAATGGATCATCAAAGTCTGTTAGACATGTCTTTTGTGTGAGTTCAGATTTTTGTTGATGCAATTCAGGTTGATTCCAAGTCAGTAAATATGGCGCAAAAAATTGAATAAAGTAATGCGTATAATGTTCAATGTTTAAGGGCTTTGTAATATCAGGACAACCGTCGCTCTTTCTGTCATATATTTTGCACATCTGTAACAAATCCCATTCTTCAATTTGCTTCAGTACTCGGCCACGCTTGTCTAAACTCCCTTTGCCATTTTGTGATTCGATCAATTCTTGTGCTCTATCCCAATCTGACTCTTCTTCTCCAAGTAGTGTATCAATCAAACTTAACCAAGGTCGTTCACCACTCACACAACGCTCACATTGACAGTTGAAAAAGTACTTCTCACGCAATGCTTTTTGTCGGTAAGATCGAGAATGAGCTGCATCTACATAAGCAATTGTGATCTCGATATTTGGCTCAATATCTTCGATCGCATGAATAGAGGCAAGCGCGCCGTCAAACATAACCACAGCATTCGGGCGACACGAGTGGTTGAATAAAGAAGCAATAGGATAAGTGCCCTCACCAATAGCAAACATATCCGCATCGTCAATAGCAAAGTTGTTTGACTTGAATATGTTGAGATAGTGTACAAGTTCTTTTTGTGTCAGTCCAGTTTGTTGAATAAATATCTTCTTTAATGCCTCTGTAGCTAATGCATTGTGCTTTTCGATAGCATAGCGTCGTTGAATTGAATCATGACCTGTCAAACTGAAAAATGCCTCCATCGTCACATCCACACTTTCTTCCATACCACCATCAGACTTTTGACCTTTAACACGCTTCTTGTATCTTGCAACATTCAAAGCAACACGTTCTAGCATTTCTAGATCCATATCATCTTCTGCATCCATAGTAGTTGTCGACTGTGATTTGCATACATATTGATGATAGCATAACCAAGCATTTTTAAAGCAAGCTATATCGCAGAAATAGGCTTTTTTACATTGAGAACATCGTTGGAGAGAGGTAGAAGATTGTTTTCGGAAACAATAGTTGCAATATTCGTTTCGAGTTTGAGGCATGGATACGGTACCTAATGGTTGTGAGCTAATGATGATTGTACCCTTTTTGATAGGTGTCTTTGCTTGAATGTAACGCCCTCTTATCATGTCCTTAGAATCATACAGGGCAATATGATGACATGAAAGATATTCTTCCATTTTTATAAATAATATATGTACACAAAGAAGAGAGAAAAAAGCGAATAGAGTCTTGACCAATAAAGTGAATATATGTATGGGCGTGTACAACTTTCCCAGCATCCCCCGCCTAAGCGATTGTATACCAGATTTTATTTCTCAGGCACATAATATGGAATCCTTATTGGTCCTTTCTTAGTCTCTATTTATGAAGTATAGTTGTTTAGCTGCATTACTAATAGAGAGATATGGTTCATGTTATTCTTCTACTAGCATACTTCTTCCAAGCACATATTATCCGCCCTTCAAGTTTCAGAAGTTAAATCTTCGGTTCCCTTTTTGTTTTTTCTCGAAGAACAAGATAAAGCACTGAAAGACTTCAGAGATTTAAGTTACGACCCAGAAAGGGAATGACTGGTCGAAAATTGAGTATAACATGATATAGTATAAGAGATCAAGTAAGGGGCTCATCGTTTTTTTAAAAAAAGACTAGAGCTATAATTCTGTAAGGTAGAGGATTCTTAACACATTTATAGAGAGCTTTTCTAAGAAAAGCTGTGTTAAGCAACTCTGTATCTGTAGAAGAGCAAAGCTCTATTAGTGCTAAAACTGACTATTATAACTCTGACCCACTCTAGGTTTTCTTTATTGCAGTAGTGATATAAACGATATGACGAATGAGATACTGACCGAACTGCTTCGCTTAAACAAGAGTAATCAATAAAAAAGCGATGTCTATAAGGTTCTAAACATATTGAAATGCATGTAAGTCAAAAGACCTACTCTATATTGACATATTTATCATTTAATAGGATCGAAAACATCAAAAACACTTCTGAAGCAGCCAGCAAAATGACCTCATACCACGATTGAGCGAAAGTCCTAGATTACCTTTTTAGTAGAGCATGACTAAAACACTTGAAGCAATTAGAAGTTTGGTGATTACAATATCCATCAATTAAATTTATCAAAATCTCAGTGGTGAATCAGACCGCTAGTCTGTCAAGAAAGAAACAACTTCAACCCATTCTTTGTACCCTGATTCCGTCAATAATGTGATCACTTTATTGATGTGCAGTATTAAAGAAATTGATGCAATCATAACGGCAGAAGTAAAGAAGAACAATGTCGAATCGTCCAATAACGAATGAAAAAATTAAGAATAACTTCAACGACAAGTTCCCTGAATTGAGAAACTTCTACGTATAGACAATGTACTCATTCGTGCCTCAGAGGATATTGCGAGACTTATTGAGGTCAGAGGTTATACAGTTGCCGCCATATTCTCTTGATCTTGATCATATTGGAAACTTCTGGTCAGTGGCCAAAAATTCAGTCAAGTAAAGTACGTTTCAAGAAAATAAAGATTTGAAAACTAGAACTAGCGAGGCTAGTGAAAGCTTTAATAGAAGGACTTAGCATTCTGTGAATTACTTTCAAAAATGATTTGATTAGCCATCAATAACTTTAACTTTCAATAAATTACGAATATCGGCCAATAAAAACCGAATTTAGGAAAAGCATACTTCAGACGGAGACCAAAACAAATTTAGGTCTGACAAAAACGAATTTTGGGGATGGAGCCGCTGTCCCTAACAAAAAAATAAAAGTCACTTTCCAAGAAATTAATGGCACTAAGCCGAAAATGATTGTCTCTTTATGTCTAAAAGTTGCTTGTAATTAAATGCAAAATGCTCATATTCTAAAGCAGATTTTGAAAAAGGAAAGATGTGCTGAGGATTCATTAATATATATTTTGATATTAATAAACACCTATCTATCACATTCTCATAACAAATTTTCTAGCATGTTCTTGCTCACTTTAGACTAATCATTTTGAGCGAAAGAAACGGTGACGGCGACGATAGTAAGGAAACGGTGACAGTGACATATACGGCGACGTATAAACTTTTTGGTCATTTCCCTCCTCTTCTTCTCATTGTAGTATGTCCACTCAAAATTGTAAATAAACAAATTAATGTCTTCGATTGTATAAAAAACTTGACTAACTAAGAAGCTCATTCAATTAGTGAAAGATAAAGAAGATCTCATCCTGCCTTTGAAGTGGAAGCCTGGTGAAGATCGCATAAGTAAATTATTACTGGGTGATCCAAAAATCATAAATCTGGTTGTTCACTCTTTAGTTGGTAATGTATTTTATTACTTGTATAAAGATATGGTATGTATTTAACACAAATTGTCTATAGATGCAAGTATTCCTGCCAATAGCTATATTCCAGCCCAAGCTGAATGGACTGATACCCAAGGTGTATATACCTTGTATGCTTCGCGAGAAAAGAATGATGACAGATTTGCTCCAGTACTTGTTGCTGTTGCAGCTTGCTTCGAGTAGAAGTCCATTTCTACTGATGGTAAATTCTCTTTGGAAGTCGGCACTTGAGAGAGATTTGGTTACAATTACAAGAATAATTGGCAGTACTTTGTAGCGTTTATAAGTATGAGATGCATATGTTATAAGCCTTAGCATAAAATCTTGATCAACCTGATATTGAAGTTCAATTAATATTGGTGGCAGTGATTCTGTTGTCTTAATTGGCGACGCATAAACTACATCCAACCTGCTACCATCAGTCCATTCAGCTTGGGCTGGAATATAGCTATTGGCAGGAATACTTGCATCTATAGACAATTTGTGTTAAATACATACCATATCTTTATACAAGTAATAAAATACATTACCAACTAAAGAGTGAACAACCAGATTTATGATTTTTGGATCACCCAGTAATAATTTACTTATGCGATCTTCACCAGGCTTCCACTTCAAAGGCAGGATGAGATCTTCTTTATCTTTCACTAATTGAATGAGCTTCTTAGTTAGTCAAGTTTTTTATACAATCGAAGACATTAATTTGTTTATTTACAATTTTGAGTGGACATACTACAATGAGAAGAAGAGGAGGGAAATGACCAAAAAGTTTATACGTCGCCGTATATGTCACTGTCACCGTTTCCTTACTATCGTCGCCGTCACCGTTTCTTTCGCTCAAAATGATTAGTCTAAAGTGAGCAAGAACATGCTAGAAAATTTGTTATGAGAATGTGATAGATAGGTGTTTATTAATATCAAAATATATATTAATGAATCCTCAGCACATCTTTCCTTTTTCAAAATCTGCTTTAGAATATGAGCATTTTGCATTTAATTACAAGCAACTTTTAGACATAAAGAGACAATCATTTTCGGCTTAGTGCCATTAATTTCTTGGAAAGTGACTTTTATTTTTTTGTTAGGGACATTTAATTTTCTCAAAGTGACAAAATTTACCGTTCTCACTGTACATTATTTTTATCACTAAGGATTCTTTCCCTTTTTCTTTCTTTTCTCTTATTCGCCTTCTTCCCCCCCCTTTTTTTTTCTTTCTTTTTTTCTTTCTTTCTTTCTTTCTTTCTTTATTTTCATAGATGATTTTTCTTTTATACTTTCTATTATTCAACATCGCTACTGCCATATTACATAACAATAACTTTAACAATGAAAATATAATTGCTTTAAATAAAAGACAAGGTAGATATACAATGAAACTATAATTAAATATGTCAATAATTCTTTATGACCGAAATATTTTTAGCCATAGCGTCTAGAGCGTGTGGTGGTCAGAATAACACAGTAGCTATTTGTTCTCCTAGTTCGGATTCTATATGGACAAATGATACAGACCAAGAAATTACATGGAAATATAAGTATGTGTATACATATATATCTAGCTTCTCTTTTACTAACATAAAAAACAAACAGTAATCCAGTTTTTACTGAATACGTACGTACGTCTTTATAGTAACACACAGAAATTCGAATTCAACAAAAATCAAAACTTTCTATTTAAAAATAGGATACACTCGATTTGTATTTACTATATCAGCCAAATGACAGTGCTTGGGAAGCTGTCTTGGAATGGACAGGCTTAGACAAAACAAAAGGTGTCATGATAACACACGTCAACGATAGTTGGTACCCAGCACCCATAGCCAACAATGCGCCAAATGTAACATGGACTATGTATTTATATCTTGTTGGCTCAGGCTATGATTATCAGTCTGATCTGGCATTGATTTCATCAAGGCACAACTTCTTTCCAGTACCCCAGTCATTTACTCTCATTCGTAAGTGTAATCTGTGATGCCTAGAATACTCACATCTATTAGAAACATCCATTAACACAACCAGTACCAACACAACCGCCACTCCTTCCAACACCACGACTACAAATCCCACAAGCGAAGCATCAACAACACCTTCTGTTAAAAAAAGTAGCAGCAAGTTAGCTGGATGGGCTATTGCAGTGATTTGTATTGCAGCACTTTTTTTTATTGCAGCAGTAGCAGCTCTTATCTGGGCTTACAGACGGTATAAACAAAGAAAGAATCGCAAAAGTATGATTGCAGTTGACTTGGTGAATGGGAGAGGAGACGAAGAGAAAATACCTGTATTGACGCCTACTAAAAACGAATCTAATGTAGCTCCCCTTTCTAACAATACTGCTGCTGCTCTTGGTGCTGCTAGTGCTGGTTTTCTAGCTGCCAATGGATCCATGCATTCATCAACTCAGCATTTGGTCTCGTCTCGATCACCCCGCCAACAAGACGAAGTATCTTCATTTGCTACCACATCTGAAAAGCCTCCTCTTGGACTTCATAGCGAAGCTCATCACTCAAGTAGTATTCTCTCTTCTACAGATGCACTCATGATTGCAGACACTTTTAGACAGTTTATGAGAAAGCCAGAATGGAATGAAGAAATGGAATTAAATGCACAACGACAACAGATCGAAGAAAAAGGAGAATCAGGAGAAGAAGAACGTAAAGGATCAGGAGATGCTTCTGTTGAAAAAGGAAGGAATACACGTATTCAATAATAAACTGATCATTTAGAAATTCAATGTTTGATAAAGACGTCATGTAAAAAAGAATTTGTTTGTTTTGAATAGAGTTGTACAGGAAAGAAAGGTTGAATGTTAATAAATACTCAAAAAATAACCGCAGTCACTCAGAGAGTACCACCAACTATAAGACCGTTAGAGAGGTTTGGATTTAGAGACCTGTTACCACTTACCATCCATATTGATAGTAGCAGAACTATCATCAATCTTATGCACTCTTCGGTTTAGGAATTGTTTGAAATGGGAAAATGCGGGAAACGTTCTACCGAACAATATTGCCAGAGCTGACAATCGGTCACGAAACATAGTTGCCTTTCTGTTCCTTACAGAAATACAGTCCTTATTCAAGCCATAGAAAGTACCTTTCACTGTCCTTGTTGCCTTCTCGGTTCTGTTAACTGGGTGGACTGATTTCTGGAAAGAAAAGACACAGGTCTGGGACGTATTATACTTGTTTGTGATGCATGCAATACTTGTGCTCCCGAGTAGTTTCTGCTTCCATTTTCCTCCATATCGTCTATGCCCTTTTATCTTTGAGCCTTGATCTCCAACAAATAAACAAGCCTTTGACTTTTTAGGACCCATTCAAAATGACACAATTAATACCAATCACACGCTATCATGAGTAGTTATTACCTTTTTTTGTACGAACTTCTTCTCTTGACTACATATCTTTTTAGGCGGACACAGGTATTCTGCAGTTCATTCCCTCTGATAGTATTGACTCTTTTAATAGAAGCATAAAAATCACGTAATTCTTTTTTCTATGGCTTAAATGAACTTTATATCTTTGTTTGAACTTGACAGGACATTGCAAGCTATTTTCAGAGAATATAACAGCTAATTTATTTAGAAATTCATTGCTGTTCTAGATATCTCACATTTTGCATTAATAAACATTGTTATAGCAAGGAGTGTGAAAAGATATTCGTTCATATTGATTGTTATTAGCATAGGGATGTCCCTATAAGTAACTATACTTGTAAACTCAAATATCAATATTGGTTTGAAATTTACAGTACCACAAAAAAAAAATAGACGGATAACTCTTCAATATCGAAAAAGACACTTGGATAACTTTTGCTGGCAGTGGCTACTATTTTTTTTTTTTTTTTTTTTTTTGGGTTCACTTCGGAGACACAAATCAATATTTCCCATTCCTTCTTGTCAAGATGACGCTTGTCTATAATTTTTTCTCCAGTTTTCGTGTTTTCATTTTAGGGGGAAGAAAAAATTATGCCAGTAGATACCAAATCTTCGCTCGTCAATAAAAAAACGACAGAAACTACTAGTGTTGTAAAGAATAACTACACGGCTGCCACTCAAGCAGCTTTTATTGCTGCTAAAGAAAAAGCAACAAGTGTAGTTCACTCTGCTCGAGAGTGGATCACACCTTCAGGAGAATGGTCTTCTTTAACACAACTTGAATCACTGTCAACTGTCATGTTCAGTCCTCTTGCAGCACACCCTGTCTATCGCTCTGAATCTATGGTTAAGGCAATACAGTTGATGCAACAACAACAACACAGACAGCAAACAACAGGTTCTTCTACTTCATTAATCTCTCCACGGCGCGATCTTGTATTACACGGTAAATCCTATGCCTGGCCAAGTAGTATTGCACTCCTAGAGGCAGATATACCCGAAACAAACAATCCTGTCTCTTTATTTCAAGGATTTGCTACTGCTTATCCTTCACTTGCAAAATCATCTCGATCACCTAAACGTACTAGACAAAAAAAAAGAAGCAACAGACAAATGCAGATGAAAAGCAACCTTCCAGAGGTATATCGCCCTATTTTCTTATTCTATTCGCTTATACATGATGATAGATACACCCAAATCACTTACTCAAATCATTGCAGAAAGAGAAAGAAGAGTACGGGAATGTGACAAGATTAGTATGCAAAAGGTACATTTGAGTGTAGTGATGTGTTGTTTATTTCTCTTTCTTTTTTTTTTCACTTGATCTAGTCTTCTACTGCCAATGGAATTGAGCAAATCAATTTGCAGATCAATGAACTACTAAGCAAAAGACAAGCATTAGAACAAAAATGGGAAAAGCTTGAGCAAAGAGATATTGAATTACAATTGATAAGTAAAGTAGCATGGCTTGGTTTTGGCCTTGAATTAATGACTTTTTTGAATTAGTTGATGATTTAAATGAAGCCGTGATGGATATTGAAGAAGGTGGAAGTAATGTCACTAGTAGCAGACAATTGCGATCTGAAAGAGAGCGAGACTTCTCTGATGATGAAGAATACGAATCTGGAACTTGCTTCAAAACATTAGAAGGTCATACAGACGATATCCTCTGTATTGACTTTAATCATCCTAAAGGCATGCTTATTTCTTCATCTCTGGATGGCACAGTTCGAGCATGGGACCTATACCGCAATCGTTGCCTTGGAAATTTGGAAGGCCATAACGGCAATGTACGATGTATGCAACTAAAAGAGGCTCGCCTTTTGACAGGTTCAGATGACAGCACAATCAAGCAGTGGGACCTGTCATTGATTCGACCACTCACTTCTTCTAGCAGCTCTGTCTTTTCATCTGAACCCAGCTCTCCCAGTTTGACAGCGGTTGATGGTGGTATTGTAACAGAAACATTTACACTTGAGGGTCATTCAAGCGAAATCACTGCGCTTGATGCGAACTTGCACTCTGCTGTATCTGGATCAAATGATAAGACAATCAGACAATGGGATTTAGAAACACAACAATGTATTTTAACACTTGATGTGATGTGGGCTAGCAAATCCTCAAATAGGCTAGAGTCTTGGATTGACACTGCTTTAAATTATGGTTATGCAGCCCATGATTTTGTAGGTGCTTTGCAGTTTTGGGATTTCGCTTTGGCGAGTGGTACTTCAGATGGTAAGATAAGAATGTGGGATCTGAGAACAGGTCAAGCCCATCGTACATTGCCTGGTCATAGCGCTCCTATCACTTGTCTACAGTTTGATGAAGTGCACCTTGTGAGTGGTAGTTTAGACAAGACAATCAAAATCTGGGATTTACGTACAGGCTCTGTATTTGACACATTGACTTATCCGGCCCCTGTTTCCAGCTTACAGTTTGATTCAAGTAAAATTATTAGTTCAGGCACTAGCAACACTATTGATGTGAGTATAATAGAAAATGTCATGCTTCTGACCTCTATCGATAGGTATATAATCGTACCTCTTTCCAACATACTACATTTTCTGGGCATAAAAGCCGTATCAATTCTATTCAATTTCATCATGATGTTCTTGCAAGTGCAGGAAGTGATAAAGTTATTAAATTATGGTCCATTTAGTTTGCATATCTTCTTTGAAAATAAAATAGACATTATTTATTTTATCTAAAGCTAAATGATGCATTTCTTGAGCATTTATCGCTGATTTGCAATTTCACATCTAAAGTAAAGAGCGCAATCAATAAAGCCAAGTGAGAACGATATGTTTCATACACTTTATCTGAAGAAAAAATTATATAATTTCATGTTCTGGACTTCTTATATTGAAATATCTTGGCACTAGAGCACTATTTAAGTACATAATCGAATATGGCAGCAATTCCTTTGTATGTTCCAATATCCCTTTTTGGTCACGTGATCTTGATTGTAGTATATGTTTTGATGTCGAGGTATGGCTCTTTTGCTTAATTATCAGAATAACCGTAGGGCCTCCTTACAAGGCGATTCAACGTTGGATTCTTATCATAATCCAGCCAATCAATTGTTCTCTAATCAGTCCTTTAAAGACGTTCTTAAAGCTCAAAAACAACATATCTTTGAAGTGTCACCGAATGTTGAGAATGGTAGTTTTAAACCTCTCAACGCCTATTCAGCTTTTGTGGAAGCTACAGAACGGAGCTCCATTGTAATCGACTGTGCTCAATTTTTGGGCATGGAATTTAAAGACAAATCTTTACTCAAAATATTACACGAACAATTTCCTAAATGCCTTGGCCTCAAACCTAAAATAATTGGCAAGAACAAAAGAAAGGCTATGGAGCTTGGCTTCTCGACTGAAAACACATGTAGAGACGCTCTCCTTAAAGAATTTAATTTGTAGTGAATGGAAAGAAAATTGAACTGAACAAGACCCTTGACAATTCTGCAATGGTAATCAACATTGGTATTTCTGAAATTCTCCTCATGGAAGAAGAAGTATTGAAGCCAGCATTGATCAATACCTTTGAACGCTTTGGCGATATTTTGAACATTAGTATCTCCAAGTACGCTGACTCCGATTGGTTCACTGGTCGCAGTTTTGCTACACTTAATAGGGATAAATTAAAAGAAACAACGTATGCAGCCGAGCTCACTCCCCAAGTGAGACTTGTAGGTTTTCCAGGAGTATTACTGAACATCGTTTGGTCTCAAATGAAGCCTATTTGCACTGACTGTCATACGGACGAACATACCAAATTTGACGGTCCCAAAAGAGCCAGAAAGCTATGTTTCCGGTGCAAGAGGCCTAAACACTTGCAAGCCAAATGCCCTACGGCACCTTAGAATCGTGACCCCAAAACAAACAAAACAGGAAAGTCTGGACCTGAAGAGGAGTCAGATATGACAGCTGGCTTTAAAAGTAACAATGCTACAGGAATTAGATGAGAAATCAATTTGCTCGAACTACTCAAGAATGATCCAGAGCCACAGGGAGTAGAAATAAAAATGACTGTTATGAAAGAAGCAGTATATCTGGAGAACAGAAGCGTATTGATGAGTAGATGTACCAGCAAATCAAGCCAGCCTATGAAGGAAGCTGTTCCCATCAAGTCAGTTTCTACACTAAGAAGCTCCAGAAATCAACAGACCAAAAAGCTAGATGATATTATCACTCGCATACACTCATTCTGCTCGACTAGTAAAGAGAAAACTAAAATAAACAGGACAATTACAAAGCGTAACTTGGAAGACGCTCTCTTTCCTGAAACAAGATAATCTTTGACTCCAAATACAAAAAGACTCAGCAAAAACATTAAAAGTGAAATCGTTACTCAAATGTCTTCTCCTTTTCCTGACAATGATGGGGAGAAAATGAATGAGCTGGACTAAAAGCTTAAAAAAGATGAATGCATACAAACACTTACACATTAAATTAGGTTCTGCCAACTGCAGAAACACTAACCAACAAACCACAGACGATTTTATTGCTTTACTGAAGACCAAGAAATTGAATGTGCTACTATGTCAACAAAAAAACATACCAACTCTCACCTCTGAAGAAGCCATAAACAACATGAAATTCAAGTTCAACTATCATCAAGCAATTTGGACAAAACATTGCTCAATAATTAGCTTCAACAATGCTTTAAATCTAGAAGAAATCAAAGTATCTAAAAATGGAAGAATTATCCTAGTTAAGCTAACAACCATTGACAACTCTATCCCGTCTGTATATATCATAAACCTATATGCACAATCAGGTATAAAAACTGAGCAGGTGACCGAGAGAAGCAATTTTTTTAAAACAATAGTCAATCTACTACTCAAGACACCAGAGATGATTCCTGACCTAATCATGACCGGTGATTTTAATTTTAATTTTAATAACGCAAGCAAGCACTCTACAAGAACAAAAGCTAAGCCTCAACAACTGATTGAACTCATCAAGGGTCCTATGAAAGACTGCATAAATCAACAAGGCGAGCAATACAACTATACTTGACAAATATATACAACACAAGTGAGACCCGGTAATGTCAGCACAAGACAAATGGAACTCAATCAAAAACATGGTTAAAAAAGTAACAGCCAATTTCTGCCGTCACCATAACCAGTGGAGAGAATAGAAATTGAAAGAGCTGAATGGAAAACGAAACAAGTTGCTACGACTCTATGGTCAAGACCCTGTATGTTTGAATGCACTACTACCTCCAGTCCAGAGCCAAATCACCAAATTACAGGAAGAGAAAAGCAATACAGATAAACTCAGTGTTGTGAGATGAAGAGAGAATAGATATTAAATAAGAGAAAAGGTAAGAACACAGAGAAAGTCCGTTAGAGCTTGTATAGGTTTTTATTTCTCCAAGAAAAAAAATGTTATCTTTCAATTGCTATAAAATGTCGAGGTATTTATACTTTTTCTTCTCGGTCAAATATTGTTCTGGGGTTAGCTTCTTGACTACGGATTGATTTGTTAGATCAGGAGCAATTAAGAGAAATGCCTTTAGAGGAAGTTGTCAGCTCAGCCAATAGTACATGATCTGACCTGAACTTGAATAAACTATTACATATTTGTCAAATGCCAATGCTAATGTATTTGTCAGCTCTAACTGTCACTTTATGAGGGCCATTGATAATAACAGAGTTACTAGGTTCATATCTCTGACTATGAAGGCGATGTAGTACTTCTAGTAGAAGGAGTGAATGTCAGTGACTATAGATCTATTGCAATTGCCATAGATGTGATCTGGTCTTTTCCCATGATCATCATTTATTGATCTATGTCTGTGAATTCGCAAAGTATTTATTATTGAAAAAGCCAATACTCTTATCTCATCTAATATAACCTTCAGATCATCAAGTCCTATTTCAGGTTACATCTAAGGACATAATCCAAATCATATATAAACCTAGAATATAAAAAATCTCTCTCGAACTTTTACCTTAATAAACATTTATAAACGGCCCCAAAATACTTCCTACACGTCTCTTTATTTTTTTATAATTTCTATATTCAATCTTTTTATTTAAAAAGTCCCAAAACACCACAATAACCAATCATTTTGATATTGCTTCTCTAAATATAAGCTCTCATTCATCCAAAAAGCTAATTCTTCTTCTGTCTAATTTCCATTTTTATTTCGTCCAAAATAGGTAAGAAGAGCATCTGGAAATTAATTTTGATTCGTCCAGAAAAAAACTAACATCGTCTGAATTTGAAGTGTAAATACAGCATTAGATTAAAATGGTATCATTTTGGCATAAAACAAAGTATAATCGGTTAACTGGGAGACATAATATTCTGTATATAGAAATGGGCTTATTTCTCACACATCCCCAAAAACCTGTGACAATTTTTACTCTACCCCTATTTTCAAACTCCAGGTACATCGGTCTCAGTACGCCAGTCTACCTTTGCTTCAGTACATAGGTTTTATTTGCTCTTTTTCAGTATACTGGTTTTATCTGTCCTCGTTTCAGTACACCTGTTTTATCAGTCTTCGGCAAATCCTAATCGGAATTTGATGTTTTTGGCTTACCAATACGAAAAAGAGTTAGTCTCTTAGCCAATGAATGCTATGATCAATGTAAAAATGTATAAAACAAAAAAATGTTATTTTGCAATTCCTTGTTCAACATGATTCCATTTATCTCTCAACATCTATTTAAATCTCCATCTCTTAATTCTTTCTCCTCCTCTTCTTCCGTTTTAAACAGAAAATTTGCTACTATGAGTCCCACTGCAGAAGAACAGCCCTACCAAGAAATTCTTGTTGAAGAACAAGTTCGCTTGGCCGAGATTGAAAAAGACAATCTCGAGATTGTTAAGCAGTGCCGTGCTGATCCTGACTTGATCGAGCATGATCCTTACTTCTTTGCTTCCGAAAGCCAAAAGGAACGCTCTTTAACTGCTGGTGTATGTATTGGCAAATTCAGAAACATGGTTACTTATTTACTTATAGACACTGAGAGGTGCAGGAAAGATTATTGTTACTCCTGTCATGTTCTACAACAAGACATATACTGAAGCTACCGCTGTTGTTCATCTTGGTGCTAAAATTTGCGGTCATGATGGTATTGTTCATGGTGGTTTAGCTGCTACACTTCTTGATGAAGGTTTAGCTTGTGTTGTAAGTGAAGATCAATGAATGTATTCAAAGACTAATTTTCGTCCTAATTAGGCCCTTCCTTCTTTACCCAACAAATTCGGCTTTACTGCCAATTTAAATATCAATTATAGAAAGCCTATTTTCTCTAATCAATGGGTTGTTATGAAATCCAAATTAGATAAGCTCGAAGACCGTAAAGCCTTCGTTTCTGCTTTTCTTCAAAGTTTAGATGGTGAGACTATTTTCACTGAAGCCACCTCTCTTTATGTTTCCCCCAAAGTCAAGCCTCAGCAATAACATGCACTATATATTAAAAACATACAAACTTTGTGACTACTGAATAACTTTTGGCACACTATACACTTAACATGCTTTTAATCCTCACTTTATGCATCAGATTTGTTATTTGATCTTAAATCATAACCCAGTTTTTCTTAATAAACCTTAAACGTAAACTATAATTCCTTCTTGAATAATTTTGGCAAGGAACATATTAGCATGATAGCACCAGGGAAGGATTGGCAGTCCACTGCAGGTGTAAGCGTCTATCAAAGCCAACCAAACCAAACCATAGCTGAATGCCCAAAAAAGTTTACCAAATCTCGCGTAAGTCTAGTTTTTTTTCTTTTTTTTTTTTTAGCGCAGGCACCGTTTTGGCTTGGTAAAACACTCGCATAATCTATTTGCACAAATCAAATGCGTGCTTATATAATAAAAGTCAGGGCATAGAACAGGACTGCTGTCTTTGTATATTATGTCATGGGAAATCTTATCTAGGGCTTATTTTGGTTACATAAATCGTCATGACGGATCAGCGAACAAAGGAATTGAACTTGTTTGTAAGCAAATACAACTCTCCTTTAGTTTAATGAAGAGGATCTATGCATGCTTGGTAAGTGTGTAGTTGCTACTTTACATGATATGACTGACTTACGATTATAAAGTAGTTCACCGGAAAAAGGAAAAAAAGTGATGATTTCACCGAGGGATGTGTTGCAAAAAAAAAAAAAAAAAAAAAAAAAAAAGATATGAACGTGCATGTAGTATGCGTTTCTGTTTTGGTTAGACAGCTTCGTTGTATGAAGTAAAGTGTGTGAATCCATGCATTTAGACACAATTTTTTTTCTTTGCTTTCCTTTTTTCTTTTCTTTTCTTTTTTTTTTTTTTTTTTTTATCAATACAATGTCCCGCCTTTATTCACCTTCAGAATGGGTAGCACCTTTAGTGCCTATTGCTTCTTTAGCTATACTTCCTTTAGGTCCACTCTTCTTTCCCCGTTTCTATCTTGTTGTCTTGTGTATTTATTTTACAGTCTTTCTTTATACACAAGTAAACCATGTCTGCAAGTTCTTTCTAACCTCGCGTAAAATACGAATGACAATCCGCAAATGGAATAAACGCCTCGACAAACAAATACTTACCAATAGTGGAAATAAAAAACAGGACACAGAAATCATAAAGGAACAAATCGCATCTATAGACAGCGAAGACGAGACATTAGACGATATTGAAGAAAAGCTACAGTACTATGAAGATACTCATTACTTTCATGCTTTCATTGTTCCCAATTATTGTGAACCCGAAGGTCTATTAAAAGATACGATTCAACGCCTTGCAAGCCACAGGTAATAAACACACGCACACATGCACAAACAACTTATCTACTCATGCTATTTTTCAGTACTGCGTCAACACATTATGGACTTATTTTAGCCATGGAACAATCAGAACCTGGTTGGGAAGAGAAAGCACATCGTCTTCAAAGTTTTTTCAGTGATCAGTTTGCACAAATCATCATTACGGGACATCCTTCCGATATTCCAGGTGAAAGTAGAGGAAAAGGATCAAATGTTGCTTATGCAGCACGTCATGGATGTAGAGAACTTGTTGAGAAATATCGCATTGATGCTAGTCTTATTATAATCACCGTGTCTGATTCAGACTCTGCTATTCCTGAATTATACGTGCGAGAAGTAGAGGAAGCCCTAAATCGATCCGAAGATCCGTATCATTTGTTGTGTGCACCGCCCATCTTTTTTTCTCGTAATTGCTTTGACGTTCCTGCAGCTGTTCGAATCACTGACATTACTTGGTCTGCTATGGTCATGTCGAACCTAAGTAACAGTCGAGGCATGTGTATTCCTTGCAGTAATTATTCGCTTTCAATGGAACTGGCTGACAAAGTTGACTATTGGGATACAGATGCGGATGCAGTAGGGGAAGATATGCACATGTGGCTTAAATGCTTTTGGAAAACACAAGGACAAGTGCGTACGGCACCTATCTATGTGCCTATCAATCTAACCAACGTCCAGACAGAAGGTTATCTATCAAATGTCAGTGCTCGTTATGTTCAAGCAAAACGCCACTACAATGGCGTAGCCGATGTGGCGTATACACTTAAAAATGCCTTCCAATCATCGTCATCTTCTATCAGTTTATTTGAAAGACTCCAAGTGTGCTTTATCATTTTGGAAGCGCATATGGTACCTGCTACTTCTGGATGGCTTATGTTTGCCGCTATACCCCTGATGCAGTTTATTCTGTTTCCGCCTTTTGCTTCTTTGGCATTAATTTCGCCTTCTGACAATCCAATCTTGACAAGCGAATTCTTTGGCCATCTATGGAGCTTTATTAAGATGATCACATTATGCTTACCATTGCCATTATTTGGTACCTTGGCCGTGTACGAGCAACTACACCGTGCTATTGACCGCGAATTCTTAAACAAATCAAAACAAGAAACCCGAACGTGGTCGAATTTAATTGATTACATTAATTTACCAGTGGCTGCTTGGCTGTTCATGACATTGCCTTCTACTTTGGCTTGTGTTAAGCGCTTGTTGAATCGAAAAGAAAAATATATTACATCTGAAAAGCTATTTCGAGATAATAACGGTTTAGCTTTGGAGCCATTATCAGCATAGGCTCCTCTTTTTATGTAATAAATATCTTAAGCAATTATGGCCTACCTGAAATTTTGGGTTCAACGTCATTGGTACCAAGATCATTAACATCGTGTTAGGGTCCGGCATAAATTTCGAGGTGACGAGTGAGATCATTAGTAAGAAAAGAGCAAGGATGAACTTTAAGGTATTTGACCTTGAATTCTTGATCAACGCGCTGAAATTTAGATTCAATGATTTCAAGGAGAAATACATTTTTAGGTCTGGGTAATGTATAGAGTCTTGATTGTACCTTGTTTAATAAAGATAAATTTTTCGGTTGAGGTTCATTAATGTCCTTATGCATTATGGATAATCGAATCTTCGCAGCTGCCACTTAACTAAATGATTTGCAATTTTTTAAGTTTGGAAACTGTTTCAGGCTCTGCTATCTAAGAAAAGCATTAAGAATTAGAAAGGCTTATGATCTCTGAAGAAAACCCAATGGATCAAATGACAAATCTAATACAACAACTGAATCAATTGTACCATTCAATTTTTTGATTCAAAAGAAAACGGACTGTTCTGATAATATAGTTGTCGAGCAATGACGCATCAAATATTGGCTTGTTTGAGCAGTGCTCTGAGCATTTTTGCTCTCGATGCCATATAAAATATGTTATCCACGAATCTCTAAAAGACGCTTTATTATATTTGTAGTACCAAAAAACATGGAAGAGTAGAAATATAAGCACTTTATAATGAGAATGTGAGGTAAAGGAACAAAAAACTTGCTTAATGTCTATTCTTCGGAGATTGAAATCGGAAGGCAACTCCCGCTGTACCCAAAATCGAGCTTTTACTGAAGACGCAGTTATTTGGCTTTGGTGCAGTGACAAAAGTTGTAGATCTTTGATTTTTGAGTATTTTGGTATAAAGAAATACGCAGAAATGCTTACGAGGTTCTTCGTTTCTATCATACTATTTTCATAATACAATTAGCAAGTAAAGACTATCATTGAAGACTATAGTATTTGGCGCACATTTTGAGTATTTAATCTTGTCTATAGCTTTATTTTTTGTCTTGCAGCGTCAAAAAGAAGCTCAACGAGTTGTCAGCTTGGCGTTTTTGATGAGTAGTACCCTTTAGTTTTGAGAGATTTTTGGTCATTTTCTATTAGTTGCTTTTTTTGGTCCAAATAAACTCCAAAAGCACCGTGTATGTTAGTAAACATGGTCTGTAGGTGCCTGGAGCACCTATGCGCGTGCAAGCAAGTTTTGGCAATACCTTTACACGTATAAAAAAGAAGACGATATGTTTGAATTATGTACGCTCTTTATAAGTATAGTAAAACAATGATTCTTTCATTTGCTTCCAAATTGTTTTCAGAGCTTCTAAGAACTATTCACTTAATCATCTTTTAAGTATGTGCTCTACATAACAAGCAAAGATGTTTTGCTGATCTGAATAAGCCACATAACTGTAAAAAAGGAAAAGTCTGATATAGAAGTAACTATCATAAAAGCCTTCAGTCCATAAAACATAACTTGCCAAACCCACTTTCTCAAAGACAGCAACAAACCTTGTAAAAAAAAAAAAAAAAAAAAAAAAAAAAAAAAAAAAAAAAAAAAAAAAAACTAAAAGCCATATTTAAAATAATGTAAATATCCTTCGTGAACTTGAAACTGTTTTGATTGCATTCTTCTAATGATCAAATCTTTGTATATAGTCGTTGTAAACCATGCAACGAAAGCTATGCTTTCGCTGAAGATGTTGAGTCTTTCATTTTCGACAAATCAACAGTTTCAACACAGTCAATCGCATAACTGCTCAAAAATTTATATATCATCAGCCACCGTATTAAAGACATCCATAATAATTTGAAATGCCAAACACTAGTTATAAAGAAATGGACAATACTACGTGTAGTACTTTTCAACTGCATAAAAGCCATAGTGTTTCAGATGAAAAAAAAAAGAGAGAAAAAAAATGAAACCTTCTGCTTTAAAGAGCTTTTCTCATCATCAATATTAAATGAGATTCATATAAAACATGGATAACTGATTCATCACAAAAGAGATAGAAAGATCAAAAGAGACTATTTTTATGCACGTCTCGTTGAGAGATTGACAGCTAGTGCATGAGATCAACTGTAGAAATGTATGTTTGACAAGCTGTTATATTTTGGGCCATGACTTGTCCAAAATCAGAACAAATTTATCTCAAATACAAAGCATTAGAACCAAAAAGTATTGAAAACTTGGTATGCATTATTAGATTGTCATTCGTTAGAAAATTCTATTGAAAATTACAATGCAATAGACACATGAGATAGCTAATACGTAACATGGCTCATGACATTGCTCTAAATGGATTCCAATAGACATGGTACAATAAATAGTTCTATTTACTGCGAGAAGCTCACAAAATACAATGATTACATGTTCAGGGCGGTACATGCAACTATTGAGATGTCAAATACTCTTTGAAGATTATTAGCTTATGTACAACGACGGGGAGTCTTCTCCATTTCCAATGGTGTCGAACCAAGGTTCAAAAGACCTTGCTGGCAAAGCATACCATACATCACTCTGTTTTTACAAGTATAGTGCTGGTTCAGCTTCAATTCACTGGCTACTTAATTGAGTTCCTAGCGAAGAATGATTAGTGCTCTATAGCTAATCTTGCCGAGCAAATGCTGCAATCTGGGCTCATGGCCCACCAACACATCCACTGTGTTTCTCTCTTTGTTTTAATACGCCATGACCACTTTCTGCGCGTTGAGTTGTAGTGCATCCCATATGCTGAAGTCTTGAAACATAGTAGCCAGCCCATTTGTGCATAGTTACCTGCCATTCTTCTCCAAAATATTCTTTAAAATCAATTCTTTGATCTTCATTAGAAATTTAGACTTGTCGAACAAAAAATCATCAGTCTGTTTTAAAATAGACATATGTTCAACATATTTGGTGCAGTTCATCAAACCAAAAACAAGCTACTTAGAATTATCCCGAGCTCCGATATCCTTAAACAATGTGAGCTTGCATCGGTCATCAAGGTTGTTTGATAAATGCCAACGATAAAGAATTTTACTGTTTTTTTTTTTTTTTTTTTTTTTTTTTTTTCAAACACTATGTCCAATTAATTCGTCAATGCCTGGCATTTGTCAGTGACAAAAACAGAATTTTCGAGAACTCCACTGAAAACATCATTCAAAGCCTGCAAGAACCATTAATACTTTGGCTTTTTCTCATCACTAACCCATGCATAGGCAATTGGAAAGGTTGCAAGTCTTATGCCGCCTAAGTTGCTTACTCCATATGCACTGATGAGAGGCATCTTTAGATTGTTGGTTCCGTAGGTGGCATCGATGATTACAACTTCTGGGGACTGCTTCATTCTCTTGATCATTGCTTTGTTGGTAAGTAGATACCGTTCAAAAACTTAACTGCATTAAATTGATAGGCAACAAAGTTTTTGCTCTCCATTGCCTCAACCAATCTGGTTGCTTCTGTTTCAGAAGCTTTGGATACGGCTTCTGGCTTTTTGGCGAAATATTTGAGGTTGTTTACATAGTGGACAGTTACTTTGTTGTATTTATTCCCAATACTAATTGACTTTTGGATATCACGAGTTTTGGAATTTTGACCGATTCCAATGCTAATAGTTCTAGTCTCTTCAACTTCTAAGTTACTGTGGCGACCTTTATGTGTACTCAGCAAATTGGCTTCATCCAAGGGATGGTTGTGCAAAGTTTCCTCTTCACTTCTGGCAGGACGAAGTTCAAATCCTTCATTTTTGAGATTAGAGAGTCTCAGAAGGTAGGGATATTCATTTCGGCCAGTGAAAGCAAGTTTCTGTCGCTCTAAATCAACCAGTTTTCGGCTATCCTTATATTTGTTTCCTTTAATACACTTGAAATGCAATCTATTCTTGCCAGCTTTGTTGATGACAATAGTGAAATTATTGTTGGTTACGAATTGCTCGAGAATTGCTTTGACTGTCTTCTTTTCAGCTTTTTCCGAGATTTTAGGAAGATTATTTGATACTTTATACAGCTTATTGTGATCTATAGGATCATTTATGTTATTTTGGTAGTGATAAAAATATAGTCTTATTAAGAAGCGAATTTTTTCTTCAGGCCACCGTTTTTTTTTGGGAGGGGAGAAGGATATAACTGTCGGGGCTCTAAAACAGTGGCCCGTAAGAAAATTGACCAATTTTTTATACAGTATTTTCACTTTAAATTCAGACAATGTTAGTTTTTTCTAGACGAATCAAAATTAGCCTTTAGACTTTTAGCTTACCTTTTTTGGACAAAACAAAAAAGGAAATTAAATAACGATGCAGGATGATTATAAGCAGAGAGGTGAACACAAAAATTTGGATACACGTCAAATCATACTTTTAGTTGCTCAGGCTTTTTTTTTTTTTTTTTTTTTTTTTTTTTTTTGCTGAGCAAAGTATGTCTGTATTTTTCAGGTACTGGACAAAAGCCAGAGTTATTTTCAATTATTATAAAATACGCACAATTAAATAGACATGTATCTGTAGGGCCTCAAATAAAGATAAAGATAATACATCAGTGATTGAAACTCTAAACAAAAAGATAAAAAGCTGTCAGCTGTACTCTTTCTTCTTTTTTTCCCTTATGTAATCTCCTCTAAAGATAACTACAGTTAAAAGTCCTATTACTGGCATTGAGTGAAAAACAAGATACATTCCAAGTCTCAAATCTCTTGTACTTAAAGTACATACTCTCGTAACACATATTTATGCACTTTTGAAGTATATCTTTACGCAAGAACTTAAAAACAACATGGATTCTGCTTTACAGGACCTTGCCAATGTTAATTTCTTCAGAGAAATCTTTATTTCACTACTTGATAGCTATAAACCGGATAAAGCAAAACGAAAAGAAAAAGCAAGAAGTTACAAGGAACTTACCAATAAGCATCGAGATACCTATTGCCGACTCGCCTCTTATGTTCCAATCAAACTGAAATATGCGCAACAAATAGGAAGCTATGAAGCTACGAAAATCCACACTGCATACATGAATGGCGTCGCTCTTCGTTTCGGGAATAGATTGCGTATGTTTTTGAACCTACTGTTAAAGAAGCAGGAAAGAATTGGCGCTTTGAAAAGTGAAATGAAAAAGAAAAATTGCACAGAAAGCGAAATCTCTGCTGCGGTCAAAACCATAGCAAGCCAGTGCACCAAAGTGAAAATGAACATCTCTTTGAGGAACATCACTGAATTGCCAGCGCATCTTTTTAACTCACAAGAAGTCGGCATCCTTCAACAGTTTCTTGATTGCTACCCTTCTGACACTCACTTCAAGAAGAATTCTATTTATTATGATTGTAAAGCGGACCCATCGAAGCATTTGAAGGCATTTTATTATCTGACGCGATGTTCTGAATCTCTCTACAATAAGTCGTTCAACTGCTTTCCTCTGAGAAGAACATTCATAACTAGTTATATGACTATAGATACATATATTGTAAACACTCAGATTTTAAGAAACTCTGTCATTAGCCACTTAGACAAAGAAGTAATCTGGGGAGTTGTACTGAACATGAAATCCAAAGCTATGAAACCTCAATGAGACAATAAACAAATGAAGTTTAGAGGTACTATTTACACAGATGGTGTTGCCGTATCTATTTTGAAGCAGACCTATGACAGTAAGAAGAAAGGTTCTGGAGGCGGCATGCGAAATGATAAGAAGATAGAAGAAGACATTGCTTACATAGAAAGTCTGTCGCAAGAAAAACTTCGAGAAAGAACTTACAAAGATAATTGTGTTTTGATTGACCCCGGACGGCGTGATATGTTGTTCTGTATGCACGAAAGCAGTACCGTTGAAAAGAAAAGAACTTACCGTTATATGAGAAATCAAAGGAACATGGAAACAAAAACAAGAAAATTCATGAAACTTTGTGAAAGACTGAAACCAGAGGCCGTAAGCAATGCAGAAGCAATTCTTTCACGTTTAAAGTCATCCACAGTCATAAAAGATCAATACGTAGAATATATAAGACAGAAAGCTACCGTGACTCAAGTTCTTCAGGAATACTACTCGAATGAAGACTTGCCTTTAGAAGAACGTAATACTAATATTTTACCATTTCGAAAGCTAAAACTATCAAGCTACATTAATTGACAGCAATCTGACAAACGTCTTTGTAAGAGTATCAAAAAACATTTTAGCAACGATGCTGTTATTGTTATTGGTAACTGGTCTGCGGGAAATGTCAAGTTCCATGAACCGATTAGAGGAGTTGGCATGAGAAGAATGCTTCAAAAAGAAGGTTTTCTGGTACACCTGATTGATGAATTCAAAACGTTCAGTATATGCTCGGTATGTAAAGGTGATGTAGAAACTTTCAAAGAAGTCGTGAATCCAAGGCCCTTTAGAAGGGAAAAATATCCAACCGTAAAACGTCATGGTCTTTTAAGGTATGAAACTTTTAATTATGCTTAGTTTATTGATAACATTTGTATGTTGTCTAGGTGTAAAAATGAACAATGCTTGAAGGAAGGTCGTCGTCTTTGGAACAGGGACTTACTCGCCACCCTCAACTTTTGCGAGATTCTCTTTAGTTTACGTGCCACGGTGCAAGACCGATTTATTTTCAAAGATCAGCCAAGCAAACACCAAAAAACAACAAAAGAGACAATAACAAATCCGAAGTAGTTATCGCTGCTTTCAATCCATGATACAGGGTGAGTTCATTATTTTAATTTTATTTTTTACTTCATCTGAAAACTAATTTCCATCTTGTCTAATTTCCTTTTTCGTTTTGTCCAAAAAAGGTAAGCTAAAAGTCTAAAGGCTAATTTTGATTCGTCTAGAAAAAACTAACATTGTCTGAATTTAAAATGAAAATACTGTATTCAGCATGTACATTCATATCATTTATCTGGTATATTTGTCACTATATCGTAATCATTCTTTATTATACATGTATACTTGGTTTTCTAAATCTCTCTTATGTTACTCGTACTTTTACTTTTTCTCTAAAAAATAACGCTGTTTCTGATAATATGTACAGCATGCTAAGTCAAAGCTAAATAAAATGCGCCTTAAAATACTGCTTTCCTTTAACAGAATTGCTCATATCAAATCCCTAGCTTCAACGAAAACAATGTGGATGGCCAACATTCTTTTTCCGCTAATTGACAAAATCCATGGGCCTGATTCCTTTCAACTATGGCTAAGCTACAGTTGTTAGATTTGCAAATCTATTGTATCTGTCGCATGAAAAAATCTGTGTGACAATGACATAATACGTGTATGTTTTGCCAAGGCATTTCTACTCTCTTTTCTTTATTTATTTATTTTTTTTACTTTAAATTATACTCTGTATGCTCAGACTAAATAGCTTCTTCTCAAAAAGAGGCTTGCTTTGGCTAGCAATTCTCTCTCTGTTTTATTGGCTTCTTCGAGACTACCCAAACTGGAGAGCAAAACGTCAAAATAATGCTCCTCAAAATAACACTACGACAAAAGACCAAGACAAACCATCATCTAAAGATAAAGTGTCCTTAGTGCATTACATTTTAGTATCGCCCTTTGCAGCATTTTACATCATTGTTAGAATCATGCTGGATACAATACGCTATAGCTTGTATTATTTCTTATGGTCATGTGAAAAATCAATTCCTTACATAGACGATTGGCTATATGATTTCTGTACTAAGATTTTACCATACAAATACAGTCAAACAAAAGCATGGTGGATGACGGTTGGCAAGCCAAAATACATTCAATATAAGCAATATACACGAGGTCATCTTGTGCCGGCTACAATTCATGGTTTGGAAGTGTCTTTTATCACCTTGTATAAAGCTGGTTGCATATTAAAAACAGAATGGATGGGTTTTGTGGGGGCTTGGCATCGATTTATTCAACGCTATGATTGGCATCAGTTGGTTTTAGATTTGAGCAATATTGGATATAGGACATGTTGGGTGCCATTCACTTGGATAGTTTCTCGATCCTATCGTTTGTGTTTCGTTATTTATACAGGACTTCATTCTACGGCTACATCTATTATTCAAGAAATTCAATGGGTCCTTACAGTTGCCCTACCTTCTATGTATCATTATATGGCCTCCACACGGTTGGCCAAAGTGATCTCCGTTGCTTTTATCCTTATAAAACAATACGTCCAGTGGACATGTTTCAGCATAAGCCAGTATGTGTTGAAGCCTACTATTGGGCGATGCTTAGTTTGGACAGTCAAGGTCATTGACAAGATTATATCATTATTGCAACAAAACACAATTCAAGAAAAACTCACAAAATACTACCGTTTGTTGGCTCCTAGTATGGTTTGGGTCTTGAATGATTTAAGTAGTCTTATCAAAGATATCATCTCAGCAGCACTAGTTTTGTATAGTCAACTCGTTCTTCCAGCTTATCGATTGTTTATAAAGCATATCATACCTCGTTTATCCATTGCCTACAAATCAATGACTCACCGCCTATACCAATGGCTTGAATCTTATTTATACCCTGTCTGGTCTCAGTTAAGTCCTTATTTGAACAAGCCCTTGTATTGGATATATCTGTCTGCCCACACTGTCTTGAGTGTTTTGCAAAAACATCTGACTCAGCAGTTGGTCAACCAAATATGGACACTATGTTCAAGGTTGTTTGGTTTGGTATCCATCTATACCCTTAGATCCTACGAGATTACGCAACCATGGCTCATTGAGCAAGCTCCTCGCTTGGCCAACTTGATCCAACAATTGTTGATATCTATCAAGTCAATGTGTGATTGGCAATCATTAAGCAAGGATTTGACTACTTTGATCAATATACTTTATGATTGGATTGCAGAACAGTCTAATTTGATATATTTGTCATTGGAAAGGTCTTTGACAAACTGGGCCAAAGAACAGCATGAGATCAGAGAGCAGAAATTAGCTTAATTTGATTTTAGCGCCTATATTGCAAAATACAGTTTATTAGACCCATTTTTAAATTGAAACATGTCCGTTTGACGAATATAAAATAGAACAATTTTGCAAATAGCCCAACAACAAAAGCCTTGAATAAAAATAAATAAACTTGGTTATAAGCGACGGTTTTGCAATGAGTCAATCAGAGTATTTCTACACTTGTAGAATTGTCTTTTAAGCAACCATTGAAGCTATAGAGGATTCTACTAAGCTGATAAAATATACTACAAGGGAATAATGTCTTGCTTGATCAACTCAATTGATGAAGGAATTGTCAGCCTCAAAACAGACACATGAAAGTCTAAAACTACAATTGCTGATTGACCTTATCTTTATGTGAAATATACGTGTTTTTACAGCCATATAAAGATGAAATACCGTAAACAGAGACAAAAGAATTGCATTCAGGAGAGCCAAAGATTCTTCATAAAACGAATGCTAAATCGCCATAGCAAACATGACTCACCTTTTATGCATTTTATAGCACAGGTAAAATATCATTTTATTCATAAAACGAACTGTCATATCATCTAATTGGTTTACCAAGTTCCTTTCAATTCCAAGTAGTACAACTCTGAGATTTTCTGTAATGTATAAAAAAATTTTTCATATAGACTATACTAGTTTGGTTTTCTATACATTTTAGCATGTTTCCTTCTTTTCTTGCAAGCTTATGCAGAATACACTAATGCACATAGCAAGAAGAAATAAAGAGTGTGTTGCCAAACACTAAACTTTTTTTTTCCCACTCCTCGTACCATATTTTTTTAACTAATCAAAATCGTGTATTCAATAAATTATGAAACCCGATTTTACTACTTGGGCCTTAAAGAAGTTATACAGGCTAATGGTACGATTTTATGATTTGTTTGAGGCACAATAACTGTAACACAAGGTACACGTAGAAGTATAAATAATAATGAGTCTATTGAAATGGCATTAATTTTGCTCTATTTTATGAATTGAGATATAATCTAGTGCTGCCTAAAGCCAATAAACCAGTGTTGAAGAAGAAAATAGCTTGTATTTGCCTTATATAAGTCTATCCGACAATATCCCATTATGGTAATTTTATTGAAATATAAAAAAGAGCCTTCCTGTAATGATGTGATTGGAACAAATTGGAAAAATTTAGCATTGGTGATATCTTAAAAAGGAGAAGAATTCAGTCTAATTCTCAAACACATATGTAATTCAATATGGCGTAAAAAGGGATAAGGCAGGAGCAAAAGAGGAAATGAGCTACTCTTGGTGGAATTCCACTAGCCCAAGTCTTACCCTTTTTAAGTAATCGTATTCTAGACCCTAATTACACTTACAAAAATATTTTTCAACTCTTTTCTCATATTAACCCCCTCTCTCTCTCTCTCTCTCTCTCTCTCTCTCTTTCTCTCTCTTTCTCTTTTCTTTACCTCTCTTTTTTTCTTTTACTTTCTTTTTATTGTTCACTTCTTTCATTCTATATGAACAATCTATGCACATCATAATGTCAAACTACAAAAATTGGCAGTCAAATTCGACTTGTATGCTACTGTCTTTACCAAAAGAACTTTTATTAGAAATTATCACCTGCGTCGCTTTGGAATCGACTCATCATCATCAATTGTTCCCAACGTCATTATTAGAACTCTCTCAATGTTGTAAATATTTATATCACCTTGTACATAAAGACCCTTGGAAGTCACACACCCTATGGCCTCGCGCATTTCAACACCGTTTTGATACAACTGCCATTTATCGCCGTAGATTGAATCATACACTTAACTGGAAAGCTGTGCTTCAAAAGCGATCTATAGCTCTTTATCAATGTCGCTCATTTGCTCTCCAGCCGAAAAAAATCGAACTGTTAGACAAGATTGATTGGGAAATCATATGGGACATATTAACTGAACATGGTAAGTAGCATGTTTTGGTATGTATTAATATTTACACCTTTTTTTTTTTTTTGATAGATCAATACAACATTCCCCATCTTTTAGACTATCGAGTTGAATATGCTGCTGGTACTCTATTTCAATTGGGTCTCTACCGCGATCGAGAAGTTTATCCTGTGGTGTTACCTATTCTGTCTTTGCTTGTCAATTATGGCAAGTATCCTACATTTAAAGAAAAGTTCACCAATCAAAACTAACCCACTTTTGTAATAGACTTTTCAATCACTCGATTCTTTTGTTCAAAAGATGTCATTGTATCAAACGAACTAAGTCAATTTGCCTATAATTTTGAAGCAGACGCCCTTATTACACAACATACGCCTCTCAGATATTTCCATTCTTGGACTTCTCCGGTTGATCAGCAGCAACCACAACCACAACCACAACAACAACAACAACAACAACAACAGCAAACATTAGTTAATACTTCATTTTATCCTGCCCAAGACCCATTAGCCTCTGTATTCCACCTTTTCTTCACCACTATTTTTGCCAACCATCCCAATATTTATCAAGCTATTCCTGGTTGCATTCCTATTCCTCTTTTCCCTTTACACTCTGAATTATTTGATGTTGAATTCTTACGGCGTTATGAAAGAAACTTGTTTTTTGCTAGTTTACAAGAATCCCGACAAGGCTGGGAAGATAAACAAAAACGCTCCATTGAATCTCGTCCTACTATCTTGAGCAACATCTATGCTGACTCTGGTTTTGCTTCTGCTAGCTATTTTGTGAGTGAAGCCCATCTGATTGAAGGTGAGTGGATGGGCTACTATACTTTTCAAGACTCCGATGACTCAGAAGACAACAACAATGGTAACAGTAGCAACAGTAGCACTTTAAATCATGCCGCAACCGATTCAAATGCCGCTGAAGACTGGTTTGATGGTCCTATGCGTATTACTATTAAAATCGTTCCTCTTGAAGACGCCTCTGGTGAACCTATTCATCAATCCTCTTGGCTATCTCGATGGCTCAATGATGAAGAGGACGACAAGATCCAGGAGCCCAATGTAGAAGAAGGCGAGCCACGAAAGAAACGAAAGCTAAACAACAACAGTATTGCCACTTCTATCAATTTCTCTTCATTGCCCTCTTGCTCTACTCAATCAAGAGACCAATTTCCCTCTAAACATCTCAAGACATGCCCCTTAACTCGATTTGAAGGCACTGGTGTTGATAACCTCGGTAATTTTACTGTCACTGGGCTAGTAGATGATACTGAAGAAGGCCAAGTGACATGGGAAAAAACCTATATAGACTCTGGCGAAACATGGGAATATTCTGGCCGTTTTGCTTGGCCAATGGGTCTTTTTGGCCGATGGGGTGACGAAGAATATGGAGGTCCTTGGTGGATGTGGAAGGTTTCTGATAATGAAGCTAATCTACCTACTATTTCTACTGCAACTAAATAATAATCATCATACCCTCTTGTAATATTAACTAATCATACTCTACACTTTCTTCTATAATAATTACATAAGCTATTTCTTTTCTGAATTTACCTGACTTGCGGAATAAATAATTATGCACTAAAATTATCTAATGTAATAAAACTTAACTATTGGTTTATTTCAAGTTGATAAGGAGGGGGGGGGAGAGAGAGAGCAAAGAACAGGGGCTAAATGTGTCTATCCTTTTTAGACCATTGAGATAATATGATAAAAGAAACAATTGTTTCAATCTATGATTATCAGAGAAATGGATACTCTTGAAGATGTTCTTTTTTTCAGAGAGACAAAGTCTTTTCCCTTGTGGCCCCTGATTTTAGCATTTCAATTTCATCTTTGCTTACTAACTTGCAGAACGCGCGCGCTCTTTTTGTATGTAGCACAAGTGGATATAATTAGCAAGGTAACTTTTTGTAACCACGCAGCTCAGCTGCATTCGGTCACATGAAGCAGCTTAAATGAATGCATCCTTGCTCATCAATACAACTTACTTTATTCTTCTTGATGATACAACGTTACATGAATGAAGTACTAAAAAAGAAGGAATTATGCATTGTATATTACATATAGTGGAACTTTTACTTTTATAGGCATGGAACACTATCTAAAATTGACAGGTTTTATACAAGCACATCATCTATACTTTCTTGAGGATTTATCTATCCTAGAAGCAAGCCTTTGTTTTCATGGGAAATATACGTAATGGAATTCCAGTTTTCTGGTTTATCAAACACAAACCCTGAGTAGCTTGTATGTACTATTCTGATGCTGTGTAGTATATCAAATGTAACCACAGTGCCACACCACAAATTAAAGGCCAGCATAAACAAGTCAGAAAGATAAAGAGACCAATATCAGGCCATTGTTGATCTTGAACAAAATCTAGAAAGAAAATATGTAGCCTGATACAAACACACGAGGCGAAGCATTTCTATATACTTCTTTAAATACATATACGTTTTCATCTCTTTTTTTTTCCTTCTTTAAGAAAAAAAAAATAATAATTATGATTAGTTCAATACGCTCTCTTGTTTCTGAAAATAGGAAACGATATATTGATAGAGATGTTAACCTTGATTTAAGCTGTATGCCTTGTATTACAACCTTATTGTTTTTGCTGATCAACTTTTTTGTTTTAGACATCACGGACAGGATCATTGCAATGTCATACCCTTCTGGTGGATTAGAAGGTTTGTACCGAAACTCACTTGCTCAAGTCAAAAGGTAAGAAAGCATTGTCTTTTTGGCTGTTATTTACATGAATTCAAAATAGGTTTCTTGATACTAGACATTCAGGGCATTATAAAGTGTATAACTTGTAAGGCTATGTTGTATAAAAACATATCTAACACAGGGTCTACATAGGCGGCGTGAAAAGCAATATGATTTATCAAGATTTGAAAATGGTATAGAGATCTATAAACCATACAATTACTCATATGCCTTTATAGCTGCCAATTACCCCTTTCTAGATCATCAAGCACCTCCATTTCATGTTCTAGTTGAATTCTGTTCAGATGCAGCAGCATGGCTGCAAAGTGATCCAGATAATATTGCGGCCATTCATTGTAAAGCAGGCAAAGGAAGAACAGGCACAGTCATTGCTGCCTTAATGCTCCATACTGGACTAGCAAAAGATGCGACAGAAGCCATTCAAATCTATGGTGAAAAAAGAACACATAATATGAAGGTAATATCATTGACCAACTTATTCTATTGACTCTTTTTTTTTTTTTTTTTTGTTATCAACAGGGAATCACAATTCCAAGTCAGATTCGTTATGTTGAATATTATGACTTTATGTTAAAGCACGCAACTCTTTATGAATCAAATAAAGACAAGTCTATTCGCCTTGCTCAAGTTGTAGTGCATGATCTGCCAGAAAGCCTAAAGAACAATAAAGAATTTGTGCTACGTGTCCATCAAGAAGATGGGGTTTGTATCCATTATGAGAAATCAACCGAGGTATTAAATCATAGAAAAAAAAAAATGGCATGATAATTTAATTTTTAATTTCTAGAGCGAAATTGATCGAACACTTGATACGATTTTGATAAACACAATGTCAAATCAATGTTTCACAGGTGATTTTCAAGTTGCTTTTTTAAATGTAAGTGATAAAAAAATGCTTCATTATTTACTGACTGATATTATCAGACAAAGGGAAAGATTCTGTTTAGTTTCTGGTTAAATGCGACTTTTGTATATATCATGTCAAACAATGTAGTCTATCTAAAGAAAGAGGATATAGACATTGCTTACCATGACGAAGCATGTAAAGAGTTTAGGAGAGACTTTTCAGTAAATCTCACGTTTTCCAGAGAAGATTTGATGTAAATAATAAACCTATTTTTATTAAATATCACCAAGATCTAATTCATCATATTTGGGTCCTTGAGATTCAGTGCGTGCAGATTGTTCTTTTCTGTTCTGCAAGTGTAAGAGAGTAGCGCGGAAATGACGGCGAACATAGCCAGAAATAGGTCCTTCATGTTCTATAAGAGCAGAGGAAGTAGCAGTGGGAGGATGTTGATCAGGATTGTCCATATTGCCAAAGTTAGTGTTGATTAAATCAATCAAACCATTCAAATACTTGACAGTAACCTAATAGAAAGTCAATAACACAACAGCAACAAAAAGATATGTATCACTTACTGCATCATTGCCCTTTTCAAAATAATAGACATATCGATTAAGGATTTCAACAAACAACTCTACATTTGTAACAGGGTCCATACAGCTGTCAGCAATCTTCAATGCCTTTTGCAGACATTCAAGTGCACGTTTGCCATCTCTAAAAAGACCCTTTTCATTCTCAGGTACATCAGCTTCAACACGGTCAGTAGCCCACCAAAGATGAGAAGAAAGATAGACACCACGGCATTGATCAGGCTTCTTGAGCAACTTGGAACTGTGAAGTGCAGCCTTAGTGATCAATGTATCATAATTATCGACTGAGAACACACGAGTTTGTTGAAGTGCACCAATGATACAAGTAATGGCCTGGAATTGAGCGCGAGATTCAGAAATGGCTTCTTCATAAATAGTAAATGCTTCCACAAAAAACTCATAAGCAATTTCCTCAAATCCGCATTCATCTGCACTTTGACCTGCTAACAAAAACAAGTGAAGACAGTTGTCAGCTACTTCACATTTGTGATACAAAGTAGAAATGACTTGGTGAATGAAACGGAAGAGGGTAGATGTCTTCTTTTCCCATATTTCATCTTGTTCTTCAATGTATCTATAGCGTCGAGCGAGTTTAACAGCAGACACAATCAAAGGAGGGAAAGTATAACGAATACGATCACCACCATCACCGAATTGCTTTCTAGCGGCAGATAGTAGCTAATAGACGATGAATATTCAACCATGAGTCCATACAACTTACTAAGAATTGTGTATCTTCACTATTAGATCTAAACAAATGAATCATTCTAGCAAGTAAACCTTGCTTTTCGGCAAATTCTTCTTGTTCATAACTCAATGAGCCAGCTCTTTGTCTACCACCGTATGAGTTTTGAGAAGCAGCTGAAGCAGGCACAGGGGAATCCTTTTGGTCACGCAACAAGACATCACAGAGATCCAAAATACCATGTACATCTTCAGGGATATCGATCATAGTAGCATTCTTTAATACACTGTTGACAACGGCATAAGCAGTAGCTTGGCGTGTACCATAAGGTTGAAGAGCTAACAAGGGTTGATAGTTTGCCAAGGCCAATAGATACAAGACGGAGCTATAGTGTTGAATAGGGGCTAAAAGCAAGGCTAACAAGTTAGCCTCTGTAGCCTTGGAATGAAGATCAGGAGAATCAGAGTACTCAAGCACCTTGTCTTTAGCATAAGCAAGGATTTGATCAACATAGTCTAATTTTTCAGGGTAACAAGACAATGAAAGGTTGATCAAGGAGACAAGAAGGGCAGTCAAGTCTTGAATTGTTAAATCAGGACGAGCCTTGACAAGCTCAACAATTTGACCCCAAAAGACAATAAAGAGTTCAACATCTTGAGGAATACCACGGACTTTCTTAACATCTTCCTTTTCTTCTTCTTGTTCAGCAATATCACCTGTTTGAATGTCTTGCTTGTCTTCCAATTCAACTTCTTGTAATTTGTCTTCAATCTTTTCTTCGGCTTGTTCTTCTTGTTCAAGGATCGCACTGGTTTCATTCTCTTCCTCTTCTTTTTCTTCTTCTTCCTCTTCTTTCTTCTCTTCCTTTTCTTCGTCCTCTTCTTCTTCTTCTTTTGCCTTCTGTTCTTCTACCTCTTCCTGTTCTTCTTCTTCAGGTTGAAGTCCTTGAAGTTTTCTCTTCCTTTGATTAGCAATACGACGAATATTAGCTTCTCTTTGTTTCTTGGCTTCATTAGGCTCTTCTCCTTCTGCTTCACGAGTAGCAAAGGCAGCCAGACGATCAATCAAAGAAATAATAATTTGCTTCACATTTACTTTGGGATGTAATTGAGCAGTAGCAGACAAGAAGGGTTGAAGTGTACGAAGATGGAATTCATCAGGAAACACTTGAGTAATCACTTCCATCAAGTATTCTTGAGCAATCACATCACGACAACTAACAACTTGGTCCAAAATACCAGGAAGAATGTCTCTTTGGTATACTTTAAGATCAATATCATCCAATTGACTAAGACGAACAAGATTTGTGCCAACCAAGATACGCAATTCTTTACGTTCTGCTTCACGCTTCTCTCTATCACGAGAATGACCTTGATGTTGTAAGCGAACCCATAGTTTGTTCATTTCAGTGAAATTGGTCAAAATAAAGTTAATGGATTCAAATACATTGCCTTCAGGTCTATGTCACTTTAAGTCAATCTTTTTTTTTTTTTTTTTTTTAGTCTTCTTACCCATCTCCTTCACCTACAGGCAAATAATCACGCGTCATACTACTGAGATAGTACCGAAGAAATAAACCACGCACTGGGTGTTGAACACCTCGAGTCATTTCCATCATATCTCTCATAATTTCACGTACAGGTGCATCAGGCATACTCATATAAGCAGAACCCACTGTAATCATAAGATAAAGACGAGGTACAATGTTGCCGGCATATTGTACCAACTCATACAAATCAGCCAAATGATGACGACCAGCAGTATGAGCCTCGGTAAGGAAGGCAGTCAAGTGTCGCATAGCATCAAAGATAGACATATCTTTTTTTTTTTTTTCTTTATCAGCATCTGTATAAATAACTTGTGTTTACTTACAGAGTTCATAGTAGTTCTTGGGAGTCAAGGCAGACGTACGTAATTCAGCAAGCATGTTGGAACAATGCTTTAAACCGTCCATTAACTTGTTGTTTTCCTATAGATAACATTAGACTTTTCTTTTTCCCGGGAAAAAAGAAACACGCTTACCAAACATTTTTTCATAAGATGAGCTTGTACTTTGACTACATTTAATACTTCATCAAGAAGTTTAGCTTGATCCTCTATAGGAGCAGGACTCATTAGCGAGCTACTCATTATTACCAAAAAAAAAAAAGAAAGAGATAAAGAGAAAGCTGGAAATTAAATAATCATTTGATTGGATAGTGTAACACAATTGTGTCATAGACTTTATTCTCTTTTTTTATTTTTTTATTTATTTCTCTTCATGCTTGTCCTTCTTTTCCATGTCTTCCAATGCCTTTTGAATACGCTCATCATTCTTATCAACACCTGGTAAAGAACCCAAGACAGCAGACATCATTTCTTCATCTTCTTGATTATCATTCATAGACATGGCTAGTGCTCTTTGAAGTGCATCATCTTCATTTAAATCTTCCATATTCTCATCATCTTCTTCTTTTTGTGGGGCATCATTCATAGACATGGCTAAAGCTGCTTGAAGTTCAGCATCTTCTTCATTTGCGTGTGAGTCAACTGCCATGGAAGAAGAAGATTCAGCTTCTTTTGTATTACTACTGCCTGCATTTTTTGCTGCTTCTGCTTCTTGACGTGCTTTTTCTTCTTCAAGAGAGATACGCAAAGCCTGGATTGGGTTAAATCAATCAAATCAGGCTTGTATACTTACCAATGCAAGTTCAGGATCAAGACTAGGATCAATACCAAATTCAAAATCACCACCACTACTACCACCAAAGTTACCAGCAGCACCATCTTCGCCTGCAATAATAGGTGTAGAAATAAGCATATCGCTCAAAAGATGAGGTCCAGGTGGAATAGTGACAAGATGACTGTTATCACTGTTGTTGACATTGTTGATAAAGGCTTCCAATCGAGATGTGTTCTCGGTTTCTTGACCAAAATTGATCACATCAACGGCAACGTTGTTCTTTTTGAGCTTTTTAGCAAGTTTGACTAATGTCTTTTCATCAGCTTCAATAGGACTAGCTACAAACACAATGATTCTTTGACGTTGATTTCTGTTTTGTCTATGCTTTAAAGCGAGCTACAAATAAATGAATATAAACAAGCTCATAAGATAATGACATACTTGTGCAATTTGAACACTTGTCAAAAAGTTAGGCTTACCACCTGCTTTGACGGCATGCAAAGCACTGAGGATTTTGCCAACATCAGTAGTCAAAGTGACCAAGACTTCAGGTCCCTTTCCAGCTGCTGTCATGAGACCTACTGTATTTTCTGGATTGGATTGTGTTTTAGAGGAAAAGATAAGATTGACGGCTTCATTTTGAGCAACAAGACGTGTTGGTGAGTAATCACCATTACGCATCCACTCAGAATTATCAACACTATGTAAATGTAAGTACATTTTATACACAAATCTATGTGTATATATATATATATATTGAAGTTGAGTAATTACACAATCATTGAGGCTTCCATCACCATATTGCAAAAAGAAAAGAAAAGAAATAGAGTTGTATGTGTAAGAGAGAAAAGTAAAAAGGAATTTATTTGTACGCACACGCGTACAGCTTAGACTGCGTCATTTTCGGAGTTACAATATGAGAAAGAAGATGGAATGGTGTTAAAGCGTTGTTGGCTAACTTCCGCGAACGTCTACTCCTGACAGACAAAGTACCAAAAGAGGGAAACGCGCATCAGCATTGTCTTGAAGGGACGCACAGTAGACCTTTAGGGATTATTGGTAAAGGATTTCACAAACATTACCTGTGTTTCTCTTTGCCAACACTGATAGGTTTGTTGTGAGGAAAGAGCCAACAGAACTAAGCTTTAGCAATGAGGCTTATCCTCTGAATTCTACTACAAGGTTACTGATTTGATATGACTAGTACTATACACAAATCTGCTGTCTACTGTCTACTCCAAGGTGTCTGCTACAAAAGGTCTACTACAAAAAGTTTACTATTTACTGAGCAATGCTTGCTCTTTACTATTTAAAAACTCAATTAATACCACAAAACTACTGCCATTGCTTTACTGAAACAAAACTTTTTATGCATATACACATAGTTATGACACAGTAAATAAAAGTTGGCCCTCGTCTACAACAAACTAAAAGACTTTATCACTATTTAAACCATATTAAAAAGACTTGCCTTATCACAAAAAAAAAAGTTGCCAACTGTTTGAGTATAGTCATATATGTTATTATCCTTTAAGTCTCTGCTTCACTTGTTGAGAGCGATAGTATGCTTCCTTGCTTTACAGTTAGGACTCGGCTTTGACTAAATTTTATAATGATATTTTCAATATGTTACAACATTGCACTTTACTTTTTTAAATTAATGTCTGATTGCCAGTTTCTTTTCTTTTCTATCTTTTCTTCTTCTTTCTATAAGCTCGATAAAAACGCAATTGTTGGTATAGAGAAACTTTCAAGCTTAATATGCAAGAAATTTAATTCAAGCTCCGGGTCTTTTTGCATATAGTGCTCATCGTTTATGCTTTAGGGGACTTATGAAAATCATGCAATGTATATAAAAAGGCATGAAAGTGAGATCTATGTGGCTGTATGTATTGACAGATACCTCTATAATTGGTCTTTCAAATACAGTGTTGATGATACTGGCATGTCTTCAATAGGGGTAAAAAAAAACACTGTAGACTAGCGCAGATAAATTATTTCTACAGCTAAAATACTATCATTTCACATTTCTGGCAGGCCTGATGACATTTGAACATTGAACTATGTATCTAGAATGCAATAGCTATCGAAAAATTACTTTTGTAATGTTTTTTTGCGTTTGGAGGTACTTGAGGTCTCTCTGGACCTGCATTTTGATCAAACGTCAAGAAAATATCTGAAGATGCATCAAGATGAACTCTGGTCAACTTGGTGTCCCAAGTAAAGTGGTTTTTATTTTAATGCGTAAAACGCAGACATGTAGCAAAAACGCGCTAGTGACTAAGACTAGTTTTGAGATAACGCGTAAAATAGTATATATTGTTTTACACGCGTCGTGTACGTTTTTTATATGGCTTTTTTAAATCTAACATTCGGGGTATATTTGTCTAAGCTAGATAAGCATTTCTCACTATAGGTCGTTATAGAAAAAGTTGCTTGTGTGATGAGCTACAAGCCATTTTCTGTTTTTGATGTAAAAGTGTAAGGGTGTCATAAGGCATGTTGAGTCAAAAATGGCTTTCATGTTTGAATGATTCAAAATTACCTCTTGGTGGTTATTGATGCTAGAAAACATATCTTGTAGATTAGTAAAAGCTTGATCCGTTCTAAAACGAGCATGAATGTCTGTTTTTACTAGTAAAATAGAGCAATGTTCCTTTTCTTCATCCTCTTTTTTAGGTTTATTTAGCTGGTGATTGATATCTTTTGATTTGTCTTATAACTCTCCTAACCCTAAGCTAATTCATTTTCGATTGATTGTATCTGATTTTAGGGCATACAATGCATAAGCTATCTCTTATGTCTGTTGCCCTGAATTTCAGTAGGATTGACCTATAAATAGCCATTCAAATATTCATGCCAGCTCTTTGTTGGTTTGTAACTCTAAGATTTTGTATTTGAGGTGAACTGACTCTAATTTTGGGCATTCTACAGCTCAAAATACATTAGTTTGACATTGTTAAGCCTTTTTTCTTCTAGTTCTCAAAGCCGGCTTGCGATGTCTAATTAAAAACAACTCATTTTATGGAAATTAGCATTTTGGAAGCTTTACTATTGAATGCATCCCTATAAAAGATGTATTTCGAGGATAACAAATAAAATGCTTACGAAACAAAATTGTAACTGCAGAAAAGAAGCAAATAAAAGTCCAATGTGTTAATTAGTTGATTTTGGTTTAATATTCACCGAAACAGCACTGTTACTGAAGTATTGGATATATCTTAAGGTATACGAGGATTCTTTGATTTATCAGATAAAGAATGTGGTAATACTTTCTCCCGCCTCATCACTGAATTCTTTTTGGCAAAGGGACTTTAAAAAAAGTACGAGCAATTGTGTAACGAAACACTCTATCCAATGAAATAAAAGAATGATCTCGCCATCTTCCTGATAGCTAAGTGGGTAGCAAAATGAAGCTATTGCAACTCCAAAAGAAAAAGGCAAAAGATATCTTCTTTTTCTCTCTTTCTTTTATTTCTCTTTCACACCTTCACCTTCTTACTTTTTTTTTTATAACATACATGCTTTATTGAAGATATATAAAAAAAAGGAGAGGAGGGGGGATAAATAGATTAAACACGATTTCCCCCGATAGAGTAGAATGAACAGACACCGCTGCTTCTAGCCCTACCAGTTTTTTCCTCAAATGTCTTACACATTTGATAAGGTGGTGTATACAAATGAAGAGAGACTGCTCCCTTTTCTTTGCTTGGATTAGAGATACGATGTAAACCTATTTTGTCTTGATGTTATGTTAGTGACTGATATTTTTATTTTTTTATTTTTAGTTTCTTACCATGTACATAAGTTACTTGATTTGGCTGGTAAATTGTATCTCTTGCGATGGCCAATGGTTGTCCATTGAGCTCATTTGTGTCATCAAGACTATTGGCTGTGATGTCTTGTTGAGGACATTCTTCGCTATCACCTGATTCTGGCCAACCAAACAGAGTTTCCTGTAATTCTCCGTCAAGTATTTTCATTACACAATGGGAGCCAGCATGGTCATGAATTGGACTATAGAGTTGAAACAAGATTTAGAACAAAACACACAAGAAAAATTCTCACCTTTTTTGGCCTCTGCTCCAAGCTAAGATCATCAAATTAAACTAGCAAAAAGTTAATATGACAACAATAACAATAACAACAACGAACGTACTTTGCCATTGCCATCATCAATCAGATTTCTTGTATAGGCTCTTGAATGGTCAAATAACGTATATTTACTCCAGTCAGCAGCATTTGAACTGTATTTCTCCATCAGTCGAATAATTTCATTCGCATCAATGCACTCAGAGTCAAGCCCATCATCACCTAGTACACGATGAATAGATTGGACAAGTGTATCCAATGTCATTTCTTTATTATCAACATTGGATTGAACAGCATAAGATTCAAGCAAAAGAGGTTCTTGAGGAGGAGACATTGAGAAAAGAAGATATTGAAAAGAGAAAAGAAAAAGAAAAAGAGGGTGTGGATGAACGGATTTATATAGACAACTTGTTGAATCAAATGCCGCTTTCACCGGAAACTACTCTATCTCTTTAGGAAGACGGGGGCTTAACATACACTCAGAAGAGGGGGGGGGCAGAGAGAGAGAGTATATCCCCCAAAAGATAGTGCGATTTTTCCCACCCTTATTTCTGCAACAAGAGACTTCTTTGTTTATTTGTGAGAAAATAAGCCTTATTTTAACAAACTAGAAGGATCCGTTATTTGTGAAATAATGTCCAATGTCAAACAAGAAAGCCTAAAATAAGGAGAAAATCAGATAAAGTGAAAAAGATAGCATTGTTTTTTTCTTTTACCATTCAATTTGGTCTGGTTGAATCATAGACTTAGCAGCCAGTTTAATTTCATCAAACCGTTGTTCAATTCTTTGTTTATAGCTAATAAACGGAACACCTTGTCGATTAATGCATTGCTAATTTAGTCAGTACAGATAAAATACATCCTATATACATACATAGAGTAAAGCTAATTGATAAGCAAGGTAATCATGTTGAGTTAAACTCAAACTATGATAGAGTCGAGAGGCAGTCACATACAGTTGGTCAAGATAAGCAAGTGCATCATGTTTTGTGCGTTCCTGAGATATATCAAGCTGTATTCCTGCTTGCAATTTCATAGCAGTTTCTTGGAGTTGCTGTTTTACGTGTTTAAATCCTAGGCAAGCAACTTATTTTATTCTTACTTTGATCATAGTCTCTTGTCCTTTTCCTTTCATTTTCCAGTATTCTATCTTGGCCAATACCAACTGAAGATCATTTTGCAGCCTAAGTTTATCCTGTTCCTCTTGTTTCTTTAAAATAAATGGCTCATTTAAGCGTATTTGCACTAGTGAACAATAAGATAATGTCATGAAAACAAAGGAATACCTGGAATAATAACAGGCTTTGTTATTGTTCTTATAGGTGTAGTATTCATGTATATATATAAAAGAAAAAGAGAATATATCACATGATGGTTTATTTTCTTCTTTTGTCTCTATTTACATTAGATACGCCAGCATTACTTCCAGATCGTTTCTATTCAGTCTATAAATACAACATGTCAACTATATAATTACTTACTCTTGCAGTGGGTGTACCATCTCTTCCTTTCTGTATCTTCACTTTATGTTCAGCTTCTGTCTTGTCAACCACTTTTTTCAATTCAAGTAGATTCAAGATTGAATTCTGTAGGTTTTCAAACTTTTGACATATCTGACTTGTGGGCATAATAGGACGAGGACCAATGCCTAATTCTTCCAAGATTTTAATGACCTTGGGTTGCATTGTTGGCTTCACAATAGGCAATTTCTGACTTCGGACATAAACACCAGGCGTAAGTTTTTCTTTCTTAGGTTCATGAACTTCGGCTAAGGACATACTGGGTAAGAAACAAATAGTAGTATGGTTCACATACCTGTCTTTTTCTTTTTCTTTAAATCACTTGATCCACCTGCTGTTCCTCCTGTGATGCCAATACCACCAGGAGAAGAACTCAAAATACCACCAGGACTAGCATTTAAAGGTGTATTAGGTGTAGAGGGCATTTGTTGAATTTGTTCTAATTGCAGCGAGTTTAACAGACTCTCTCTTTCACGTGATAATCTTGCTTCATTCAAGGCAATGCGCTTTGCTTCAACAAACAGAGCCTCTTCTTCTTCTACTTGTTCTTTGGTACGGTTGAACAGCATGATCAATGCATTCTTTCTCTCTACTTCTTTTAATTTATCAAATGCGTATTGTTGAGCCAATGTTTGTCTATCAGATACATAATCGCCTGAAATAGGTCCTTTGCCTTGAAGAATCAATTTTCGGTAGACAGAGTAATATCGATCTTTCAAGTCTTCCATTGTTCTTGGTTTAGATTCAAATTGATAACGATCCTCGATAACTGGGAATCGTAGGTCATATTTACGGCATAAATCAAACAAGTAATCTGTTTCTTCTTTACTCCAGTCTGTGTCTATGTACTTGTGTTAATTTTCTACTATGGCGAGTCATAAATACTCAAACCTGTAAGGTACTTTTCATAGTCTTCGTCTGAGTATTCAAGTATATCAATCACTTTATTAAACTTGGCAAAAGGATAATCTGTAGCTAGAGATAAATCACTTGTTTCATGCTTTGTTGCTTACTTGCCTTGATTATCTGCTTCACTTGCTTTAACCCAATGCGTTAATACAAGATCATCTACTCTTGCAGGGTTTATAAACGGTTGCTGTTTCCTAGCGTGATATCAATATAATCATGGGTATTCATGAGGTCATACCATGGTGTTGCTTTCTTTTTAGTCTGGTATTTTGCTTTGAATGTTGGCTTAACAAATGCTACAGGTGGTGTGCCTCCAATAAGCGAGTATAGTTCCCTACTGATGCCATCTGTAATACATTAATATATATATATATATATACACATATACAACGTATTGGTTATTCATTCATGTCTCACCTGGTCTCTTTTCAGCAACAGGTTTTGCTTTTTTAGGGGCTGGTTCTGTAGGCTGGTTGATCTGTAAAATGTCGCGAATATCTGAACTGCTCATGAGTGTATCTTAAAGCGGAAAGAAAGAGAGGCAAAAAGAGAAAGAGAAAATGAAAAGAGTAGTCACGCTTGTGATCCAACAATAGCCTTACTATACAACAAGGAGTCCATTCCATTGAGCTTGATTGATAATAAACTTGGCTTTGGTAAAACAGTGTTTCGATACTTGTCATAGAAAATTACAATCTCTCACAGAAAAAGAAATATAGTTTGCCCTTACACTATGCCTTTTTCCATTTGACCCCTTCTTGATAAACTAGATACTCAAATTTAGCCTGAATAATCTAGTTGCTTATTTCCAAGCTTTTTTAATTTAGTTTCAGGAGCAGTTGATATTAGAACTGATATGTGATTTTGAACTCAATGAAAACGAGATATTGTTTAGACTGCCTATAGCCTTGAAAGCATGATAGGATAGGAGAAAGAGGATTCTAAATACCGAATAAAGCAATGACGGGTGACAATAAATCAATACGAATGACTATCTTTTCATACTCCTTGCTATAAACAATGCTTATCAATGCAAAATGTGAGATGTTTAGAACAGCAATGAATTTCTAAATAAATTAGCTGTTATATTCTCTGAAAATAGCCTGCAATGTTCTGTCAAGTTCAAACAAAGATACAAAGTTCATTTAAGCCATAGAAAAAAGAACTACGTGATTCTTAGAGACATGTTGTCACTTACCATCCATATTGATAGTAGCAGAACTGTCATCAATCTTATGCACTCTTCGGTTTAGGAATTGTTTGAAATGGGAAAATGCGGGAAACGTTCTACCGAACAATATTGCCAGAGCTGACAATCGGTCACGAAACATAGTTGCCTTCTTGTTCCTTACAGAAATACAGTCCTTATTCAAGCCATAGAAAGTACATTCCACTGTTCTTGTTGCCTTCTCGGTTCTGTTAACTGGGTGGACTGATTTCTGGAAAGAAAAGACACAGGTCTGGGACGTATTATACTTGTTTGTGATGCATGCAATACTTGTGCTCCCGAGTAGTTTCTGCTTCCATTTTCCTCCATATCGTCTATGCCCTTTTATCTTTGAGCCTTGATCTCCAACAAATAAACAAGCCTTTGACTTTTTAGGACCTATTCAAAATGACACAATTAATACCAATCACACGCTATCATGAATAGTTATTACCTTTTTTTGTACGAACTTCTTCTCTTGACTACATATCTTTTTAGGTGGACACGGGTATTCTGCAGTTTATTCCCTCTGATAGCATTGGCTCTTTTAATAGAAGCATAAATCCAACCCTCTCTTATTGTTGGTGATACCCTCTGAGTGACTGCGGTTATTTTTTGTGTATTTATTGACATTCAACAATGCTGCTTTCTCTTTTTCGTCTTCTTCTATGACAAATACACGAACCTTAAAAAAAGATACATGCCATAAATATAATAATATACCCTCTGAAATTATACTGAGTATATTATCTCAGTTGGATTCGAGTCAAGACTTACTTTGTTGTGCTCAAGTGTGCAAGTTATGGAGTTATTTTGCTGTAGAACTACTTTGGTATAAACCGAACTTGGATAGTCGAAAAGACCCTTCTACTTGGAATTCATTCTTTAGTATTCTTCAAGCGGGAACAACTACTTTTCCTTATGCTTCATTTATTCGACGCATCAATCTATCTCCTCTTTCGTCCATGATAGAAGATTTGCATGTCATGGCACTGCGGTATTGCAAAAGATTAGAAAGACTCACACTAGCAGGCTGCTCTAAACTCACGGATATTGGACTATGCACACTCATAGATGAAATTGGTACCATGTTGATCTCGATTGATTTTAGCGATGTAAATCAAATCACGGACAAGACGATATTCAAGACAGCTTCTTGTTGTCCTAATCTACAAGGAATCAACTTGAGTATGTCTAGGCCGCAGACAGGCATTACAGACTCAAGTATGACAGCCTTAGCTCGTCAATGCGTCCATCTAAAAAGGGTATGTGCATACATAAATACATTGTGTCAATCTAGCTCAATCAATAGCATAGGTCAAACTAAGCAAATGCATCAATATCACCAGTGAATCAGTCACATCACTCTCGCAGTATTGTTCTCGGCTGTTTGAGATTGATTTGACCAACTGCAATATAGATGATTTGGTCTTGATCTCCCTTTTCGACTCTAGTCAAGAGTTGCGAGAATTGCGACTAGGACAACCAGAGATAGCAGAAACAAAAATCACAGAAAGAGCCTTTATGGAGGCTAATATCACCCAGGAAAACTGCTATCAACAATTACGATTTGTGGATTTGACGAATATTTCAAGCATCAATGATCAATTTATCAGCACACTTGTAAATGCTGCACCTAGAATACGCAGCCTTGTGCTGAATAAATGCCCTCGAATCACGGATGAAGGTGCCTTGTCTATAGCCAAACTGGGTCGATTTCTTCGTTTTCTTCATCTAGGCCATTGTTCTCGTTTGACAGATAGATCAATTGCATCATTGGCCATGGAATGCAATCGAATTCGATACCTTGATTTGGCTTGCTGTACTCAAGTGACAGATGCATCCATTATTCAGATTGCTAAAAACCTATCTAAATTGAAGCGTATTGGACTTGTCAAATGTGGAAATCTGACCGATCTTTCTTTAGAGGCTTTGGTGCATTATCATGCAGCTAATTATAACTGTTTAGAGCGTGTCCATTTAAGTTACTGCATCCAATTAAGCACAAAAGGAGTGGCTAAACTATTAAATGTCTGTCACCAATTAAATCACCTTAGTTTGACCAATGTACCTGCATTTCTTAGAGAAGATTTGCAAGCCTATTGTCGCACACCCCCTAAAGCATTGACCGACACTCAAAGACGTGTCTTTTGTGTCTATAGTGGCAAGAATATACAAGATTTGAGTAGCCATCTTAATTTATTGTATTCACATGATATGACAGTGTTATTTCCTCTTCAATATCCATTAGAAATAATGCAAGAAGAAAGTATTACATAATAAAGGAATTTGTTTTTTTTTAGTCCCAAACCATTTGGGTGGCTTGTCACATCGGATGTCTATCCATTCTCTTAAGCTAAAATAAGTCCTGCTCTTGGACACTAGGTCATAAGCGGGTTCTAGTACCTACCCTAGTAGTCATAGTTGCCATGGCAACCAGACAGACCGAATGCATTCTATACAATGGCTTTTATTTTTCAAACATGTCTTCCAAAAAAGGAACAATGTGACGTAGACTTCAAGCTGGTTTAAATTTTTTCTTCTCAATTTTTTTTTCCATTTCTTCTCGCTCCTTTTGCACTCATGTCCGATAACGAGAAAGAACCTGTTCAAGACCAATTCGATGATGAAGAAGTAATTGATAACTTTTTTTTTGTTAGAAATCAGTGGTTGACTGTTTTTTCTTCTTTCTATAGGTCGACTTTTCCAAGTTGAAAAAGAAGAAGAAGTCCAAGAAGAAGGTCGACTTTGAAGCTGAAGCCGAACCTGTTGAAGCAGCTACTGAAGAACCCGCTGAAGCCGAACAAAAAGGTAAAGCAACTTACGTAGAGACGCGTTTGACGCTTTTATAGATGAAGCTGAAGAGGATCCTGAAGCCATGTTTGCTGATTTGAAAAAGAAAAAGAAGAAGAAGTCTAAGCCAGTTGAAGAGGTATTGATATCTCGGCTCTATCTATACTCATATTGCTATCATAGAATGCCCCTGAAGGTGAGGCTGCAGCTGGTAATGATGAAGATTTAGACTTTGGTGCACTTAAGAAAAAGAAGAAGAAGAAGTCTATGGCACAATTTGAAGCTGATTTAGCAGATGAAAATGACGAACAAGATGAAGCTGCTGAAGCCACCAATAAAGAAGGCGGCGAAGAAGCATGGCTCAAGAGTGACAGAGATTACGCCTATGATGAACTCCTTGACCGTGTATTCAACATTTTGAGACAAAACAACCCTGAATTGGCAGGTGAAAAGAAGAAATACACAATTGTTCCTCCTTCCATTCATCGTGAAGGTAACAAGAAGACCATTTTTGCCAATGTGTCTGAAATCAGTAAACGTCTTCATCGTCCTGCTGATCATGTCATCCAATTCTTATTTGCTGAATTGGGTACTACTGGTTCCATTGACGGTGCTCAACGTTTGATTATCAAGGGTCGTTTCCAACAAAAGCAAATTGAAAACGTGTTACGTCGCTACATTGTTGAATATGTGACATGTAAGACTTGTAAGTCTCCCAACACTATTATGACCAAAGACAACAGATTGTACTTTGTTACTTGTGAACACTGTGGATCTACACGTTCTGTTTCTGCCATCAAGACTGGTTTCAAGGCACAAACCAAAGAAGATAGACGTGCGCTCAGAGCATAAATGGATCATAATAAAACAGAAAAATTTATTGACAAAGATCCTTTTGACTTAGAGACCTTTTGGGAACCCATTGACTTGTGTCTCCATCGTCATCCAAAAGAACCTGTCTAGCTTTGGTCTTTTTCTTTTTTTTGGGTATACTGGGAGTAGGAGATAAGGTCTTGGCTGCAATAGACATGTCTTTTTCTTGCTCAATTTTACGTATACTGTCTACTTGAGATAGGTATTCTAGTTTGAGTGATTTGAGTTTGTTGGCTCTTTCCTGAAGTTGCTTTGATCTGCCTGAAAGCATAGACATATTTGCTTTTAATGAGAGTAGCTTAGTATGATAAAGACCTACTTTATCCATCTATTCAAGGTTTAGTCTTTTTTTTTTTATTAGTATTATGGTTCACCTTACATTGGCTTTCATGCCTCCTAATTCTGCCTCTGTCAATTTTGAGCTTGATTCAGCTTTTGTTATTGTCTCAAGTAACTCTTGTTGTGCTCGACTAAGAAACAAAGGAGTAAATAAACGTACTTCTGCTCACTTGCCACCTACCTTAACTCTAACAGTTGAGACTGTAATTGAGTAATGGTTGAGTTGATGCCTTGAACATAGATGTCTGCCATAAGAAAAAATAATAGGAGAGAGAGAGAGAGAAAAAGGAAGTAAAAAAAAAAAAAAAAACAGTCCATAAAAATCGCTTTCTTTCATGTACAAACAATCTGGTCCAAGTCTATCAAACTGGCCTATAAAGCCGGAAAAGAATAACAAGCCTACCGATGCAAAGAACCCGAATGTCAAATGCACTCTCTCACAAGACAAAAAAGAAAACGAGAAAGAAACAAAAGAACAATAAACTGTATTTTATTCTCTATTCCTTTGTGGCGACCAACGTTCATAAGTCACTTGCTTGATGCTGTACTCATTCAGCTGTAAATGACTTGTAATTGTAGTTGGGATAGTAACATGACATAGTACCAGCGTCTTTTTGACTTGATTACTGACACGATTAAGGCGAAGTAGCCATTGCCAACTTTTTTGTTCTTCTTTGTCTGTATAAACAGGCATGATCACTACTGCATAGTCTGCATGTCTAAAGGATGGTCCTCTCTGATATAAAACTAGATGTTGTTAATCTCTTGTCCAAAGCCTATCAGTCTTACCAAAATCAACTCCAAATTTTGAGCCATTCTTGGGCACCCAACCAAGACTTCGATAGTAATGATAGGCTGCATATTTGAAATGAAAGGATGAGTCTGCCTTACAAAATGTGTGCCAACAGTCTTGGATAGATAAGGGTGTCTACAAAAAGTATAAATAAAACGGTATTATGTTGTCTTCCTTTAATTTACCTGTTTACTATCTTGGATGGTCAGTGCATTGAGCCCATACACAAGAAAAAAGGCTTCATATAAATCAAGCTGAAATTTCTCTACATCTTGATGTAACGTAAAATCAAGCAATTTGAGAACAGAAGATGTACTATGGTCTATGTTATGTTGTTGGCGTCTTTTCTTTCGTCTCTCGGTCGTTATATCTTCTAAGCTATTCGAGTTTTGCTTTAGGGTACGTGTAAACCATGTAGCTTGACTTCTAGAGAGACTTCCTTTACCAAATGATCCAGCATGGTATAATTGTGTGATGGAGGTTTGATCATGGATCCATACAAATCTCCCAAATCCCATAAAAGTACCTTTGTGTATTGGTGGAGCAGTCTTTATACTGTAGTAAATATGAAGAATATAGCTCAAAAAACGCTTATAAAGTGTATCAGCACAATAGACTTGGACAGGCAGTGTTTGACTCATTAAAAAAAAGAAAATATAAATTCAGTAGTCTCAATGGATCGTCCTCCTTTAACCCCTCTCCCCTTTTTTTCAAATCAAAAAAGCGGCAAAATGCATTATGTTCAGCTACATAAGAAACAAACAAATATTATAAAATAGGAGACACACTTTTATGATGTAAATTAAAAGGGTAATGACTACTCTCTAATGATCGAGTACTACTCCTTCAAAATTTAAAAGGAAGAAAATAAATAATAAATAATAAAAAAAAGACAGCACTATCTAAAGTATAAATCAAATTAAACAAAACTATGGCTTGAACATGTTGAAAAAAAAAAAGAGAAAACAAAACTATACTTCACTCATAAAAAGGTATGTATTCAATGTCAGAACGCTTGTTCTCTGACGTTTCATTTGCATGAAAAAGGGTGGCGAATCGCTAGGGGAAGGAACAAAATAAATATCTTTCTTTTTTTAGGAGTCTTCTAAATCGACAGAAGCAAGCCACGATATGTCCTTATAAGACATCGTCTTATGGAAAAAAAAATGACTAAAAAGACTAATGTGCTCCTAAACTT